TTGAAAACTTTAAAAAAGTTCTCTTTTCACTGCTTAAAATGTCTGTATGTTAGGGTCAGTATGGCTATTGTGAGTAATGGTTTCTCTAAGCAAAACACTAACAGGCCAGCATGACCAGTTAATAACTGTAAAATACACCATCTGCTGAAAGATTATCTTTGGGATCTAATTCATTCTATATTTAATTAAGACCACTCTTTTAAATATTTTTTCATTGTATCTGTGTATCTGGAAGCTTCTTTAATAACAACATCAAGATGTAATAGACTAAATATCTGCTGACTAGCATTATTATTATCACTTCTGAATTTGTCTCACCCTGGTTTGCTTGTGTTTTTCTGTATAAGTTTGTTTCCCTTTTATATAATTGGCTAAGAGTTAAAAGCTAATTTACTTCATAGCAACATTGTAATTTCTTTTATTTCATTCATGATTGAAATGGCAGAATGAAAAAAAGATAAAACAAAAATAATGTATTTTCAGCAGGCTGAAAATTGCTATCATTAAACTGGAAATCACTATCAAAGGGAAAAGTTCCTTAAATAATAAGCAACACTAATAAACAGATGTTGTCTTTTTTCTCTGTTATATAGAGTGGAGGATATGTTCTTGGTTTTAAAATAGACCCTGTGGAGAAACTGCAGGAGGCAGTGAAAGAGATTAATTCACTTCACAAAGTTTATTCAGCTAACCCTATATTTGGAGTGGATTATGAAATGGAAGAAAAGGTACTCAATTTATTTAAAATTAGTTACTACTTTGTTAATAGTAATAAAAATATATTAAACATATTAGATATGTGGATTTACTTACTACAGTGTTTTAATTTGTAGCCTCAACCTCTTGAAGACCTAACAGTGGAGCAGGTTCAAGATGATGTGGAAATAGAAGCTGATGAACATACAGATGCTTTTGTGGTAAGTGGCTCCACAGAAAACAAAAAAATAAATTAATTCTTCCTTGGTTATTCAAATTTAAGCAATGTACAGCTGTGTGATCCTCTGTTAAACATACGCTGCAATGGTAATTTCTATATTTAAACACATATACATGCCTTTTATTAAATATCCCTATTATTACAGGAATTTTTTCTCTGTATGAATTTTTAACTTAAGAACAAACTATTTTTCAAAATAAATATTAGTAGATATTTAAAGGAATAGTTTTATGTAGTTTCTCAACACATTAAAATCAGGAATAGCTTGAAAATCAGCAGTGTAGTATAATCAGATACATTATATGAAAACAAGTGCTCCTCTTGGAGCAGATTAATAGATGGTGATATCTATACGCTCAACATTCATCCAAAATTCAAACTTGAAAGTTTTTTACAAGGGCAGCAATAATTTTGTATTACTATATATCCCAGTATTTAAGAATTTCCAAATTTACTGTGCAACCCAATTAACACCTGACTGCATGACTGACTAGACAGGTAGACTGCACATATTTTCAAGTATTAGTCTCGACACATTGACAATTGACATGTTTTCTTACTAATCTCTGAAATTTGGTAAATTAGCAGGGCTGGCACCAATCTTATTTCCACTGTTTTTAATTTTGCTGTCATTTACTAATGCAGATAAGTGCTTGTCTTTTCCTTTCCCTCTTTCATCACTTCTTGCCTTTTTTTTTAATTTTTGCACATTTTTATTCAGTCTTCAACACATTTGAAGGCATACCTTTTCCTTAAGTGAAGATCTGTTTGCTCTACTGGTGCCTTTGTCACCTGGATCAAATAATTGTGCTTTGTATATTCTCAAACAAAAACTAGAGGCTGTAAATGATTAGAAAGTGGTTGCTGTAGGAGACACAGGTCATCCAGGACCCAAGGAGTGGCTACACTTGATGCTGTTCTGTAGGGTCTTGTGTAGCTGGGAGCCAGCTGAGCAGGAAAACTCTTTGCTGTCCCTCACCATCCACAGGGGCAACTGAAGCAAGGTTGGGCTCCTTTTGGTAAATAAGATCTAGAACCTGCTAGTCTAGAGATTTCTAGAGCTGTGGATATTTTCAGAGATCTGATATCCTGAACAGTTTGAGTGTTAATTTCCACACACACGTAATGGGAAAGATGGTTTCTCTCCCACATCTCTTGAGTAAAAAATTGGTTAATTATTCAGTTATACTGTATTCATTTCTTAGACTGAGTATGATGTTAACTAATTTTCCTATACATTTAAAGCCACTTTTTGAAATTGAATAATGGACCCTGCTGCACATGAAGGAGAAAATACCAGGTTGCTGTCAGTTTGTCTTCATATATACACTTTTCCCCTATAAAGTGTTTGTCACTGTAACAAATGTAGTATGAAAATGTTACCAATTAGAAATCTTTGCTTATTATGATGGAAAATTCAAGGATTGGTATTTAATGAAAAACGACATAATCACCAACTCCTGTTAGCACCGTTCTGTAAATTATTTCAACATAGGAAAAAGTGTGACCTTGTTTACAAAACAAAAGTTAAAGCTGTAAAACTGGGTTGTTGCAGAAGACTTACTAAATACAATTTTGACCCCAAGGAATTATTAGCAGATTTGGTTTTTAGACTTCTTTTTTTTTTTTTTTCGAAGTTGCAAGTTCTTTTTTGCTTTCTTCTTTGCAGGCTTATTTTGCTGATGAAAACAAGGTAAGAACATCTTTCTTCATAAGGTCAAATTTATGTTGTTAAAATGGGATGATGAAATTAAAAAGCACCTTCTGCTTTATTTTATTTTCTCTCATATCTCTTGCATTCAAAAAAGCAACATGATCGGGAGCCTGTTTTTTCCGAAGAACTGGGACTTGCAATAGAGAAACTAAAGGATGGATTCACACTCCAAGGACTCTGGGAAGTAATGACCTGATTTAGATTGGCACGTGTTTGGTTCCTAAGCAGGAAAAGACTCTCAGTTCTGCTGGGCTTATGAGATCTGTAGAAGATAATTTAGAAATACTAGAGTAGCAGAGAAAGAGTATGCCAAAGCTAAAGAGCAGGTGACTATTACATAATAAGCCCTCAGGATATGTAATAAAATATATATTATGATATATAGTAAAAGAAAGATTATTCAACCCCCTTGTTTATGTAACAGCTTTGCATTTAGGGGTTGGAGGGGAGGACGAGCTCCCTCTGGCACCAGGGGCGGGCCCAGCAGCTGCAGAAGTGCTGTCCCCTGCAGGCCCCCCTGCTCCACCAGCCCCAGAGCCCTGTGCCTCTGTCACAGCTGTGAGGACCTGGGGAGTCCCTCTGTCAGGCTGTCAGCACCTGGAGCCCTTCCCCACTGCGGGCATGGCAGCTGCCATTGTATTCCAGCTGCCAGGATGTAAAATGCCATGCAGCATGTTTTCAGACTGCTTTGTGACTGGCTGACTGCGAAATTTGACACACTGGTAACCCCAGGTGTTTTTGGGATTGTGGTTGGCAGGACCAGCCATCCCATCCTGTTTCTCCCCTCCCCTCACAACACAGTCCTCCATGGTGTTTCAGCCACCATTTTATGGCCAGTAGCCACCATTTTTTTTACAACTCCATGGCCCCTGTGTTTATGTACTGCCCTACGATGGGCTGCCAGGACAGCCACTGCTTGCCATTTTACCCAGAAATGTGTCAGAAAAGGAAGCCTCCCCTTCCTCCATCCATGGAGATACCCTTTGAGACAAGGCAGTGCAAGGTGTGCAGTTTGAGGCTGTATTTCAGGTATTTGGGTATTTATACAGAGTGATGTACCTTCCCATAAAAATTATGTCTAAATCAAATGTCCATAGCTTGTTTAATGTTGTGCAACATAGAAATATCCTCATCCACTGAACATTTTGTATCTAGGCATGTTGGCTGTGTCATTGCAGCAGTGCTGTGTTACTGATAGCTTTAAGAAAAAGCAACACTGTTTCAAATAATGGCTTTCATGTCTCATAATTTCGCTAAATGTTCAGCACGTATCATTCCAAGTACTTAGCTGTAATCCAGATATCCTCATACAGTTGTTGTGTTTTTGCTAAATTACCTTTTAAAAGAATGATCCAGAAAAAAGCGCACACACGAATAGCTGCTGTGTGTGAGTCATTAGACCTTTCATGTTATGTGTTATAGAGAAATGAGTCATTTATAGTTTAAAGGAAGACACAGCTGTTATGTTTTCTAGTGAGATAAGACCTCTGTGCTGTTTTCTATAAATGGAAAAAGGCAAATGAGCTCTCCTCTCAGCTGTTGTTTTAGCAGCTGACTGTTATAGTAAAGTAACTGTAGTGTGAATGTAATTGTGGTGTTTGTAGAAAATCTTTCAAGGTATATATTTTGATGGAATACTATCTATATTGAAAAGCAGTCATTATTTCAATAAACTTTGATAATGTTATACCTTGTTGGAGATCTTATATTCAAATAGTTGTATTTTGATCCTATTTCCATTACATTCAAAGAACATTTTACCATATGGGTGGAGACTTCAATTTGAATTATTTTGGAAAGCAAAACTTTACCTGAATAACATATATTTTATGTTTAAAGAGGAGGGTTTGGTTTACAAATAAATACAACCAAATGGATATTAAGAAGGAGCTCATAATTATTTCAACATCTTATTATCGATATCTGAAGAAATTGAATATGAGATATGGTTATGTAAAAAAATAATCTTAGAGCATAGGCAATTCATGGTAAGTTCTGGAGTATTTTAGTATCTTTATGACTGCAGCAATGATGTGTTAAGCAACTCTGAAGAAGTGAACAGTAGCTACAACTGACAACTTGATTAATATTTCTATTTCAGAATATTTAGTAACATGTATATGTACAGTCTTGCTCATAGCTGTGTCACTGAGGGTCAGATTCTGCTGTCCTTACTCACGTCAAATAATTTATTACATTGCACATAATCTAATTGATTCAATGTGGAGAATGATGGCAAAACCTGACCATAGTGACTAAGAGCAACAGTTGCTTCTTTCAGTCTTTGACAGCTGCAAGAGCAGCTCTGTTTTTCCAAACCATCCATCCTAAATTCCGACCTGTAAGGGTATGGACCTATATTTAGCTACTGAGATTAAGTTGCAGAGGCTTCAGGCAGGGCAAAAAGCACATTGGCCTGCCTTTTTTACAGACAGACCTTTGGGCAGGCAACAGCTAAAGCTTTCTACTCCCTCCCCTTTCCTAAGTGTTTGTGAAATGGATTCCCAAAGGGAACTCACTGAAGAGCTCAGACTTTACCAATCCACCCTCCTTCAAGATGGCCTCAAGGAGCTCCTCGAAGAGAAAAAGTTTGTAGATTGCTCTCTAAAAGCTGGTGACAGAAGCCTGCCTTGCCACAGATTGATTCTGTCGGCATGTAGCCCTTACTTTCGTGAGTATTTCTTATCTGAGCAAAGTGAAGAGAAAAAGAAGGAGGTGGTTCTAGATAACGTTGACCCCAACGTCCTGGATATGATTGTCAAATACCTTTATTCAGCAAGTATTGATCTTAACGATTCGAACGTACAAGATATTTTTGCTTTGGCCAGCCGCTTTCAGATCCCTTCTGTGTTCACTGTGTGCGTCTCCTACCTTCAGAAGAGGCTTGCTGTTGGTAACTGCCTGGCCATCCTTCGATTAGGTGTTCTGCTTGATTGCCCAAGACTCGCATTTTCTGCCCGTGATTTTGTTTCAGATCATTTTGTGCAGATCTGCAAAGAAGAGGACTTCATGCAGCTTGCCCCACATGAACTTATCTCGATTATTTCACCTGACAGCTTAAATGTAGAGAAGGAAGAACTGGTATTCGAGGCAGTAATGAGATGGGTCCGAACAGACAAGGAGAACAGAGTAAAGAGCCTGGGGGAAATTTTTGATTGCATACGTTTTCGTCTTATGCCAGAAAAATATTTCAAAGAACAGGTTGAGAAGGATGATATCATTAAAAGCAACTCAGACCTTCAGAAAAAAGTAAAGATCATTAAGGATGCTTTTGCTGGAAAACTGCCTGACTCTAGCAAAAGCACAGACAAGTCAAGCAAAGGGGAGGTGAATGGCGATGTAGGAGATGAAGATTTACTGCCTGGCTACCTAAATGACCTTCCCAGGCACGGCATGTTTGTCAAAGACCTAATTCTTCTGGTTAATGACACTGCTGCAGTAGCTTATGATCCTCTTGAAAACGAGTGCTACCTTGCAGCCCTGGCAGAACAGATTCCCAGAAATCATTCCAGTATAGTCACCAAACAAAATCAGGTCTACATTGTCGGAGGACTGTATGTGGAAGAGGAGAACAAGGATCAGCCTTTCCAGTCATATTTCTTCCAGGTACAAGCTTTATAATTGTTGGTGCAATAGCAGGTGTTTATAAGGGTGACTGAAAAGTATTCTGAGTCTATCCCAGTGAGCTGTCTAGTCTCTTTGTATGGTGATGGAGACAAGTATCTAGAGAGAGCTATTCCTGTCTCAGAGAAATAAAACCAAGGGACTTGCATCTTCTTTTTAAAGATCAACCCCTGGTGACATCTCAGATATTAAAAGGATTAATATATTCTATCTAAGCACTGGCTTTCACTGTTTTAAGGCCCAGATTTTTCATGGTACAAATGCCTAAATATAAGTCCAGTAATATTTTTGTAAAATACCTTTTGTGTATTTCTGTTAACTTCCATGAAATTTGGAGTGCTTTAGCAGATTTAGATCTAATGGGATGTCTTTCTTGCACCTGAAATACTTGTATGACAGCAGTAATGTGTGTATTTTAAGTGCAACTTCTGTCACTAAAGCAGCAGAAGTCCTTTTGTCATGTCTACATTTGAAAGCCTGAGGGCATTCTCAAATACATACTTTAGAGACTGAAGGCTTTTTTCTTGGCAAACTGTCAGTGTCAGTACACTAAATACCATGTTTCAGCTGAGTGTGATTTTATGTCTTTGTAAATCTGAATAAATATAAGCCTGATTAAACCAACTGTAACTCCACAATATATATTCCAGGAAAATTAGCAAATATACGGTTTGGCATGCTTACACCATAAACTAAGTCTGTCGTGGGTTTAATGATATGTTTTGGGGGATATTTGAACTATTTTATGATGAATTCTGCAATAAGCTGCTTAGGTACATCCTTACATCCTTAGGTACATTGGCCTAAAAGAGTGAAAGTCATATTTCAATATGAAGTAAAGCACAGTAACAAGCAGTGATAGAATTTTAAAGCCTTCAGATATTAAAAAATGTAAATATTGCTTAGAGGAGCATGGCTCACTGTGACTTCACACACAATGAAATAGTTGGTTTCAGACAGTTGTTACATCAATGAGAGGGAAATCTTAGTTTGCTGGGGAGCGGTTAACACTGTTTCATTTCCTTATGTATTTATAAAACACTAATCACTGAAGTGCAAAACTAGTTACAGAAATATTCTTCTAATATAAATGATATGTTGATGTCAGAATGTATTTATAGCCCAGAACTGAATAGTTGAAGTCTCAGGCTGCTAGAAAGGATCCTCTGCAAAACTAACCCTCAAGACTGATACCAAAAATCAATGAAGTTTTCAGAACCCTACTTTATATATTGACATCCATTTCTTGAAATCCTCTTCATTTTCTTGTCATCCTTCTGCTTGCTGCTTTAAGCAGCTTGCTGCTGTTCTCTTTTAGTTAAAATACTTGTCAGCATTAGTCGTGGCTGTTGATCTCTCTAAAATTCTAATGTGCCAAAACAGTTTTTACTTGCTGATGTTCCTTTCTCCAGCAGTGAAGTGTTGCATTTGGTAGCTCATAACTCAGGAGGAAGTAAGGCTGCCAGCTGCCACTGGCTCAAAAATGTGTGACTAGTTGATGGCCTATCAGCAGTAGAGATGTCATCTTCAAGGGGGATGCACTAAGCAAGCTGTAATCTATGAGGAGAACCTCTCATTACTGCAGCCACATCCAGCTACTGGAGAAATCCATGTCCATGAACTGCATTTCACTGTTGCAGTAAAACTTTCTGTCCAATAGTGGTGGTCTATCAAATTTGGGAGATGCATTTTAGCATGGAAACCTTGACTGTGGACTACACTTCTGGATGTTACTGAGCTAAACCCAGGCTTTCTGTCAAATGCCTTTACACGTGTGCAAGCTCACATCTTACTTACCCTGCCTTCCTGTACAGCAACAAGCATGTCTATATGCAGTAGAGGTGAGAAAATGCTCTTTTTGAATGTTAGAGATCATTCAGGTTCAATTGCAAGTTTGCAGATCAGAAAAAAAAAACAAAAAACAAGGCACCACAGTTCTTGTGGTTTTTTTTTTCTTCTTGTTCTCCTTCTGCTGCTTTTCCTTAGGTGTTTTCAGCATATCAGATGTGAATCAAGACAACCATGAGAGTACTTTAGTAGGGATGAAATCAATATTATTGCCAAGGGAGCTGCAGTGCCTACCTATTTTGCTTAAGAGTGAAGTCTTTATTCATTGTGTCTTCAGAGACCTTGTGAGTTTTGTGATGAAACATCACCGCTGTTGCTCTAGGGATTGCAGAAGAAACATCTGTGCCATTTGTCACATGATATATCCCTGAAGAACTGTGCAAGCACGTCTGGCATCTCATTGTAGCGATGAGCACAACCAGCTAAACGTATAGGTGTGGAATGGCAGGAGTGTCTGCTCCCTTGGGCAACAAGAACCACTTCTTCTCTCCAAAATGTGATAGGGAACTGAGAGTGAGGGACCTTTAAATAAGGAAGAAGAGCTTAATAAAGAGGCCAAGAAACTCTGAGGGTGAGCAGACACAGAGAGCTGTGTGGCACTGGCTGCTACATGTCAGCACAGTGAAGCAGGGGTCATCACTCATTGGCTGCACGGGGGAAGGGCAGGTTGTTCAGGCAAGCACATTTGCTGTTGAGAGACACCGAGTGCAATTAGATAAATTCTGTGCAACAACAGTCATTGTGTGGATTTTTACTCTTAGCCTTTCCTAACCCTCCCTGTTCTGATGGTCTTTCAGCTGGACAGCATCGCTGGTGAGTGGGTTGCCCTTCCTCCACTGCCATCAGCCAGGTGTCTCTTCGGGCTGGGAGAGTCCGACGACAAGATCTATGTGATAGCAGGCAAGGACCTTCGCACGGAGGAGTCGCTGGATTCAGTGCTGTGCTATGACCCCGTGTATGTTTAACATTTGGTTCTGCCCACTGAGGGCACGTAGATGGCCCATTGTTACTTGAAAGAGCCTAACAGTGATCTTTTTGTTCCAGGGCAATGAAGTGGGGGGAGATCAAAAAACTACCCATCAAAGTATACGGCCATGCTACTATCTCAAACAATGGATTGATATATTGTCTTGGTGGAAAAACTGATGATAAGTGAGTCTTTCATGACAATTTATAACATTATTTGTTTGGTCCTCAACAGATTGTATGTCCTCACACTCAGAAATCAGGGTTTCCCTTTTTTGCATCTCTTGATTAAGGTTGCTGACAGTCTGGCAAAGGGGAACATGTTATGGTTTGGAGGATATCTTTTTGGTGATAAGTTAAATTGCATACTAATTGTAATCCCAACTTGTTATTTTAATGATCATACTTATTTCTAAGGCAAATTTTACTTACACTGCAGATACAGTAGTTGGTTGTCTAAGCTATGAGGATCCCCACTGAAAGTATTTTTCCTCTCAGATAGAAATACCTAGGTGCCATGGAATTACTGTCTCAGTTTGTCCAGTTTTCTGACCTGTGATACCTGTTATACCTTAATGGGTATAACATTAAGAAAATAAAAGTTTTCACTCACACTGAACATGTGATAATTTTTAAGTGTTTGTATAGGGGATATTTAAGATACAAATTTGTCAAATAAGCCAAAACACCAGCATAATCTTTCCTCTATAACCTTTCTCGTGTATTCCTCCACAAATCCACCTGAATTGAATGTGCTGGGAAAGGATGTTGTCTTTTTCCTCTAATGTACAGTGAAGTTGCTGTCCTATGCAATGTAAACAGCATTTAACATTTGGTTTAGTTCTATGGATGTGATTAGTGCTTTGCAGACATTGCAAGGATTTACAGATTAGATATAAGAAAGGATCTGCACAAGAGGAATGAAGTGTTATCCATAAACCCACACAATCTACCTCAACTAGGTCTCACTTGGAACAAGCCAAAATTTCATGAGACATGATCACAGGTTTTCTTTTTCCTCCCCAGGAAATGCACTAATAGACTATTTGTGTACAATCCCAAGAAAGGAGACTGGAGAGACCTGGCTCCCATGAAAGTGCCTCGCTCAATGTTTGGAACGGCGATCCATAAGGGCAAGATTGTCATTGCAGGTGGTGTCACTGAGGAAGGCCTTACTGCATCTGTTGAAGCTTTTGATCTGACCACCAATAAGTGAGTGCAATATTCAAGCTATTTTAAGGTGTTCAGGTCCCTGTACTCCCACTGAGATATTTGGTCTACAATCACATCTTTAGCAACAACAGCAGCAGCTTACAGAGCCCATCTCTGGCCATTTTTCCTGCCCCACATGCATTTGCCAGGACAGCAACATTGCAAACATGCTCACCACCCTCTTTTTTTTTTTTTATAAGTCTGATTACTTTCCCAATTTAGTTGACCCCACAGCACATAAACAGGTGTGGTGCCATAATAGGGAAGAAGTGGGAGAATGAGCAAGGGCGGTGCAGTCTAGTTGAAATAGCACTGGCAATAAATGTGAAACCCCAGCAAGAGAAATCGGGTGCTTGAAGAGGACCAGCTCAATGTCCTTCAGGTACACGGCCTCGTGATGTTTTGCTGTTCACTTACCTTGTCACAGCAAATGCCATTTACCACTGATTAGTGACAGACAGGTAATTCTGCTTATTTAATATGAAAACTCCAGAAAGACTTCAAACATATGTGCATGCTCTGAAATACTATATAGAAAGAGTAATGACAGAAGAGAGTAAGTCATATCTGAAATTAGCTCACTTATTTGGTCTATATACTTTCCAATACTCTCCTACACAGCCAGAATCTTTTGCAGTCAGCATCCATCAAATGTTTTTGATTTTCTAGGAGTTTATACCCTCTGCATATGTGTCTTTCTAATCTTAATTTTCTTTGTTTTTGTTACTTTCATTACTTTTCCTTCCTATCACCTCCTCGTCTTGGTTTATTCTGTTACAGTCAAGTCACACAAGCAAGAAAGAAAAATTGGCCTATTAATTTTAATGTTGAGATTATCCAGAAGTAGGATGTTTGTGTGTTTCATATGTTCATAGGTGTGAATTGGCAGAAAAATTGAAATTATACTAATGAGCTCCAGTGACTATTTTTTAGCTCAAATTATTATGCCAATGCCACTTGAAATGAATATGCATTTTGGAAACTATAGGGAAAAATGAGAATAACTGGGGAACAATACATCTGTATGAAGTATATTACTGATAATGGTACCAGGGAACCTGTAAGAAGTGGTCTCTGGGAATAGATGTCATCACAGTGTAATTGTGTCATTTAAGACCTGCAGAAGTCCCTGTGGGGATGGAGACACTGATACTTACTGCTGATAAATCTCAGAAATTTTTCCTTTTACTAAACTATTCACTCAAGTGGCCTTGGTTCCTGAATTTGTGTCACTCATAGGAGTATCTTAGTGCATTCAGTTTACAATACTTCTCACATGTTTAAATTTGAGTTTTTCTTTTCACCTTTAGGTGGGAGGTTATGCCTGAATTTCCACAAGAGAGAAGTTCCATCAGTTTAGTCACCTTAAGCGGAGCTTTGTATGCTATTGGAGGCTTTGCAATGATTCAGCTTGAATCTAAAGAATTTGCACCTAGTGAAGTCACTGACATATGGAAGTAAGTTTAATTTTAGTCACACTTTCCTGGTGGAAACTGAGGTTTGTAGACACTGGAGATTAACATTATTTTTCTGTTTAACTCTGAAAACAATCCCTAGCACAGGTTGTAAAGCTCTTGGTGACAGATAAAAACGTTTGCTAGAAAGTAACAAATAAACATGAGACTTGGATCAGATGACTACTTCCACCTACTAATCATTTGACCAATATGAGTCATGATCTTCAGTTTCTTTAAAAGAGTAAGTTGCCATATCATTTGGCAGGTTTTAGCCTTGCCAATAAAAACATTCTCACGATATTCTTATGCAGAAAAGCATGTATACACAGTGGCCTGTACATACTGGTGTGTTAACAGTCCAATGAGTAACTGTTCCAAGAGAATCCGAATTCCCTATCTCCTAGATTTTTGCAATCTAATCACAGTATCAGTGATAAAACATCATGTCTCTGCTGAGACTCTTCAGTTGCTAATGTAAATTCAGTTTTAATTTGCAGTAGGAAGGATTCCCAAAAAAAACAACTTTATATGCAAGAATCTGAAGAAATTGAGAAGGGATACTTAAGACAAAGAGGAAGCTCTATACAAGCAATTAAAGCGTGACAGAGCCAGCAACAAGCTTTAGGGACCAGGAAAAGGACAACTCGTGCACAGGAACATCTTTCTGTTCTGTTCTAGAGGACAAAGCAGCCTTCTGTGCCACCCTTTAGCAGATGGCTGCTACGAGCCTTTGCAACAGGTGCACTGTCCTCCTTTTCGTGGATGTGTGCTGAAGCAGGGAACTAAGGAGCTATTTTCTAACCTTATTTTTTTAAATGCAGGTACGATGATGAAAAGAAGGAATGGATTGGCATCCTGAAAGAGATCCGATACGCTACCGGAGCCTCCTGCCTGGCTACACGCTTAAACCTCTTCAAGTTATCAAAACTGTAAACAACATGTTGGAAGATATGATATGGTGAGGGAGTTTCAATAGGCTCTTCTGGTTTTGTTGCATGAAAATGTCCCCAGATTGTACAGAGTTCTATAGCAGCGTGCTAATTATACTGGGAACTGTTAAACAGTTCATTTGTCTGTCCACATCTTAAGATATTTACTAGTTAACCAGCAACCACTGAATTTTTGCCAGCGTTTAAAATCCTGAAGAGCTCTAATTAACGTTGATTAGAATAAATTAAGATTTCAGCAAGGACTCCATTTTTCACACTGTGAAATTGCAAATAAAAACAGTTAGACTTCCTTGCACTCCTACAATCCAGGATATTGGTGGCTTACCCTCCAAACAATGCCCATGAATTAATTATTGTTAAATACAACTTATAGGTAGCTATTTTTATTCTAACTGGTTGGTTGTATAGCCAGATTTCCCCTTTCAGCAGCATATGTAAATCCTGCATTCTTCAGTGATATCTTGGAGATATTTTCATCACAGCCCTCAAAAAAATAATTTAGCCTGGAACTGAAATGCATGTTAAAAACAAAAGTGGCTTAATACTATGTGCCTAACAAGTGCCAGTCTCAGCCAAAGCTGTACTAGTAGCCAGACATGAGGGAGGAGAGAGAAGTTCACAAGGTTAATAGCTCTAATGTTTCACCTACTATGTTTAGGCTTCTGGTAACAAGGATTTTCCACTTTTTTTATGCTTTTATATTTATTTCCAAAGCAAATATTTTATGGAAGTTTTTCTCAGAGATCTGAGGCCAATAACAAGCATTCATAAAAAAGTCCAAGACGAGTTGATAATCAGTAAATACCTACCTATGACAGAGAGGACTTTTTCATCTAATAAAGTGTTGATGCATTTTGACATTGAAAACTTTTAACAATTAAACTTTGTTTTTAAAATTATACAAAGTATCACTTGATGCTGTCTTTTTTAATGATCAGCTTATCATCACTACCATATTGACAGGACAGATTTCTTAGCACAGCCTTTGCCCAAAACAGAGCACTCAGTTTTCTAAAAGTAGTATCTCCTCAAAGGATTTCTCCATTGAATAAAGAGGGTGTCATAATCTAAAGAATGTGAGGGTTGCCTCAGGAGGAAAGTACCAATCAGTTCTGTTGGTTTTTCCTGAATTTCCATTCCTGTCCTGATTTGTATTTAGTAAATAAAAATATTTTCTTCTGCTACTGAATAGTAAAACCAAAAAAAGTGACAGCAGATGCATAATTGCCAATTCAGAAATGCAGTTGCTTACCTCTGCCAGGTTTCAAAGGAAGTGGTAAAAGAATGTCTACTGCTTCACTAAATAAGCAAGAAAACACACCCACATTGTGTATGTGAAGGACAGGCACAGCAAGCAGTCATGAGATGATGGCAGCCGTGGGCACAATGCGGCTGCCTCTGGAAAAAGGGTCATCTGTCAAGTATGACCACCCTACAGTTTGCTCTACAATGAACATTCTGCTGCCTATTCCATTTTTTCCTTCTACATCTCAGTGTCTTGTGCCTGCTGCAGAAACCCTGGCAGGGTTTTTAGGTACGTGAAGGTGTTCCAGAAGGCTCAGCCATACTTTTGTATGCGCCACATCACAGGGTAGGAGAAGCAGCTGGAGGTTCCTCCCCACGCAACACCCTCCCCCAGCACAGTCCCCCACAGTACCTCTGTTCTGGGAGATGGAAACGGAACGGCTCTAAAAGCAGCCCTATGCTTAGTAAATTTGCATTTCAGTTTCTTGGTTTCAGAGTACAGATACTGTTGATTCCCAGCTATTCATTCTGTCACATGCTGGAGGACAGACATAGTTTCCAATAGATTGCTGACACTTCTCTCACAGTCAAGAGTATTTCCAACTTTTTTTTTGGAGAGTTTTATGTCTGGCTAAGCTTCTGTACTATTAATTTAGGAGATGATATTGTAATTTTACAGCAACACTGCCAGAGCTTTATGTGATTAAATAATAGCTTCCAGATAATGGGAAATTTTAAGCATCCTTATCTCATCTTCATGCCCCACTGTGACCTACCTTTTGCAATCCCTTTACACTTGATGCCCATGGCAAGCCTTGGTCCAGCTGACTCACAGATAAAGAGATTTTTGAAACTATATATTCCAGGATTACGAAACGCTTGGTGGTACAGGAAGTGTTTTTATGGAAATACTATAGACTGCATGTCTGACATCACTGTATTCCATACAGCTGCTGTCTCAGGTATTCTAGCTGTTCACCTTTTGTTGACAGAACCATAGAATTCCATTCAAAGTGAGGAATCTGTAGAACAGAATCATACAAACTGAGTGTTAACACTGGTATAAGCCACATACCATTCACAGCAAAGGCTCTCTGATATCTCTTGTTTTCCACTTGAAGATATTTGACCACCTGTGTCCCTCCAAAAGCTAGGCTTGCTCTAATGTGGGAATGAGTTAAGCCAGCAGCACCTGCATTCCATTAACTGGAATCAAAAGAGAGCGTTTCAGCCTTGGCGCTGAGGAGTGTGTGAATCAAACACTGAGTTTGCAAAAAGTCCTGGGAATTCTGGTTAACTGAATGACAACTCCAGGTGCTTTGGTGTTTACCAAAGAACCCTAATGACAGGGAAACTCAGAGAGAGCTCTGGGGAGAATCCCAACAACTGAATCATGGTGTGTGTGCAGCCTCATTTCTTCATCGTCTCTATTTGGTGACCCCGACACGATGCGCCTTACGGGAGTTTTGGACGACCATGACCCCAAGGGGGTAACGGAGTTAGTTCTGCCTGGGAAAAGTCTGTCTCCACTTGAATTCATTGGCTGCACTCTAATACTGGCAAGATCCATTTCTCAGTGTAAGATTCTTTATGTAAGTATAGTCAGTTGCAGAAATGTAAAACAGATGCCCACACAATATAGGCTGTGATAACTCCTTTACACCATCTCCCACCTTTGAAAACCCAAATTGAGAGGAAAATCCCAGGCCACTGTAGTTTGTAATGTTAATCTATTAGACTGGAATAGTGTAGCAGTAGTATAACATGAGAAAAGATGATTATTCTGTTTAAAAGAAAAAGAAAACCAACCAAATTTAAGCTAAAAGAAGGATTCCAGCTAAAATTAGGGCAATTAAATATACAGGAGCCTCTGAATTCATGAGCCTCCATTACCAAAATGTTTCATTGCCGATGGCTGTGAATTATCACTGGCCACTAGTGTTCCCTGTCATACACCATCACTGCAGGAGACAAACAGCATCCCTATCCCACCTGGCAGCTGCCAAAACTTGGCACTCCAAACCACTCAAGGGTATGTTCAATCATCTTCTACTGTAGAAATCTTTAGTGAATTGAACTGAAACTCTCATTTCACTTGTTCTCCTTTACTCAATAACATAAGACTGAGACCTTTCGACTTCAGTTTTGCTTCAGCCTCTTTCAGAGAAGGTGCAAGTTCTATGAAGTCCTTAAATAATTTTGAGAACAGCTTGGAATTTTCTCCCTAAATACAAAAATTGCTCTTACCCAGTAAATGCTTTTAATTATAAAAACTGTCTCTGAACGTGTTGCATGGAAAATGGATCATTTTGCACTATGGATACAACTCAGAAAGGACAAAGGATTGCTGACTGCTCACCTGAACTACACGGTATCCCAGCATTTCCAGGTGCCGTTTTTTCACTGCAAGTTCTCCTTTCAGATGACGTGAATAATCTTTGCTAAAAGCTCTTGAATCAAGAAATTCCAAAGCAATTCTGCAAACAGCAAAGATGTGCATTTACTTTCAGGTCCTACCCAAATAGCAAGAAGTGATTTCTCTAGTTCAGTATTGATAGCTGCAGCAAGACTAGATAAACCTGACAATTCACAGAAAAAGAAAATTAAACAACTCCCTGAAAACAGACAAAACATTTTCCTCTTATTCATCTAGAGATACTTCAATTTTACATGATTTAGAAAAAGCATTTTTTTCCCTGCATCTGTCTTTGCTCAAATGGTAAAAACAGCTAACTAGCATTTTCAAGGCTAACATTTGAAGAGGTGAAAGGGAAAGAGTATTCCAATCTCATGAAACACATTTCAAGAACATGTACTGGGTCTGGCTGGGATGAAGGTACTTTTCTTCATGGCAGTTTGTCTGGTGCTGTGTTTTGAACTTGTGACCAGAACAGTGTTAATGACACACCAATATTTTGGCTATTGCTGAAGAGCTATTGCTTGCACAGCATCAGGACTTTCTGTTTGTCACCCTGCACCCACAGTGCAGACATGGACAAGAGGTCTAGGCTGCAGGGACAAGAGGTCAGGAAGGGAATGAGTGTGCAACTGTTTGGGAGCAGATGTGGCCGACCCGCCACACCCTGGAAAGGTAAACTTCATTAGACTAAGGAAAAAGCAACTCAAAGATAAATAGCATAAAGGTTGCAACAAACATTTAGGACATAAGCATCAAAAACGTGGCCTAAACTGGATGTTAACTTGGAAGCTTGGGAGAGCTAACGTGCAAGAATTCGATGTACTAACCTCTGAGCTCCTGGGGGCAGAGCCTTTCTCCCTTCGTCCTTGATGTCACATCTCAAGTGTATTCCCCCCCCATCATCCAAAGGTATATTCTGAGCCATATAGGAAAGAGGCTTTTTATTTTCATCCAGGACACACTCAAAATCTATCAGAAAACACAGCAAACCTGTTTACTGACAAAAGTGAAAGAATTTGATCTGTCACAGTGTTTATTTCTAGAAAAACTAAGTGATAGACAAAATTAAAGATATCAAACATTATTTGATATTACGCAGATCTTTTTAGAAACTGTATTTTACACAACAATTTCTTCTTTGCAATAACTTGTGGCCACATGAAAACGGGCTTCCTAATCTTGTAAACAATCCTTAGAGTATTAACTTCTCACCTATTTCATAGTAGTATGGTGTGAGAACAGATATCCTGGAGTACTGGCTCCCTCCTAAGATCTCTGTCAGCATTCTGTGAACGTGCTGTCGCACTGGATTTATTCGGCTCATACCTACAAAGACAAAACAAAGAATTCATACATCAAAACTTCCACAGCCAAAACTCTGAACAGAGCACTTTGAGATGTTGCATTTTTGACAGTCAGGCTATTGAATTACATCTTTTCCACAGATGCCTGGTGTTATTCCATCATAATTCAGAGACCAAGTGATCACATTTTAGATGGAAAGTAGCAGGTGTGTGCTATTAAGCATAAATTTCAAATCCAGACTTTCCATTCGAGGATTTTTCTGATTCACATGCTACAAAACCTTTAGTTACAGGTTTCACCTGTTGGATTGTTTGCTTTTAATTGCATTTGGACACTTAAGATTTACTCGTCTTTATTACAGGCACACCACACTATACGTCACTTCTCTGTCTGTTGCAGAATAACACTTTGCTCCAAAACATCTTCAGTCTCTGAGAGACAAAGTAGCTGAGTTCTGTGGACAGTAAAGCAGATCTCCCCATGTGAATTAGTGGAGGATAGATACTCTTTGCATTAGCTGGATTTTCTGAATTCATCACTCTTCTGAAAGATCTCAGCTGCTACACTGATCGCTAGCCTACTTCTCTGTCTCTCACCCCTGATGGATCTTGATTCTTTAGAGGAAGAAGATAGGAGCAATTTCAAAAGCAAGAAGTAAAAATGTTCACATTGAAAAATTTAAGTCAAGCTCAGCCTTGTAGGTGAAGTAGGGAACAAAGTGACCCATCTCCTCCAGCAGACAACTCTAATTCTTCCTCCTGCATTTCCATCCTTCATGCCATATACACTGTTTCTGTTTATTTAAATTTTATTTCTTAAAAAGAAAAATCCCATCTCTATTACATTAATTATCACAAGGAAAACTGCTTTGCTCTCTGTTGCACTACTAAGAGGTTGCACTTTCCAAGACACGCTCAGCAAAGAGTGGGTGGCACCTTCCTGATCTTCTATGGTTGTGGTAGTGTCAACCTGACAGTTTTAGAAGAAACATGTAGTAGACTGCCGAAAATAGACTATTATTAGAAACAAGGGCAGGTTTTCTACTCTTAGGTTGCTTACTGTTATGAAAGACACGTTGACAGTACTGCTCATGAAACCAAGGGATGTGAAACTCCGGGCATTCCAGACAGACTGCTCGGTTCAATTTCATGAGGCGAGAGCAGACCCTCTGCTTTACGGTATCAGGCAGGACTGATTAAAAAAAAAAAAAAAAACAGACATAGAAAGGTGTAAACTGCAATGTGAAAAATCCAACATATTGACCTAAATGGCTACCTCTGAATTCTTTACTAAAAGTGCAAGTGTCAGTATACTATGGCATTTATAAAATCCATGCTGCAAAATTTTAGAAAGATGCTCAAAAGGCCTGAGGAAAAAATGAAAAGAAACAGTTCTGCTCAATGTTAAGCATGACAGCAAGACAGAAGACAGAAATTGCTTCTATCATTCAACTTTTAATGAAGTACTTGAAGGAAAAATGGCAACAATACATTGATAGGGAACAACGTGCAGGTAGAGAGAGACAAAATAAACACTCAGTCTCTTATTTAGAGAGAAGAGTCTGGTAGGACTCTTGCAGGCAAGAATCCCACATGATTTCTTGAGCTTTGTGACTATTTCTGGTAATAAACGCCAGAGTCAGGTAATTTCATTTCCAGTAAAACTGAAGAATTATTATATACTGAGTACAATAAGTTGACTATAAAATTTGCTTTATATGACCTTTTCTCACCTGCAATATAAGTCTGTACTTTCAAAATAAAGCATACATTTTTGTTCATTCTTTCCCTTTTAGCACTCAAATCATGACTAGATTATATAGAGGGGGTCTTTCTAGAAAATGGAATAATTTAAAGAGTAATTCTACTTCTCAAGTCATATGTAGGTCCACAGTTGCATTTTATGCCAAATACTACACAATCAAATTCCTCAGAGAGCAAGATATCTACCTTTAAGTTGAGCATCCAGTTTGCTTAGGAAAGAAACATTAAATATCGTTGTTATCAGAACAGGAGGAAAATACCCAGCCACTGCCAAAACGTGACCAAGGAGCACCAAGTGATAAACTTCAAAACAACCTTTAAAAAACAGAAATCTATATTAACACATGACAAAGTTGAAAGGATTTGCAGTGCCCTTCTCCTGGCCCCCCAAATTGTCTAATTTTCTGTCTTAATGTACTACACAAGTTTCTACACATTTCCTCTACAACTTTAACCATTTATTTGTGATGAATCACAAAATGTATCCTGTTCACAAAGGACAATTCCTTGGGGAACACCACAACAATTCTGTGCAACAGCAGCACAGTGAATTAACCAGAATTTTCACTTGCTTTTTACTACACTAAAAATTCTTTGCTAGTCCCTTATTAACAGTAATTTTTAAAGGGTGAAATGAAACCCAGCATTGAATCTTTGTAATGGTTTAACCCAGTAAGCAGAGTATTAGTAGTAACATACATACTTTTTCTTTGCTTAACAGAAGTGCCATTCTATTCCTATTTTCATTCTGTAAAAATAACTTTCAGCGACATTTATTTGGTGTCAGAATATCTTTGTCTAATGCACTTACTCAAGTTAGAAGTAAGATGTTGGATACAACTCTTAAAGAACTCTTCATTGTCATAATTCAAAGTAGAGAAAAGGAAGAGAATAAAATAGATTTCGGAGGGGTGGATCTGGAAAAAAAGACATCCAAAATCAAGTCATTGCAAAATATCATAATATTGCTTTACAATAAAGAAGAGTTTTATACTTCATTCAGAATTGGGAGATTTAAAACTAGATGAGCTGTTTTCTAATTTTTTTGTCAACTATTCCTGGAGGAAACAATAAAAAAATAAAATGCAGAAATAATTGAATTTGCAGCAACAACTAAAACTTCAGATGTATTTCATGTAGATGATCCAAGTGTTTCTATATACTTAAAGAACCTTTCAAAAAGATTTTGCATTAAATGCTCTTAAAGATACTAAACTGCAATAGAATAAAATCAAAGATTTATATGAACTCCAGACTGAGAATGAGGAGGAAAAAAAGACATTAAGAAAAAAAAGAGTAATTTTACCCAAAAAGACGGGCTACTGGGGAAACCCCCACAACAATGAGTAACGTTAAAATATACAGCAGGTGATGTGGCTATTTATAAAGAAGTTTTGAAAAAAAAATTAAGATGGTCAAATGTAAAGTTGAATGCAATGGATTATGGCTGACCTATACTGACTGAACAGTAAGAAATAAAAACTAATGAGAAGTAAGTGCAAAGTTATATAAACAGAAGCAAAACAGTTTTGAGTGAACACAAAAAAAGATGAGCTCCAAATCAGATACATTGAATAAAACTCTTAGAAACACAGTGGATTGTGCTCTGAAACGCATCAACACATGAACCTCTCCTTTTTTACCCAATAACTCACACAGTAGACAGAAAAGCTCTAATACCTTGTCTATATTTTCAACAGTCACAGAAGCTATTCTGTCAAATAAGGCAGGACAACGGTGGTTTGTTTTTTGGAGGAAAAAAGACAGTGGTAATACATTTGCCCATGTTATTTGGTCTATCAAGCGCTGACACATGGCCATGGTTTCCTCATTCAGGACTTCTTCAAACCACTCTCCATTCACATGTGTAAGTTCTTCCAACAGACGATTTAAGCTGTTGGTTTTCTGAAGCCTCTCAAATCCACAGTCATTTAGTTTTTGCAGAAGCTTTGCACATAGCTCAGAACTGTTTTGCCAGTGCAACTGGTCATGATGATTCCATTTGACAAGAGCTGTAGCAATGCAATTCAAATGATGGAGACTGCATTGAGGCAGAACTGCTGCTGCTTTGTTTATAATCATCTCCTCCACTTGAAAAGAAGGCAGCATGGCCAGAACACGAATTATGGCTGCAGTATCAGCAGGTATCACACTAGATTTTAAATAACTGGAAGAAACGTGGAAATAAAAACAGTTCATCAATAATGACAAAGCGCAAGTGTTAAAAAACCCAAATAAATTACATGCATGAAAATTTTAATTTAGAAGTCAAAAGCTGCATAACAAATATAAAATAAGTAGAATATTAATACTGTGGTAGAAATCCATACCTTTAGGAACTACCATGTTTTTTTAATTAACTTCTTCCTTCTAATTTATTCAAAACTGAAAAAAGGGAAGAAGACAGGGAGCAGCTCAGTCAGCTGGAGAGGCTTTAAATATTAAACACAGAAGTCATTATTAAGGCCAGAAGGTCCACATTTGTTAAGGGTGTCTGGGTTTCTGGGCCTGGTTCATTTCTCTGATTTCTGTCCTAGGGAGCACCAGGTTCTGAGGTGCCTGAGGAACATAAAGGAATCATCAGCAAAAAAATAGCACAGCCAAGGCACTACATTCCTATAGAAGCTGAGCAATGGAAGCAAGATCTCTTCTCCAGCAATTCCAGAAACTGTTTCCCTCTCTGCTGCAACTGCACAAGCCTAAGAATTAACTGGACAGTTCTTCAATCAAACAAAAAGTACTTCTGCTTCACGCTTTCACTTGTCCCAACCAAGGCATCCTTACTGCCTGTTTTTCATTACTTCTTCCATCAGACATCAAAGGTGACATTAGTACCTGCTCTTCCTATAAATAACCAATCAAAATTTCCTGCCATTTCAATATTGCAGTGACCAAAGGAATAAAGGGCAAAAAATACTTTTGAAAGGCATTATATCCATTAGCATATACTGTTGGGTCTATAAACAAGACAACATCCACTTCCTATCCTCTGATTTAGGTGTTTAAAAGAATCAAATATTGTAACAGTTTGTTACTTTCTTCATATTTTATGGAAACAAAACACTTGAACATCTTAGCTTGTAATTTGAAATCTTCAGTAGAGAATTGTTTACTACTTAAATAGCTACAGTTCCAAGAATACACACTTACCCTAACAGTAAAATTTTCAGTTTGGCAAACAGCTCCAAATTGCGGCATCGCAACCCCATCAAGTACTGCGTTAACTTCACCAGCTGTAATACATGGTAGCTATCCAAGTGCTTGTGCAGAACAGAAGCCATTCTGAACACAAAGAGAAAAAGATGATGTGATATTAAGCTAATACAAAAGATACTGCAAACCCCAACATCCCACATGAAGAAAGGGTGTCCTGTGGTGCACAGTACGTGTATATGGAGGGTTTCACACACCTGCACTCCTCTCCACACCAGTTTTGACACTGTTCCCCAAAGACACAGCAGCCTCTCTACATTTAGTGAACTGCAAAATTAAAACCCTCATCACAGCAAATCAGCTACTTCACACTAATAACTTCTGGTTCAGATTTCACAATCAGTTAAATTCAGAGTGGATCAAGAATAGAATAAACTAGAACAGCAACACCAGCTTCAGCATGACTGCACTCACTGTTGGTCTAAGGCTGCAAAGAGGGGGACAGATCTGCAGGGAAAGATAACACCTTAAGATCTTCTTCGGCCAGTGAGATTCCAGGAGAAAAGGCATGAATTCACCTTTAGTATTCCTTGGATCCACAGCACACAAGTATGTCCTTTTTCTTCCAAGGATCTGTTTGGTTCATACAACTACCTTCAATCCAGTTATTGCTCACAATCTGTATGTAACTCTGCTGCATCTCTGATGTACATCTTCTGTGCCCAAAACATCAGCTGCTTTCCCCTTCATTGTATGATAGGTACTACCTCTCCCTATAAACAGTGTTCAGTTTACAACTGCAGAAAACGTGGACACGTTCTCTTTTATCTCCTGAGTTTACAGTAACTGGCAGGGGCTAAGTTTACTGCAATGAGATCACATATTTGCAAATAAGCCAGATATAATATGGCATTAACTTGGAAGGGTTGAAATGCTTTTCTATGAGATTCCTAAATTTCTTCAATTACTTCTGGGTCAAGCTGCAATATTCTAAAATCTGCATAAGCTAATTATTTGTAGTGTTGATGCATTTGTGTGCAAGTGACACACCCTCCACGCCTCACTTACTGGATATTACACAGTTTTCCACACTAAATGGAAGTAGTTTACCTAGGCAATACACCTTCTTAGTAGTATCAAAAAAATTACTTTTCAAGTAGATGAGAATGTCTGCATTTCATTTTCTGCATTGTCTTCAGTATCACCAATACCTGGTGACCGCTAAATTCTTCAGCCATGTGTGCTGCAGTTACCAGCAACCTAAAGGGGAAAAGACATATTTTCCAATGAAAAACAGATGAAAATCTCCACCAAAGATTGCAGCGATTTTCTTTGTTTATGAGGGAAAGAACCAAAAGACTGCTTCAGGAAATACAGGAAAACAAATTCCAGATACTTTTGTTCTCTAGACTTTTCTTCTAAACAGCAGACCTGTATAGCACAAGTAAAGGGGTGTGTGTTGGATCAGTGCATATTGTTCTAGATGCTAGAAACCAGTGAGTCCAACAATTCTAAAAGTAGACAAGAAGTAGGGAAGATATTTAAAGACTCTACACAATTCATAATCAATCAGGAAGCTACAGATAACAGAATCAAACATGAACTGAAGTGGTCTTGGGGCAGTTAAAAAGTCAGTGTGTACCACAAATTAAATAAATAAATAATATAGGAAAAGTTTTTGGAACTAAGTCAGCTATGGCAAAACCAACACAGGCTTGCAGTATATCCACATCTCTGAATAGAGGTAGATGTTCATGAAGGAAACTATGAAAATATGACTCATTGTAATAAATAAGGTAAATTCTGCCTAAAACTTGAGAGACCCATGAGCAACACCACTCCAAGTAGGATTTTGTGGCACAAGAGAAAAAATCTATCACACAATACCCTGATTGCTAAATAAATGCCAAAGCGGTCCCTGCTGACAACCTTTCATGAAGAACAGGATGTCAGCAATCTGGTATAGGACAAGACTCAGGCTGCTGAGTTACTGCCAGTCTTAAAAAGGAAAAAGCAACACATACCACTGCACATACTTCTCAGGGGAAAGACAGAAAGCTTTTTACTACCATCCCCTGTGAAAGGAAGGCTGTAGTCTAAGAGACAGAGCTACAAGATGGCCTTGCATAACAGCATTCACATACCACTTGATTGCTAGATCCAGCTTTCTATGCAACTGTCTCAAAACAAACTGCTTTGACAATGTTTCCAAAATTAAATCATGAATGGCTAAAAAGTTACACCAGGAAACATAAGGCTCAGCTCACAGGTGGGCTCAGAAATTCCTCCAAACATTAATACATTTTTAATTTCTGTGCAAGAAAATGCGTATCATAAATAAGACAAAATCATTAATAAACTTACCTTTCTCTTACCTTGGATTCTGCCATAGGTCCAAGAGCAAAAAATAATTTTGCAAAGGTTTCAGGATTGTAACAATCATCTATAGTTTCAGACAGCAGCTGGTTAGCAACCAAGCGGAATTCAGCATTGTCAAAACCCAGCTGCTCGTACAGTCCAAAAATATTACTAATACTGTGGATATCAAGATGGGAGGCACTTTTCAGGAAAACCCTGTTGCATTTTTCTAGCAACGGATGATATTTCAGTTTAACATTTTGAAGAAACTGTAGCAATCTTTTGGCATAGTTGAAGTGGCCTTCATTCTCTTCTTCCAAGAGCTCTTCAGCCTTGTGTAGTAATCGATCTCGAAAACTCTGTGAGATAACATCAGATATGCTGACCATCAAAACTGACAAGATCCTAAAAAATTCAAAAGATTTTACACTTACACATTGAACATAACAAGCAGTAAATTTTAGACTTCCTAAATAAACCACACAAAGAAAGGAACAGTAGTCAAGGTGCTGCTGGCTTCTGGGCAAAAAGGAATTTTAAATCCAATGCAGAAAAAAACAGATGAGCAAAAACCATTTATCCTTCTACAGTAAAAATTCTGCTTTTGTTGAACTTCTGAAACGATTGGGATTTTTCAGCCATCTCTAACAAAGTTGTATGTGATAAAAGCATTTGCCTAAAGCGTGAGTCTGATTTGCCCGATTCAGATTTGCAAAAAGATCTTTAATGCTCAATAGACACCAAAGAAACAAACAATTCTCAAGTCACAGAATGGGGAGAAGAGTCATCGTCACTCCTAAAGAAAGAATCCCTTCCTGAGGGAATAAAACTTATGACCACAGGGAGAGTCACTTCTGTAAAGAAATGGAGTCCCATTCAATGAGTTTCATGTGCAAGCTCCTCACATCTGCAAAAATAAGTGTTGGCACTGCTAATGCTGTATAGAGCAGAAAAAACAAAGAGAAGCCTTCACTATAATGGCCCAGGGGGAACTGAGGCAAGAAAAAAGAAGCTTGGACTTTGGCTAGGGCTGTCTTTAAGTAGTTTTAATATTAGGGTAATGTGTGGGACATGCTAGCAAGAGAATTCATTAATTCAATGTGACCCAAAAAAAAAAATACTCTGAAGAGAAATAAACACAACATTTCTTTTAAACTTCTTATTGCTATTCACAATAGCTAACTAAATCCATAGTTAAGTCATAGTAGAGAAACTACCAATGTCAGGGAAGAAAAACACCTTCTGGTGAGTCAATAGCCTCTAAATTATCAAAAAGTCCACATTAAATTTAGAATCAGGATAAAGCTGATTCTAAATGTCTGCTATATTGTTCTACTGTAAGTAGAACAGTGGAAACTAATTAAATCTTTATAACCAATCTAAACAGTCAAACACTAGTTTTAGTTGTTTAGATTGCTTATAAAGAAATCCTTCGTAAAATCATTGGAAAAACGCATTCACCTGTCAAACAACACATGAACACAGAACACTTCTTTCCCACAAACTCCAAATTGAAGAAAAGCAACCTCCAATTGAGAAAAAAGGAAAGTGTTCAGGAAAGGCAGCACAGTAATTGTGACATAAGACTTCTCCTGCTCCTCAGCTTCATTCTGACACTTACCTTACATCCTGTATAGAATCCAGTTTCATGTCCACAATATGAGCTACTTGGCCAATTATGGGACTGAAATGCCTGCGTTGTTTGTATAAGCACAGTGTGAATTTAGACAGAGCTGGCAAAGTAAGCCTATCAAGACATCAAAGACAAACAGAAAGAATATTTACCTTTTATTTCTAATGAATAACTAAAGACAAAAATCTACTTCAACAATCACATAAAAAGAAAGTGTATATTCAAATTACAAAACAAGGAAACAAAATACCTAAGCAAAACATCTAAGTGTTTAATATTAAAGTATGTTGTGCATGTGGAACTCTACAAAAATCAGTTGTTCTTCACTTAGCCAGACCAGCCTAATAAAGATTATAGTCTCAAGCAATGATGTGAAATACATAAAATGAATGTGAGCAATTTATTACCTGAATATCACTTCGTGTTCAAGCTACACTGTATTAATTTACCTGTCAAGATGCCCCACGTGTTAAGCTGAAAGAGGCAATTCTGTGGTGCTGGTGCCAAGACTGACACTAACTTCTGCCATTACCCTAAATTACAGAATGAAAACTACAATGTCCAGAAAAAAGATATCAAAGCAAGCCAACAAAAACAACAACAAAATGCACAATAGGAAAATATTGCTGCTTTAAGATGTTTTTACTAAATTGAGATGAGCAGGCTTCTAACAACCATGTATGAGCTGAACAGCAAGCACCAAGATAAAACTGTAAATATTAAAACCTGCAATTTCCTTCAAACACAGAAATCTCCACAGACATTATATTTCAAAACTTTAAATGTTGGTCTCTGTTTTTGCAGCATCTGAATCTCTCATGTATTTGTATACCAAAGTCTGTATGTATAATTTCCAAAACCTTCAAAAATACAACTGACATTTACAATACTCAGATTATGTTTTAAACATACGTACGCTTTGAGAACTCTTGTGTAACCTCACATGCGGCAAATCATGCTTGCACCGTACACCTTTCAAAAAGCACAGCAACCCAGTACTTGCCTTTCTAATCTTTTCCATGCTTCTATAACAAGTGCTTGTGCTAGAGAATCATGGTCTTCAACATTAAGCCTTCAAAAGAAAGACATAATAGTTTGAAGTTTGCTCCCATAGTTATAAAGAAATAAGACATATGTCCATTCATTATTTATCATGTTTTACTTTTCCATCGCTCCCTCCATTCAAACAGATTATAAACATTTAATCATAAAACATATTTATCAGGAGTGCAAAACAGACCTGTTCTGCCTGCATCTCAAAAACTGAAGCACAGGACACTACACCATCTGTGTCACACAGAGTACAGAAACTGTGACAGGGCAGCCTCCCAGTCTCCCTGGGATCACTATAGGCATCCTCCCTATAAGGATAGGATGGCTAAATAGTCAAAATTCCCTCTCTTTTTATTACCAAATACAAAATATATATACATGGAATTCAATTTAATGCTCTTTACCTCAGAATACTATATAAGATGTCCACTACGACCTCATCTTCCATGTGTTTCACCTTGTTTTCTGCCAAAGCACAAAGGGTAAGAAACTGGGAGTGATTTTTCACATAGTCAGTAGTCCTTAAGAGAAGCGGCCTCTCCTTTTGCAATTGCCACAGTACGTTGAATGCAATTCCCAGATGCTTCTCAGAAAGTCCGGCCTTGTTCCTTCCAACAAGGCTGAACACTTCATCTTCATGGGTGCAGCTATTTATCTGGCTCAAAAGCAGATCACTACACAGAGTCCGAGCTTGGCAACGCCTCAGTGTAAACAAGCAAACCTGCCTCAAACAAAGCATTTTGCTATGCCTACCAGCTGTCTTTAAAGTGTCCAGAAAGATTATTCTTCCAGTTTTCACAGTAACAACAAACTCAAGTATTTGAAAAACAGTAGACCATTTTTCTTTGATCCCATATGGTCACTGTATTAAGAAGAATTCAATTCTGAGGTACCTGTAATGAGACCACATTAAAGCAGTTAAGTACAGTCACAACAACTAGGTAAAAATCAGTATCTCTACATTATAATGTTCTGAGTAAGGTAAGCTTGAGAATAACCTGCAGCCTGGTATCTTCTCATAGAAAAGCTCCCAACAATGAACACTGACATGCTTACAAATACTGTGAAGTTAGTCCACTTGGTAAGCTTTCAAATTTAGAAACCTGCCTTTAAAAGCCACGTGTGCTATCCATGCTACTACTGGGAAGGTAAAACAGAGCTTTTTAACATACCAGCACTGCATGAGTGAGGCTTGCTCATACTAAGCCATGATCCCAAACTTGGGTCCAAGAACTGCCAGAAAATTCAGGTATTGGTGGTAAAAGGAAGTAAGATGGCTTCTAGTTGGGAAGGCTGACCACCGTTGTAATACAGACTATTGAACAGTCACACGCATCAGCTGAAATCACCTGTTGTGCAAAAGAAAGGCAACCTAATTCCCCAAATTATGGTGGAAGCTACAGCCTTATCTCTTAAAATTTGCTATTAATTGGTTTCCTTAGAATATACGCCAGTTTGTACCAAGTGCTAACAACTACGTACTCTACAACCTACAACACTGGTTCCAAGCTGGGGAACACAAACCACTGGTGATAAATGTTGTGGTACACCAAAAAAGACTCATCAAATTCCCTCAACTCAGAGAGCATGGTAAAGTCTTGAAGTCTTGTTTTAGGAGGTATAATCATTAACAACAAAAATTATCAATACCTTTGGCAAACTTGAATGTTCTTCAACTGTTCACATGATTCCATCAGTGTAATGTTATTAAGGTGGTGGCAGCAGCACACAACTGAGAAAGAAAAAACCTTATTTGAGCAGTCTATGTAAGGTACTGAAATCATTCTAGGAAGTTGGATATAGGTGAATTTCTTTTGATGTCTGTAAAACAGACATCAGAGAATAAAAATCATTTAACATACTGAACTACACTGCTGTTGCTGGCACTGGGGCAGATTCAAGGAAAGCTAAAATGAAGGAATTGTAATTTATGATCGGTTATAATATGAAATGTTTTCTTCCCTATGCAAAATGAAAGCATACAAAAATAAAAGCTACAAATTTTCCAGATATTATATATTAAGTATCTTTTAAAATAATGATTTGCTTTATAGTCCCTTTTCAGATATTGCTTTTATTGCTTCTATTTGTTCCATATGGTAGTTGCCTTTACAAATAATTGACTTCCCACAGTGCTGGCAAGCTAAGCTGCAAGAAGTCAGGATAAAGTAAGTCCCTATGTAAGACGTCCTTTTCCGTTCTAGAGCTGCAATGGACCTTACATCCTCTATCCTATTGATGGGCAACGAGGATCTCTATCTAAAACAGTCCACAGGAATTTTCCAAATCTTTCTCTTTCTGGAAGTTATTGAGCAGATGCAAGTGATTTAGCCCAAACTTGTACACAATTTTAAATTGTAGTTAATTCTAATATCCTTTTAAAAGTACATCAGTAGAAAACATTGGATGTTTTCAAATTTGTAAATACATAGATTAAATGCAGGAAATTTGATCTACTTAAAGAACTATTTCTAAGGTGTTCCACTTACCGTGCAGTGTAATACACTTGAAGGACAAGAAAGTCCTTAAAATAATCTTCTACCAGTTGAAACACAATAAGCACTTTCAAGGCCGTATTACAATACACAGTAAGCCAGGAAGTCTTCCACAAATGGCAAAATGCGGACACCCGCCACTCCCCAAGCATAAGAACTATTAGAGATTTAAGTAACTAAGCCTTTAGAGAGATGCCTGTGCAGCCCAACCCCGCAGAGCCCCGGGGCCAGCGCCGGCCCCTCCGTCCTGTGCCGGGCACTGCCCGCTGCCACCTGCGCGCCGCCTTCTCCCTTCCCGCGGGGAATTCTGACCCAGAAGCGCTCAGGAAGAGCGCGGGAAATGGCTGAGCCGCCGCGCGGGCCTCAGGCCGGCGCTGGCCGGGGCGAGGGCGCCCATGGCCCCACTGCCCCCGCAGGCGGGGCGCGACCCGCGACATTGAACCCGGGTCCCGCCTCCGACACCGCCCTCACGGCGCCCGCCTCCGGGAGGCCGCTGAGGGTCGGCCCGCGAACCCCTGCGCGCCTGCGGCACCGGGCGGCACCGGGCGGGCAGGCGCGGGGCGGCAGCGGCTGTCAGCGCCGGCTCTAGCGAGGGCTGCGGACACGGCAAGGTCCAGCTCCCCCGGGCTTAAACAAGAAAGCAAAGGAGTCAGGGTCACCGGCGCAACGTTTGAGACGTGCCCGCCCCCGGAGAGCACACTCCGAGGGGCTCTCAGCTTACCCTTCCCCGGCCCTTCCCGCACTGGGGCCGCTCACCCAGCACACTCCGGCGCTCCACGTGCCTCTGCACCGCCACCCTCCGCGCGCATGCGCCAGCACGGAGCGCTGCCCGGAGCCGATGCCGGGAACCGCAGGGAGAAAGGGGAAAGTCCAGCCAGTCAGACTTCCCAAGGGAAATAAACATAACAGCTGAAAAGGTCCAAGGTCGTATTGATTATCGAGGTCGTATTTATAAAACCAGCGTTACAACGGTTTTATAACACGTTCTGAGTGGGGGAAAAAAGTCTTCCCTGCCTAGAAAAAGCACAAAGGGACTGAAGTTCAGGAAGGGTGAAGTTGAAGAGTTTGGCTTCGTTGTACTGGAATTAACGTTACTTTATCTTGCAATATAATTTTTTTATGCTTTGCAACAAAGATTAATTTAAAATGTATGAGTTCTAGAACACAAACATGTTGCAACAAGTTGTTGTATACACATAGCTCCAGATCATCTTTCTGGACCTTTTCTCACTGCCATTGATATTAACACAGACATCAAGAACGAATGACAACAATCTCAGATTGCTCTAAAATTTTATCTAAAATCACAACCAGGACTGTTACCATGACCAATTCTGACCAGCTGGTTTACAGCTGTCTATATTACAGCTTTGGGTTTTCTACTTTGTCTGTTGCTGATTTTGTATATACCTCCTCATATATTGGATGCTTATGAACATGGAACTTACTCAAACTAATAAAATACCCTCTATTTTATGTATTACAAGGTCTGTGGCATTTTAGAAAAACAGCATGTACATTTTTGACTGGATTTGTAACTGCAGAATTTGTAACTGGAACAGGTCCTGTATCCTTCTGCTAACAAATCCAGATCATCTCAGTTACAGTCTACAGACCCAAACCCTGTCAGGTGATCTCAAAAGGTGGCATTTATCTCTTTCAAGAATCTCAGGCCTTCTGCAAACTCACATAAGAATTCCAAGGCATCTGACCCCTCAGCTGCATAGGAAAACAATTCCACATTCATATATGAAGGGGATTTCTGCAAATCATATGGATTTTTCATTTACAAGATGCTGAACTCTTGACTTTTGACTTGTCAAAAGTGGGTAAAATAAAACAATGCCTAAACCAAATAAAAAAGGCTAGATAAAATTACATTAAATTTTAAGTTGGACACATAGGGAAGAAAGCAAGACTTCTGCAAGCATGCTGTGCTGAAGCCAGTGTTCATTCACTGAACAGAAGTTCACTCACCAGCTTCTTCAGGACTTCAGAACTCTTAGGGGTCAATTTCTCAATTTTATTTTTTTTTTCCAGATGTCCATAAGGGGAACATTTGTTTTTCCGGTTTCAAGAGTTTTCTCAACAGCCAGTCAAGTAACTTCCATTACTTCCCATATGTCTATGACCCAATTACCCGCTGGTTTGCATTAAAACCTAGCAAAGGAGGTCCATACTTCTATGCAAGTCTTTGTTAATCTTGAAGGTGCTTGCAACTTTATGCATTGTTGTAAACTTTCATGCCTCTATTTTTACAATATATTAACTTTGAATGGCAATACAGACATACGAGGTAATATTATCAGTAACTTCTTTTTTTCCCCCACAGTTGGCCTAAATTCCCATTTTAATTCTTTACAATCCCTAGCGAGGTGCACTGCTGGAGGAACCCGGAGCGCTTCCAGCGCCGTGCCGGGCGGTTCATTCACCAGCCGTGGCCATCTCCCGGGCTGCTCGCTGAGGCGCCGGCGGGGACGGCCAGCACCGCTCACCAGCACGTTTGGCTGGAAAGGCCTCGCATAGCTACAGCCGCTCCAGCCCCACCGGCCCTTCCCGCCCCGAGCCCGGCCGGGCCGCGGGCGGCGGGAGGGGCGGAGCGCCGCTGACGAGCCCGAGGAGGCGGGCGTCCTGTCCGTCCGCCGCTCCCGCTCCTTCCGAGCGGCCCCCGCCGCCTCCGGGCAGCGCTGTGCTGTCACCGCGACCCCCGCTCCGTCCCGGGGCCGTGGCGCTGCCGCCGCCGCTCCCGCCCGCCCCCGCCGTTCCGCCCCGGCCGCCGCTCCCGCCCTGCCCGCCACTGACGCAGCCGTGCCGCACCAGCTCAACATGGCGGCGGCGCGGCGCTGAGCGGCGCGGGGTGACGAGGGCCGCCAGGGGTGAGTGCCGCCGGGGCCACAGGCAGGGCCGGCGCGCCCGAGGGGGGGACCGCGGCTCCGGCCGCGCCGGGGGCCGGGCGGGCGGGAGAGGAGGAGGAGGAGGAGGAGGAGGAAGGAGAAGGAGAAGGAGAAGGAGAAGGTGGTCGTAGCGCCGCGGGGCCTGAGCCTCGATGTCGGCACGGGTGGGAGCCCCGGCCCCTCCCGGTCCGGCCGCCGCTCGGGGCGGGCGAGGGGCCGCCGCGGCCGCCCGCGCTCGCTCCGCGCACACTCCCCTCGTGGGGCCCCGCCACCCGGGTCCGAGGGGCGGGAGGGCCGCGGCGCATCTCGGGGGAGGCGGCCCGTGGGAGGGAAGGGGTGTGAGGAGCTGTGAGTGGGCCCCAGGCAGGCGGGAGCGGGAGCGGCGGACGAGGCCTGGCGCGCAGCGCCGGCGGTCGGGTCCGCCAGGCCAGCTGTGCCTCCCCGCTGCCTGGCGAGCCGCGGGTCTGTGCCTGCTGCGAGCGCCCTGCTCGGCCTCGGGTGCTGCTGGGGAGTTTGAATGAGTCGTCCCTCCTCCCCTAGACCGAAGAGGAACCGACCGGGCTGTCTGCGCGCCACATGTTCTCCTCCCCTCTGCAGGCCTCTCCCAGCGAAGGGGAGCCTCCAGGAGCTACCCTGGCTGGCAGGAGAGTCCTCTGCCTCTCTCTGTCTTTCGGGGGCTTCCTAAGGCGCTCTAGAGACTTCTATGAATATTGAGTTTCAGGCTCATTTTGTTTGCAGCCGTGACCAAATTAAAGTACTGTGTATATATGATTGTATTTAGAGGCACTGAGGAGGCTTTGAAAGAGGCTTAGGAGAAAAAGAAATAGTTCACTGAAACTATGGACAGAATATCTATTGTAATGCTAAACATTGCCTTTCAGTTCAGTCACAATTAGAAAATTTATCAGTAATGATAAAAAAGTAACTTTGGCCAGTAGTTGCCTAATGTTTGACTGCTTAAGCTAATTATATTTTAGTAATCATCTGAGAGCTGTCTTAAGAGAAACATGAGACCATTTTCTTTGCATAAAGTCTATTTTCTAAGATGTATCTTTTCTTCTGAGTGAATAGTTTGTGTTTTTTCATGGTTTTGTTTTATATTGCTTGCAGAAGAGGCTGTTCTTTGGACAGTGATAAATGTTTCTACATTGACTGTTCTGTAGAAAGTGTTGGGTTTTTTCCCCCACTATTTTGTTTCACTATTACCATTTGTTAATGCATTGGGGTCCAGTATGACTCAAATTTTTAGGTGCTACCATGATAAAAATATGATAACAATATGGAAATTACACATGCTTTATGAACCATTAGTTTATCTAAACTCACAGAGCTTGATTTATCAGGTTTTAAAAATGATTTCTAAATATTTCAGAAATACTGTGGTTTCTGTACACAAAGTAGATCTGAAGGCAAACATAAAAAGGATACCACCATCAGTAGTTCTCTGAGAGCACCCTTTGGGACTATATTTCTTATTAAAACTTCCTGTTTTTCCAGTCCTCTTCTGTGAAACAAATATTTTTTTAATTAGCTAGCACTCCTCAAGCTGTTATCAAAAGAATTTTTTCTTTCCCCTTGGAGCATCTCAGAAAATCTGTAGATTATGAGGGAATTTGGAGTGAAGAGTATGTACTGCAGTGGAGGATTTTCCTGTGCTGTAACATGCTTTCTCCACTACCAGTTCACTCCTCATGCTCTGTGCATTTGGGAGCCATCTTCCATTTAGGAGCAGAGTCAGTGAGTGCCAGGGAGAAAATCTGGCCATCTAATGCACTGAGGTTTAGGTAGGAGGCTGGGATGAGGCCTAGAAGGGATTTAGAGCTACAGAAGTAGAGAAGGGAGGAGAACATGAGAATAAAAGATGATAGAACGAGCTTTTTGTGGTTATGGTTGACAAATACGGGACAGCATTCAGAACCATCTCCTACGGTTGCATGGTTGTCTTGCCTTATTCGTGTCTTCAGTAGTGGGTAGGAAGGGATTCCACTGCTGAAATTAGTTTGGGATTTATGTGGCTTGAAGATTACACCCTGTGGAATACTTTTTTCCCCTTTGATACAATGCAAAAATTTACCTTTTCTTAGCACTTTATAAGTTGGAAAAAAAAAAAAAAAAAAAAAAAGGTACTTTTTTGTGCACAGACCTGACGGAAACACCATTATTTTTTCACAAATCATAACAGAAAAAAACAATACCTCCTGCATAAATCAGATAATGTAAAATTACTGCTAAGACTTGACAACTAAGATTTTTACTTGCTAGTGATAAGAGTGTGGTTAGATATTTTAACATTTTTTATCGCAGTTATCTCTTTCCTAGAAAAATAAAGGGGATGTTCTGGTAGGAACCTGTATTTCTCTTTCAATAGTTTAAGAGAATGTTACTGCCTTCTCAGCTGAATCTTACCCTCTCCCAGCTGAGGTGTTATAACTGACCGTTCATTCCTTATACCTTAGTACAAGAAGACTAAATTCCTGTTTGTAATTGTAAAAAATCATACTGAATGTGATATAAATGAGCTACCAGTGTGGAAGTGTTAGGGGTATGGACTGCATGTTTATTCAGGACCTATCTGTTTTCTTAAGTCTCCCTAAAAGGATGGCTGGCTATTGCCTCATGTTCATGGAAGACAGTGTTTCATATTGCCAGTATCTCTTAATTTGACTTCTTTTTTAGAGGGAAACAAATATTATGTCAGTTGCCCAAAAAAGACTTGTAGCATTATTCTAGAGAAGGAGACCTGATGGAAAGTGGTGTCAGTCACTTTTTGCCTGCAAGAATGTTGAAAACCACAACCATTTTGTGGTTGGCTTTTCTTGGAAGGGGCAGTCAGGTTGAAACCTATAGTGTGTGATTTCTAATGATGAGTAGAAAGTCTTCCTGCATAAATTTCATGGAGCTGTGTAGAAAGCAGATGTTATCTTCTTTTCCCATTGATATGTTACATTCATGTGATTGCAAAGACAGCATCCTAAATCTGAAATGTGTTCAAGTGTAGTAACTTATTCCTAAATATACTGACAACAAAAATCCTGTGCTGCTGATTAGTACAATGAAGCAAACCCCTTAATTTCCTTCAGTGTCATTGCTGCTAATATAGAGGTTTTGGATCTTGAAGTACAGAGGAAAAGATGGTGGTGTTTGGAGAAAAATGCTGAGGAAATTATGCAGTTTGAGAGTTGGGCTGGTTGGGTTTTTGTTGTTCATGTCTTCAGTATCATCCTAATAGAGCTGAATGCTGTCCCAGGAATGGAACCGTGAACAAATTTTCATGTCTCCCATTTTGTAATCATAATTTCATTGCCAGTTGAATCCATACTGAAATGAACATATAACATTTTCAGTCTGGGGCATCACTTTAAGCTGATATGTGCTGCTGCCGGATTTTTCCTTGGAATGGGGAAGAAAGGGTAGTTTTTATGCAGCCACAAGTAGCAAGGTAGCTACTTGTATGAAAGCTAAACACATGGGTGTAGGAGCCCTCTGTTCTCATTTCAGCCCACATTTATATTGTCTTCAAGAGACTGCAAGCACATCCTTAAAGAATGTGATATATTTTCAGTATTCATGCATTTGCATTTTCTGAACTCAAAGTTTTACTTAAAAATATATATCTGGAGATTCTACATTCTACTTTGGAAATATATATCAATGTAGTTTTATCTTCCTGCATTTGTAGATCATCTGAAACAAAATGCTAGGAATGTGAATTTATGCACTTTATTGTTCACTTCATTTGGACACTGAATGAAGAGCAGTGCAGAAGATAATTGTAAGTTGTTCTGTCCTGTCCTGGGACTGAAACAAATAAGTAGTCCCATGACCTGTTCAGCATAGTTACAAATAAAGTTGTTTTTTTCCCCTTATAAAACTAGGAAATACTCATGTTTTACTGCTTGCTGTCAGCTCTTGTGGGATGCATAACACATTGATACTTCACTTGATGTGCATCTGTGAGTGCTTTCTAGCCTGTTCAGTCAAAAGGTTCTAGTATATATTAAACTGTATCATTACTGGATCCTTGCTAGCACAGGTGATTTTGGGAAAAAAAAAATCCCCAAGATGTTTTTTGGTTTGTTTTTTTAAGCATGTCAATGCATATCAGTGATAATCCCTGGCAGAAAGATGCTTATGAACAGTTTGGGATAGTTATGTTTTTCCACTGACATAGATAATTTTGAAGGAGAACAGCTGCTGGCAGCCTGGCCTTGAGTTGGCCAGCTTTATCCTGCAAATATTTAAATAAAATAGTGAAGCTGATGGAGGTGTGAAGGGATATGAACCCTGAGGGACACAGTTGGTGAAACATTGGCTGTGGATGCAGCTGAAGTATTTTTGGTGTATTTGTCAACAAATACCAATATACTCTAAGCTGAACTGTAATTGTACTTTCAGAAGTAAAAAAAACAGGCTTGTTTTGGTAGATATACTGAAATGGTGTTCTGGTTGTTTGGTTGGTTTTGGGGATTTTTTGGTCATAGATTCCACTTAGACGAAGTAAGAGGCTTCTCAAACAGAAGGTGGTTGAGAATGATGAATGGATTGAAAATTTCAGGATAGTACTTGGGCTGTTACATTATCCTTTCTTACAGAGTTTTGAAGGAAGAAGCTGGCTGATCAAGATTGTCCTTCTGCATAGCACGTTTTTGAATGTACGTATAGTGAGCATCTTGGGGGTTGATTTCAAGTTCATATTCCCTTCGCTGGTAAAATTCCACCAAGTTCACAATTAAAAAACACAACGTATTGAGGTTAAGAGTATCCATGTTCTAACTGAAAGTAAGTTTTTAGTGATAAATAGCAAAATTCATTTAAACCCTATTGTTATCAGACATATAGCACTACTGAGCTTTACTTACAATTTTCTGACTTCATTCTTGGTATTTTCTTGGTGTTTTTCTTTGTTGGTATTTAACATTCCCCTGTACTTGCTTTTAGTACAGACAAGTTTTAAATGATCAGTATGTAGATGATGGTGTTTGGTGTTCAATACTGAAATATGAAGAAATGAATAGAAACTAAATTCCCTGTAATGCATCAGAAGGTCTGGCTGACAGTGCAAAGGATACTTTAGTGTATTGGAGAGGAAATGCTCACTTGGCTTGTAAAGTAGGTAGGATGAATGTCACTGGTATCTCAGCCTGGTTTGTAGGCAACATCAGCTCGAGAGTGAGGTGTGTTTGCTTGGCCTGGTGTTTGTTCATTCTGGGAGTTCATACTGACCCATTGACATACCTGTCATTTAGAATCAAGTGCAACCAGTATTTAGGGGATATTACTGGAGGATTTAGGGAAAGTGCAGGGAAAATTGGAGGTAATGGATAGAACATTGGCTAACTTAATTTGTTCCACTGTTCATGAGACAATGTAGAAGTAGAAAAATATCAAAATGAGAAAAGTTGGTGGGAATAAGGGCTTGGGTAGAATTCTTTATTTCTGATTTCTCTCTCTTATCCTGTTCTCTACAAAACCAAGTTAAAAATTGACTGACATAGGTATATTTATGTTTATTTTACAGTTTAGCTTTAGTCATTATCAGTGTTTGAAATAAAAGTTGTCATATATTAAGATAGTTGGCATTTATTTTGGCTACAGTACTGCATATAAACATTAAGGCATACCTGAATGTTTCTCAAGCAAATTGCTCATAAACCAGGAATTAAATCACTTCTTAGTCAAGCACTAGAGTTTGGGTACAGGCAGTCAATCAGTTGTGATATTGCTGGTCCTTAGATGTCTCAGTTCAGTTAAAACTGTCAGTTCTACCACCAAACAATATTTATTGTAGCATTTATTCTGAAGGGCATCCTTGAAAAAAGTATCCCCATGCAACTGTTTAGTCTGTTCTGCTGCTGACAGCGAGTTGATGGCTGTCCTTTGGACTGGTCTCTGTTCTCAAAGCTGTCTGTCTACTGCCACCTGTCTCATCCCTTCCCTTGCCCACACTGCCACCTTCCTTGCCCTGCCTCAGAGCTCGTGCAGCAGTGTGGGGACCTGGTCAGCCTCCTGCTAACTGAGGTCATCCAAGGGCTCAGCTACAGGCGTCGTCTCACTGTTTCTCTGCCAGGTTACAAAATTGGTTGTAATGGGAGAGAAGTCCTAATTCAGGGACGGGACCAAGCAGACTGAGATAAGCCTGCTGCTTTTGACAAGTGTCTGGCTTGTGTGAATGAATGTGTTGGTTACACACCTAGAGGGTATCGAGTGAGATTCTGCATTTTTTGAAGTCTTCCCTTGCTAAAAATCACATGAATAATTAATTACTGAGTGGTGTTTAATTTAAACTAGTCCTGCATTGTTCTTGTGATGTTTACTGTGTAATCTTGGCAAAATGTTAGGAATAACAGCATAATTAGAGAGAATATAGACTAGCACGATTGCACTGCTGTCTTGATTTCTTACAACCTCTTGTTCATAACCTGAGAGTTGACAGATGGTGACAATTGAATTTTTCAAGGCTGTTCTGTGGTACAGCTATGAGTGAAGCTTCAGGAGAGATGGGTACAGTGTGTCAGCTAGACTTGAACCATGTTTTCTGGCAATAAAAAATAACTAGAACTGAAAATCTATGGATTATATTCCAAATTCTGGAAAGGGTTCGCCAGTCTTACAGATCCTTTTGCTGTCTTTGTTTTTTTTTTCCACTCTGAAATAACTCAGAGGATAGAGATTTAGAAAAGGAAAAGAATATACATGTAAATAATGTTGGAAAGCCAGAGATGCAAATGGAATGAAGACATAGCTTGTTACACAAAAATAAAGGAATTTATATACTCAAAGATAAGGGAAAAATTGCATTAAAATTCTTGGTAAAAAATCATACAATCATTTAGGTTGGAAAAGACCCCTGAGACCGTTGAGTCAAACAGTAAACCCAGCAGAACCAAATGCACCATTAAACCAGGTCCTTAAGCAGCACATCTGCACATCTTTTAAGTATCACCATTGATGGTGTCTCAAAAGAGATAAACAGTGACATAAAAGGGAAAGAAACAAGGAAAAACCAAAATAATTTTACTTAACAGCAGTTCCAGAAGAACTACACCTTTAGTTTTTTTCATCTAGAATGGTTTGGGTCCTAACTGGAGCCTGATAACTGCAGTGACAGGAATCCAGATAATATATTCCTAAAAAATGGAATACTTAAGTCTTATCCATACCTTACAGTATCTTTTCCTTTTGTGTTTCCCCATCTGAACTATGGCAATCATGTTTAAATTTAACATTATTGCAGCAAACGTGAATAAAATTGCTCATTTGGGTCTACAAAATATGAAAATTACCTAAAATATTTTGCATTCTTAAAAATGCTTACCTTTACTGGTTTTTTGGTGGGTTTTTTTTGAGGGTTTGGGGTTTTTTTTTGCTTTTCTGCAGATTTTGTTGTCTTTGTAAAGTCTTCTGCATTGACTTACTTACACATAATTTCACTCCACAGAAGGAAAAACTAAATTTTATTTTTATTATTTACAGTATTTAAATTTCTGAAGCCATGGGAGTAAAGGTCCAGAGACCTCGTTGCTTTTTTGACATAGCCATCAACAATGTACCTGGTAAGAAAATGAAAACACCCATTTAGTAGCATAATATTCATATAAGATATATATAAGAATAATTCAAATACCATTTAACTTCATAATAAATATGGTGTGCTTTTTTTTTCTAGCTGGAAGAGTGGTCTTTGAATTGTTTTCAGATGTGTGTCCAAAGACATGTGAAAATTTTCGCTGCCTTTGCACAGGTTTGTAGACTTTACAATTTATTCTGTAATTTTTAATGTAATATCTTGTTAGCTAGTTTGATGGTTGTTATTTTTCCTGTTATTATACCTGACATTTCCTTTCAGATAAAAAGAAGTGAGTTAAGCATTGGTTCTTGCCATCTCCAGAGATTTAACTGATTTGTCATACACATATAATGTGGAATCCAAGCCAGTTGTAGCTTTGGCTTAGTGCGTTGCAGGGAGTATATTCTAACCAACTTTAAATACAGACACAGTAAGCTGATTTTCTGTTACTAGCACAGATATCACTGTTCACATTATATAACATCATCCAGTCTTGAAAGGTAGCCATAAGAGGTCAACCATGCAGACTTACTTTTCAGTCTTATGTTCCTTTGAGGTATTTGAAAAGTATTGCTGGTATTTGTTAGTTGTTTTTTTCCTTTATTTTAATTTCTTTATGGAGAGTGGGGATTTCCACTCCTATGGAAATTCAGTTTATTTCTTGAAGAAACTACTGAGAAGATTCTCTCCTGGAAGCATTTCCAAACAAATTATTTTCTTGTAGACTGCATACTTTTGTTGCAAATACTGACAGTTTAGGAAAACTTAAAGCTATTATCACAAGAATAATTTTATGAATACGTAAATAGCATATCTTGTTTCTGTCTTCAGCTTTTTCTGCTTCATTTCCTTCCAGCTCTGTTATTTTTCAGGTCAAGGTCTGTTAATAGTGAATAACTCAGCAGTACTAATATGATCTGAATCAGATGTGGATGCATAATTACATTCATGTCAAGTTTACTAAAACCTGTAGTGCACCATTCATGATGTCTGCAGGAATGCAAGTGTTATCTGATCTGACATAGGCTTACTGGCACAAAATCAGATTTTCAAAATTTGTTAACAAATCAGAACTTTAACGTGATGATTTTAATGGCTGTGACTATGTTAGCACGTGACTATGGCATTCCTGATCTGCTCTCAATTGGCCAAAAGTCAGATTATTGCATAAAGGTGTTATTTCCTGCTACTGCCTTAAGTACTACTGAGTTCATACTTTGTTACTGCCATCCATAATCAAAATCAGATCCTGAACTATTTTGCTACTTTAACACATAAGAATAGTGAGAAAAATATATGGGCAGAATATTTGTGATACTGATCATCAGCAAATTAATTCAAATTTTTTATTTTATTAGTTTTCCTTACTCATCTTTTATTTTGGCAACTTTGAAAAGTGTATGCTCTCTTTGTAAAACAGGGTCCGAGAGCTCCATGTTTACCTGGCATACCCGTGTCAGGCATATGCCAAGTTAGTGGAACATACACAACTTCACATTTATCAGAGTTCCTATCAAAAGTGGTTTTTTCCTAGCTATACAAATCCATATGGAGGCTCCAGTCTGTTACAGTAAGTTCAGAGGCAGCTGCCCTTGACAAAAGCTGCCAATTTAGTAGCTCAAGATACGGTTATAGGAATATACAGTCTAATGGTTTGCCAGCACTGAGAGGAAGAGCTCTTCCCGGAGAAGAGATCTCCCACTGACTGCTGTTACCTTGAGGTTGGCTGTACCATTCACAGGACCCACCAGGAGCCACTCACCTTGCTAACTCGGCAGAGACTTTGTCTGTTTGAGGGTAGCAGGGAAGGGGGATAGTGTTGTAGCTGAAGCAGAGAGTCTGTTTAAGCACAGAGCTGATGTGAGGGAGGAAGATAGCAGTTTGTAATCAACGAGCAGGGGAGGGAACCAGAGTCCTCCTCCTTCCCACACCTCTGTTTTTGTTACGAGCCTTTATGTTACCTTAACCTTACCGTGTTGTAACTGAAGATCCGAGTGTTTCATGCATGTTCCTGAGTAATACCAGTTACCATAAACCTCAACTGGATGTTTAATTTCAGTCAATTTGCATGGAAGAGAGTAGAGTTGTATACTAATGTCAGTAAGGAGTTCTGATATAACTGTGGAGATAAAAAGTAGTTTCTGCTTTGCTTTCTTAAATGCCAGTTTCTTACAGGTATTACAGGCAAGTGTCTACCTCACAAACCAGTTTGTCATAGCTTAGTAGGTGATTTTGATTAAGTTGCTTATGTAGCACTTTTTTGTAGGAGATTCTACAGACATAGACAGTAATTTTTGGTTTTGTTCATTCTCTTCTCCTTTAGGTGAAAAGGGTACAGGAAAGTCCACCCAAAAGCCATTGCATTACAAAAGTTGTCTGTTTCACAGGGTTGTGAAGGACTTTATGATCCAAGGAGGTGACTTCAGTGAAGGTATGATGTGAATCTTTGAAGAAAACTTGAATGCTTATGGAATAAAACATTTGCAGAAGTTCGGTGTAGTGTCATTTACTTATATTAATTATTCTGTGATATCACTACTTTTTTCCCTTTCTTCTGCATAAGTCCAAGTTTACTCTTTGGACAACAAAGATGCATCTTGATTTTGCATATCTTGAAGAATAATGTCAGTGACTTGGATGCAGTTGCATCAACATTTTGTATTATAATGCACCTTTCACATAACATGACTCTTTAATCACTACTTTGTTTTAACTGTCACTTTTCCTCTTCCAAGGAAATGGCAGGGGAGGAGAATCCATTTATGGTGGCTTTTTTGAAGGTAAGAGTTTTATCAGTCTGCTCTATTTTGGTGTTATGATAATCAACCACCTTTTACATTCTGTAGTCTCTGTTCTGTAAACCTGAACTCTGTTGTTGGGGATTTTTTTAAGCTTTTATCTGACCTTAGAGGCCTTTGACTGTCCAGTTTCTGTTATTTTGTTTTACTTTTTAATGAATGAAAAATTAAAACAGAACTCCTTTGTATTTGTCTCTTTTACCAGATTTCCTTTTTAATTGCTGTTCTTAAACGTTTACTTTTGACTTGACCCACTAGCTAAAAGTTGGGGATTGTCTTCTTTTCAAGTGAAAAGGAGAAAGGTGTGATGCAAATACTTATTTAAAAGAATGCCTAAAACCCTGCTTTCCTAAGCCCAAGATGAATTAATGATAGAGCCATCTGTTTTCTCACAGTCCTGCTTCTTTTCCTGCCAGTGTTGCAGAAGTTGCAGTTGCTGTGTTTCTCAGCCTGTATCTGTCCAGAATATAGTGAAACATCTCTGTTCTTGGAGCAGTTTTTGTGTTTCACCTGGGCCCACGTGATGGGCAGCTGCTACCAGCAGGCGAGGTTATGCTCCTCTCTCCTCCCAGACAACACTTCCTTTAACACTGGTTCTTGTCCAAGCTTGCAGCACACAATTCAAAGAATTATTCACTGCTGTAGTAGGGCCAGGTGGAATTTTATATTAGACCTTGAGCATAATCAACAGTTTGCCACTGCCTAAAGAGGGAGGAGGCCTTACCTTGCACTGACTGTCCAACAAAACTTTCGACTGATTCAGCTTGCTAAAATGCCTAAAGATTATTGCAGAAAAAAATTGTCCATATTATTGAATGGATCCAGTGAAATAATTTGGCAAGCATCAGAACAAACACAAAGGAGTAGCAGGGTTTGAGGAAATGTACGACTGGGGGAGATGGAAGAAGGAGCTCAACCTTCACTTACATTCTGGCAGTTGCAGGTTGGTTGTTCAACTCAGCCACCATGTGAAACTGAATTCAGGGGAAGTTTGGCTTTTGTGCATCACTTAAGCAAGTCACCATAGGATTAGACTGGAATTTGATGCTGTGCCAGTTAACCTTTGTACGGTGACTGGGGAGTGGATGGGACTGTCCCTTTCATGGCCAGTGACAGTGTGATGTAAAAACATAGCATTAGAAATGTTGTATATTTTTCTTGCTCGTTCCTGCCACATCTATCCAAATAGTATTGAACAAATGTCCTCTCTCTGAAGAGTGTGCATCCTCCAACAGCCTTTTTGCTGTTTTGAGAAAGGAGGGAAACAACTGTCTCTTGCAGGTGTCCTAAATGAAGAGGAATGATTACATTTCGAACTTCTTAAATTTCAGTATCACTGGGATTTAGTTTGAACTGTTGACAATTATTTGCTCATAAGAAGTAGGATTCATTCAAGTTAAACTGATTTTCTTCCTGGCCAACTTGATAAATTCGTCTCTGTGTCTGAGAGACAACAGAAGATGTTTGGGATTGCTGTCAAACTGGACATCTGTGTGTATTAAAAAAATAATAAAATAACAAAATGCCTGAAATTGAGGGGTTTCTTAAGAGTTAATGCACAGCCAAGAAACAACTTCTCCAAAGAAAGTGTGCAGTATGTGCCAAATAGAAAGAGCAACAACTTAAAATTATAAGGTCTAAGAAGACAAATCTTTTGAACAAGAATACTAAAATTTTTTTCCCCTCAGGCTATAAACCATCGATTCATATTTTTTGATCTATTTTTAATACATTATCTCACTCACATGACTAGCAGATATATTTAATAAGGGTGAATTTACTTAGATGATAGCATTTACCTAAGCATATATAGTATATTTAAAGTAACTGAAAACTCTTTCTTTAGATGAAAGTTTTGCTGTAAAGCACAACAAAGAATTTCTCCTTTCAATGGCCAACCGGGGGAAAGATACAAATGGTTCACAGTTCTTTATGTAAGTATTGAAATGTGTGTGTGGTTTGCTATTTGTAAGCTGTAAAGGTGATCCTTCTAAATATTGAGGACTAGCTGCTGTGCAAAGCCAAAGTTGATGGTGTTTCACAAAGTTGTATGAAAGTAATCATTTTCCTAATGTGCTGTTTAGGGATCCTGACTATTTTTATCCCTTTTGTGTTTAGTGCTTATTGTCTGTGCAAAAGGGCTCTTGGTGGTTCTCAGTAGCTGTGTTCTAACTTGGCCAATAAAGCAAACCTGTTAGTTCCCTGTAGAACTCTTATAACTTTATCTAATAACTGCTGTCTGGAAGGAAGCAAAACAGCTCTGGAGGCTTTCAAAAGTAGTAGAGGGCTTTTTTTAGTCATGAAATAATTTTCCAATATGGTCTCATTTATAGTTAAAACTTAAATCTTAAAATATATTGCAGTGGACTCTTCTTTAAATATAAATTATTTACAGAAAACATTCTCAAAATACATCACTCTCTACCCATGTTTCATGGCTTTAGTTAATGTAATGAGTTAAGGATGTCACCTACCATGAAACCCTTATTTTGGGATTTCTGTGTGATCATAACTGCAGTCATCCCAGTTTTCTACTCTGCCATGACTGACATCTGTATGCCTTAGTAACTCTAGCAGAGGGGAAAGCTGAGGGAGAGTCCATTCTACTTCTGTGTCAAATAATCTGTAGATACAAATATTTTTTTCTTCCGGTGTTTTGTGATTATTTTCAAACGTGTAGAAGATTATTTGCAGTTTTCTTGCTGTGAGATGGGATTTTTGTATCTGTTCTTGGTATCTTCATATGTGTAGATGACATGACTTCAAATGCTGACTGCTTTTCACTAACACTGACTTTGTTTTTCTCTTTTAAATTAAAATCTGGAAACAACAGAACAACTAAACCTACACCTCATTTAGATGGGTAAATATCTCTTTCCTTCTTCTTACATTTGTTTGGGAACTGCCTCAAGAAAATTAAGTACTAAGAATTCTTATTTTTATTTAAATTCCTCAGACATCATGTTGTTTTTGGACAAGTCATCTCAGGTCAGGAGGTTGTGAGAGAAATAGAAAACCAGAAAACAGATGCATCTAGTAAACCATATGCTGAAGTACGCATACTGAGTTGTGGAGAGTTAATTCCAAAATCCAAAGGTAAAGTTAAACTCTACGTTTTTATAGATGCAAACTGAGAGGTAATTTTGTTTGTTTTCTTCTGTGTTGGTTGCTTACAAAAATATTTAGACACTTATTTGTGATGGATGATGGGGCAATTGGTGAAAAGGTGAATAACATTGCAGAGCGGTTTGTCCTCTAAAGACCTTAAAAGTTGTTGATGCAAAAGACACTAAAGAGCAATCACATCTGCTTTCTTCGAAGCTTCTTCTGTCTTGGCTTTTCTTATATTAGCTAAATTTTAGTCCAAAGTTGGCAAGCAAGTCACAGCAAGTAGAGTGCTTTGTTAAACATAACACTTTTTGGAAGGTAGTGAACTTGGAATTGGCTCTTTGGCTCCTACGCTTTGATTTACCATAAACTATATTCTTAAAGAGGAATATGGCAGAACCTGTCCTTCTTTCTGGAAGGGATGCTCTGCTCTACTGTTTTAGAACTGAACATGGTATGAGAGCTTGGATTGAGCCTTATTTTGTAAGAGAAGCAGAATCTAAGATGTTGCTGTCACAATGGAGAATCTCCCAGGATGCTTGTTTTGTAGGAACTATCATGGGGATCACCATGCTATTTCATTTGTTGGTCCTGTGAAGAGTTGCACCAAGGATATTGAAGCACAACACAAGAATAATTGCTTGTTTGGCCTAAGGAACATGCAAACATTCAAACTGGAGCTCCTTGGGTTTTCCCCTTCTTTTTGATACAGTTCTGTGATCACACATTGTGGTATCTCACACAAAGGCTTTGGAGTCTGAAGTTACTTCATCAATACCTCAGAATTCCAAGCGAAGTTGTGTTATGGCTCCTGACTTCTCAAAGGTTCTAAGTCAGCCTGTGTGTGAGGACACAATTGTGTTTTTTCTGGACAGTACTCAGGAGCATAGTGTCTCTTGGGAAATGCACAGGTGTTGTAATTAGAAAATAAAACAGTGCAGATATGGGATGAATGAAGCTGGTGGATGACATACATACCATATATGTCTTAACTGGGTTGCCACACTCCCTTTTTAGGCCAGTTTAGAACACTTGAATGACTAAATGGCGCTGAGCAGTCTGATGACTTAAAGCCATTAAGCAGGGCTTTAAAGTACTTTTCATCGAAAGAGCGAATGAAATAAATACAAAAAAATGGGGTTTTCTCTTTTACTTCTTCTAAAATAGAGTGGGCTTCTGGAAAGACGTGACAGTCTTACCCTACCCATTTGTCTGTGTCCTTTTTTCTCTTGACTCAGTCCTGCTGCGTTCCTGGCAACTGGTGTGCCATGGAGGGAAATTGATGCCAAGGTGATGGGATAGCCCACTCCATAAGGCTCAGTGTTAGGTAATGGTGGGCAGTAGGAGTGTTTGGAGAACAAGAAGCCTTAGGCACCAGGGTCAGGCTGTTGGAGGGCAGAGCTGAGTGTGGGGGAGACAAAGGCCCTGATGGGCACTAATGCAGAGCCAGCCTGGTGAAGATGCTGCCTGACAGACTGTGGTGGAAATCCTAGTGAGTGGAGAATCCTGCTTTTGAAAGGGAAAGGCTGTGTGTGTGTAGGACCTGCAGAGGGAAATGAGCCACTACTGTGAGAGATGGAGCTGTTGGTTGAGTGCACAGCATGGAACCACTGATGAGCTATGCTGACCTGGGGCAGTGGAAATAGGAGGAACAGTTTGACTACACATCAGCTGAAGTAAATTTGCCAAGCTGCTGTCCAAAGGTCACAAGTGGAAGAGGAGAGGCCCTTGGACTTGTCAGTGAATGGAGGTAGGCCAGGGAATCTAGATAGAAGGAGCTGTTTCTGGGACACAGTCAGTGTCATGGAAGATGATCAACAGAGAGTCATCTAACAGTGGACTGTTTTTAGTACAGTACTATGGGAGGCAAAAGGGAACAGATTCTGTGAAATACAAAGCAGTTACCAGGGGAGACTGCTTCTAAAAATTTGCTGTTAAGACAAAGGAATAAGGAGGTTGCCTGTGAGGGAACTACAACGATGAAATTTCTGTGGGAGGGTACATTAGGATAGCAAGGGAGTCATAAATATTTATTGCTTGAACTTGTCTGGCAGGCAACACAAAGAAAGGAATTAGATGGTCTTTATGGAGTGAAAATAGAACTGGTACTTGAGTTTAACAGGAAAGCCAAGGTAGCACTAGTAGAAGGAATCACAATAGAAGTTAGGTGCTTGGTATGAATGTTTTTCTCTTAGATAAAGTTGAGGAAGGTGGTCTGATTTTTGGTGTCACGATGAATAGCCAGGTGAAGTGCTTTATGAATGATGCAAATCATCTCCTTGTGTACAAGAACTGGATTTATTTAGGGATGAGTGTATGATGACTGAGCTACCTTACTGGATGCCATGAACTGAATAGTACAGCAGTCACAACTACATATTGCAGAGGCCTATACGAAGTTTTTACTTGGGATTTGAGAGGATAGAAAAGTAAAATGTTTGTTGTATTTTCCTTTGTTTTTCTTTTTTTTTTTTTTTATCTTTAAAGTTGGAAGAATTAGTGAAAATGAATGAGAGAAGTTAAATTATAAAGGAAGAATCTCTCTGGCCAAGTGGTATCATTTTTAGAAGATCTTCAAGTTCCAGGGAAAATCCTGAGATCTGATTAGAAAAAAAAAAAAAATGGGAAGAAAACCAAGTATTAACCTAGTATTTAGAAAGGTCATTATGGACTAACTAAGCTAATATATTTCACAGGAAAAACTGTGGAACAAAAAATGTAATTTTAATTTTCTTAAGGACAGGTGGGATTTTGATACTAGCTGACAAAGTTTTGCAGAAGAGGACCTAGTTAACAAGCCTGACTGTACTGTTTGAGGTCATGACTTTTGCTTCATCAAAGGTATTTCTGAGATGTTTTTAGGAATGTAAGGCACTGCCATTCCAATCCAAAACTGAAAAAAACCCAAGTGGCTTTGTGAGTGGACAGTTTTTAACAAGAGCCTCTAATGAAGATTTGTCACAAGAAGTGATTTTTTTTAAGGGAGTCTGCACAGGGCAGTGCAAGGCTTGATTCACGATCTTGGCTGATGTCATAGAATTAGTGCTTGTAGGAGTGTGGTTTTTGCAACTAAGGCAGATTATGGCTGCATCCATAATTCATCAAGGAACAGTACTGTAATTAGGTAATTCTGTCAGTACAAAAGAAAGTATCAGTACAAATTATCAACCACTGATATAGAGTACAAAGTTACTCATTTAGGAATTACGAAATATCTCTGAAATAAGAGCAGTCATGGCAAGTGGTGATCCTGGCAAGTCATGTCTTACCTGGACTTCTGATTTGCATATCCTCCATTTCTCTTTACTTATGCATTCAAACCCTTGAGCACTCATTTTGTCTGCAGGCTTGTCAGACACCACTGTTAGCCCCCTTTGCATAGGCTGGTTGCTGTGAACAGTTGTTTCAGGTTTCTCTGTTTCAGATTTTTTTTTCCCTAGTGAACTGACCACTAGGTACAAACTGTGTTGACTGTTCCAAGTGAAGCTGGAGGTGGCTTTTTTTTGTCTTTTTTTTTATTTCCCCTTCCTCTGCTGTTGCAGTGTGGTAGATTGTTTGTCTGCAAAAACATCTATTCCAGAGGCACTGGGGATACAGGATTCCTCACGGTGACAATGTCATCTGATCAGCAAGAATCAAGTGTGGTGGTGTCCCCTAATGCACACCTCTGAGGACTTGACTAATGTGTATGATTTTCATTGTGAGAAACAGTCGGTTCTTGAACAAGCAGTGAGAGATATAACAGGAATTCATGGCAAATAATGGAGGCAAAATAGAAAAAAAGAGCTGATGCTCTGAACAGCAGGCAACCAAACACTGGAAAAAATTATCTGAGAAAATAACTATCTAAATCTCCTGAATTAAAGGCACCCTTTTTCTGGAGATTGCTGTGGTCCAGCACAGGTTATTTGATTTGATATAAGGTAACTAACTATTTGGTTGTCACTGCTGTGAATTACAAGATGACATGATTTGTTCTGACTTTTGTGTTTACTGGCTAGGTAATTTCTTAATTTCAAGTCACGGGGTTAACGTAAGACTTGCTACAGTCCCCAACAAGCTGAGACGCAGAGAAGACTTGGCTGTGTCATGCGGCATGATCATGTAATTCCCGAAGTCTGGCAAATGCTGTACGTGACAGGGAATGGAGTAGGAAGTGATATATCTATTTCAGATGTGGTCATAAGTTGAAACCTGATCCTGAAGTTAATGAGCTGGAACAGTTGGACTGTAAATAGAAGTCTGTTTCTCAATGACCTTCATGCTGCAGGATTGGTCTCATTTGTTGCGATCTGTAATTGGCCAGCACCAGGTTGGTTCAGTAGTCAAAACAGCATTTGCTGCTGGACCAGATAGTTAGATGTCTCCAGAAAGTATATCCAAACTGTCTTGCTGGATACTCTCTGTGCTGTGTAAATAGTTCTGGGCCTTTTACTTTTGTTTGAGGTTTGGGGTTGTTTTTTGTTATTTGCTGCATGTTAAGAAACACATTATATTTGTTGAGGTAGTTGCTCACTAACATCATAGCCTCCATTTTTATGTATTACCTACTCATTTTAAAATAGTAACTTTAACTACCTGAACTTGTTACAAGAATGCAGGTAAAACTGTCACATAGTTTTTGACACATGAAGGAGGGAGAAAATGTGGGAAATCACTGCATTTATTAATGCCTTATTCAGACATTTCTGAAATTGATCTTGGAGACATCTTGTTTAACCTGAAGGCATGTAGGAAACAATGTAACTTTCCTTTGACTGGGCCAAAACTGGAAGTTTTGAATAGATAAGAAACATTTGACTTTTTTAACAATTTTTGGTTTTTTTAGTGTTTGGAGGTCAGGTGAGGTTTTTCATTTTGTTGTCACCCAGCCTGTGTGACATTTGTCCTCGTTGATTGAAATTAATTTGAAAAATACTCAGTTTTCTTTTATAAATATGTACTTGTTACATTCTCTGAATTTATATGTATTTACACAATCTAAAACTGATATAAAATATTAAAGATACTTTCTATTAAATATAGTGCTTTAATAAGGATGTTGAGCAAAAGTTTGAGAAAAGAACAGCAGTTATCTTGGTCTGGACCTACAAGAGAAGTAAGAAATATAATTAGATCTGTCTTTTGGAAGCGTTTTGCAAGAAGCCCTAAAAAACATCTGATGAGGACCAGCTGATTTCAGTCAGCAGGCTGTCCTAAACTGATAATACTACTTGCTAGTTGATGCTGCACTCAGAAATGACCTGGAAGACTCATGTACTCTATGCAGTACAGAGGTTGTTTTTCAGTCGGTTGTCAGGCTTTTGTTGGTCTGTAACAAATGAGACTTGGGAACAAACACATAGAAAACACTGTGTATAAGTCATGCAGGTATGACCTGTCTGTGGTGCTGACCTGAAAACTGAATGACATTTAGAGCAATGGAATTGAACTTCATCCACTCTACCAGTGTGGGGATTCAGTAACATTAGAACGTGGGGAAAAAAGTATCCCTAAAACGTATGACCATAAAAAGAGAGTTTGAGCTTGTTTCTGTTGAGATATGTCCCACTGTTTGATGCAGTTACGTGAATTAAGCCCGTTGTTGTAATCCAGATGTTTTATCTCAGCCAGTTCTTTTGGAAGTGGGTGTTCTGCATCACTGTGAAGAGGAAATCTGTCACCACTGTATGTATCACTGCATTTTGAATGTGAGACCCGACAGAATAAGACACTGAGCTCAATTCCATGAATACTCAGTTTAGTCTGTACCACTTATCTTCTATTTCAGAATTTCTCATTAGTGATTTGAATAGATTTTATATGAAGTCAGATTAAATGTGAAGCCAAAGAAACTTTTTTATAAACACTTTGTACATTAATTTTAAATAATTTCTTGTATATAGCTTATGTTGTATCATTAGAAAACTTACATGGTTCGACATATCCTTGGCAGTACAAATTTTATGCTTAAATTTTCATAAATACAATTTTTTGAAATTTGTTACATATTCTAGACATACCCTTTACTGTACTCGGACAAACAGTGTTTTCTCCGAAATTTCAGTTTAAGTAATTTGATGAAGTAGTGTCATGGCACAATTCTAAGAAGCTGAGACAAATACTCGGTAAGTTGATTTTTCTGAGATGAATTTCTTTGCTATTCTGATTTAAAGCCAAGAAAGAAGAAAAGAAGAGGCACAAGTCGTCTTCCTCATCCAGTGACTCTGAAAGTTCAAGTGATTCAGAATCATCTTCTGATTCCTCATCGGATTCTGAGAGTGCTTCGGAAGAGAAATCTAAAAAGCGAAAAAAGAAACACAAAAAAAATTCCAAGAAACATAAGAAAGAAAAGAAAAAGAGAAAGAAAAGCAAGAAAAGGTCAATATTGAGATTTTTTGTTTTGTTACATGTACACCACACAGTACCCTTTTTTTATAACTACAGAATAGTATTCTGTAAACAACATAGGTTTGGAAGTTCAGGAGACAGTTTCCGTATACAAGCATAAATTTTCTGCTGTGATGGTAAAGGGTAGTTTTCCTTTGTATGTGTGCTGCAGCTTGTAATGCAGTGAAGGAATGGACTAGACTTACTTGGTTTGAAAAGTTGCAAGAATGCTTGGTTTGAAATTAATGGTGATAGCTTGTTTCCCTAAATTCACTTCTGTACAATTCAATTTAAATTATATGCAGTGGAACTTAAGAGACTGCAGTATGGAGCAATAAAAGCAAAATTAAATGTAAAATCAATAAATTAACATTCTTAAATTTTTTTCTGTTTGATATGCCAAAACTCTTGCAGTTTTGCTGGAAGATAATGAACCTTAGAAAGCACTCTTGTTTCCCAGAACGTTCTTTTTAATCTGATAGTTTTGTTATAGTTCAGTGTGAAATACAAGTTGTGTTGGTGCAAGTCGCATTTTTCTAAGCTAGCGGTAAAATTTAAGAAATGGTCACTTAGAGCAGTGCTGCCTAAACACTGTTTCTTTGGGCCTAAGCTCATTTCACTTACATTTGTAAACTGCTTGGAGTTACAATGGTCTGTAGACAGTTATATATGCTAGTGTAAAATCTGAATTTTACTCTTCTGATTGTGTTTTTAAAAGAAAAAAATCGAACAAAACCACTGTGTCTCAATAGTAAAGGTATATTCAGTGTTGCACCATTGAAATTCATAGATAAAAGGTGTTAGAAATCTACTGCAGTTGTATATTTTGGAGCAAAGATATTATAGGGGAAAAAAAAGTTGCTTCTGAAATAGCTTTTTTTCTGAGATTCTCGTGGTATCCTTGTGTATTGAATTAAGAGAATTTCTGACTTATTTAAATAGATTAAAAGGTCTTCCCTCATCCAAATAACTCAAATTATTACATGCTTTTTATACAAAAATAAAGCTCTTCCAGTGAAAGTGAAGATGAAAACACTGAAGCACAGCCATTATCTACTGTCCGTCCTGAAGAAATTCCTCCTGTACCTGAAAACCGGTTCCTGATGAGGAAAAGTCCTCCTAAAGTAGATGACAAAGAAAAAGAGAGGAAAAGCAGAGAAAAGGAAAGAGAAAGGTAATATATCTGTTTTAAGTCCGACTATGTGCTGACAGTGGTCTGGTCACATTACTATTTTAGAACTCTAATGTTGAATCTTTTCCCTGTTAAGCAGTTCCATGTTGTGAGCAATGCTGGATGAAAAATGGATTTCTCCCTTTACTGGCAACTATTGTCTTTGTCCTGGAACAAAGGCTTAGTCTTTGAACATGGTTTTAGTGAATAAAAAATTTATAATGACTGACTCAAGAAAAGCAAAGTAAAATGTACTGCAATTTCATTTAGAATTTGTTGGAACTGTCCAATCTGAATTTATAATTTATTCTTCTTTAAAAATGGAAAAACCTGGATATTTCCTAAAATATTCTGTGGTCACAAAATCTGAAGTTTTACTGTGTGTTTATCGCTGTCTGCAGTAACAAAATTGTGTGTTTTCATTTAGTTTCATTTTCTGAAGAGGTTTTAAAATTTTTCTCTTTCCTTCTTTCTTACTGTTATAAATAATCCCTCTTTTTTAATTGTTTTTAGTAATCTGTCGAATTCACAGTCAATGTACCAGAGGAGACTGTTAGTGACCAGATCTGGAAGGAAAATAAAAGGAAGAGGACCAAGGGTAAATGTTTACGAATATGTTCTCCAGAATTTCGAAGGTGGTAGCACAGCCTCACTGCTGGTGTTACTAACCCTTTTCATTAGGATAGTTGATTTTAAAAAAGGGCAGCATAATTGATTTGGGGACTGAGGCTTGAAGGAAGACAGGAAGGAAAATTAGATTAATTACCTGTTTGCATACTGAGTCTTTTTGAAGGAGGGGGTGAGAGAAAAACTTAAAAATGCTTTATTTGTTTTTCTGTTTATTCTTACAATTAGGTCAAAAAGGGTTCTAGTAAACACAGAACCAGTACATCATAAGTGCCAGGAATGTGGGAAAGACTTCTCTTCTTTTTGGCAGGGGGTAGCTGTCAGATTAAGTCTTCTGATATTCTGAAACCATATGTTATGTGCTGCTTGTATTAAATGTTTTTAGTAACTGAAGTCTCTATCCCTCAAATTATTAGTAAAATCCATAGAAAATTTGAAGTATTGTTTTTGTGTTTCTTGTCAAAGATAAGAAGAATTCTAATTGTTGGAAAAGAGAGTTGCGTTTGTGGTAATTAAAAGCAACAGAAAACCTCTCATCAAACTACAAAAATCCTGAAGCTGAAGTTAAAAACAGTTACTTACTGAAGTTAAAAACAGTTGTTTGATCAGACATTTTGTATTCCTGCTCTAGCTGAACATGAGATTTATTTGTCAGTAAGTTAGTGACTTGTCCATGTAAACTTGGGATATACACCTGAAGTGTCATGGCAGGTGTGATGTGGAACCGACTGCCAGGGATAACAGTCTTGCTTAGGTATCCCAACATGTGAAATCCAAACTCACACACAATTTCCTCTCTTTGCCTCCAAGCGTTACCGGACGCCTTCCAGATCCAGGTCAAGAGACCGTTTCCGACGCAGTGAAACTCCTCCACATTGGAGGCAAGAAATGCAAAGAGCTCAGCGAATGAGAGTGTCTAGTGGAGAAAGATGGATAAAAGGGGACAAGTAAGATTATTTCTTTCTGGAATATATGCACTGAATTTTTTTATTTATATTTAAAAGTAATACCTGTCATCTTAGATTTTCAATTACAGTTACTTTCAAAAAAAAAGAGAGTGCTGACTTGGTTATCCCATTACTTAACTGTGCCTGATTTTACTGATGCTACTATAAATACATAGTTAGACCTGATGTGATTTAAGTTGTGAGGCTGTCTCACTTCTGACTTATTTTTTTCAGAATGGAGGGGATTTAAAAAGTTTAAAAAACTTTATCTTTCTCTCTCCAAGGAGTGAAATAAATGAAACCAAGAAAGATAATCAAAAGAGCCCAGGAAGAGGAAGAGAGAGAAAAGTATCAGACCACAGACAAGTTTCTGAAAGTCCAAGCCGAAGAGGGGAAAAAGAGAAGAAAAAAGATCACAAATCCAGCAGTAGAGACAGGGAGACAAGAAGGAATTCAGATAAAGATGATAAGCATAACAGAAGCAAGGCCAAGAAGAGAGCTAAATCTAGAAGCCATAGTAAAAGCCGAGAGAAATCAAAAAGTAAAGAAAGAGACTCCAAGCACAGTAGACATGATGAAAAGAGAATAAGATCAAGAAGCAAAGAGAGAGACCATGAGAAAGGCAGAGAAAAAGAAAAGCGTTATGATTCTAGAGGGAGAGATAAAGAAAGAAGTAGGAGCAAGGAGAGAAGTAAAAGGGCAGGCTCAAGAAGTAATGAACAAGAGCATAGGAAGAGCAAAGACAGGGAGAAACGAAAGTCAAGAAGCAAAGAGCGTGAGCATGGCAGAGGAAAACACAGTTCCAGCAGCAGAACGAGGGATCGAAGCAAAAGCCGAGACAGGGGTAGGAGGGGAAGATCAAGAAGCAGGGACAGGGATCGTAGTAGAAGTAAAGACTATTCAAGGAATAGAGATAGAGAAACAAGACGAAGAGGAAGATCAAGAAGCAGAGAAAGGAGAGGTACACCAGATAGATACAGAGGAAGAGAAAACAGGAGAAGGAGAGACTCAAGGAGTTCAGAGAGGGATGAAAGTCAAAGCAGAAACAGAGATAGGTATTCAAATAGGGAAAGTAGAAGCTCATATAAGAGGAATGATAGTGAAAGCCAAAGGAAGAGGCGTTCAAAAAGCCGTGACAGTAGTAGTCCTGAGTCTAGCAAAGAGAAGAAGTCTAGTAGAGATCAGGATAGAAGTCCAGATTCAAAAAAGAGACCAAGTAGCAAAGAGAGAGAATCAAAAAAGTCATATTCACGCAGCAGTAAAGAAAAGGAAAAGACCAGATCCTCAGCAGAAAAAGAAATAAACCAAAAATCAAAGAGTCAGGAAAGAGATCATGCCCCTAGTAAGGATAAAAAGTCTGATCATGAAACAAGTCCTGGAACAGATGACGACAGGCATGGATGAGTTTGTGGACTTAATGTTTCCATTGTCTCAAAGTTTTAGAGACGTTTTGGGGAACGCCTTTTTTAAAGATGCGGACTTCAGTTTGGTCTTTTGATAATCTAAACCTGGATCATTTGTACTGCTAAAGTTTTAATAAACTTGAAATGAAAAACAAATTATATGTGTAATACAGTGTGCTGTGTTTTAAGTACTTCATTGGATTATGTATCCTTCCTGTGTGTTGTCAGCTAGAAAGGTAACTTCTCTGCCACAGTTGTTTTTTACCTGATGAACGTAGTTCAGTGGCTGCCTGTGAAGACGCTTGTTCCGTATGTGAAGAAGAAAGCTGCAGATATACTTCATGTCATCTTAAAGCTAGGAGAATATTGCAAGGTGTCCAGTACTCCAGTGTTGCTGCATCTGTATTTCAGTAGGTATAAATCGTAAGGAAATTTATTTATAGAGGTAAATTACGCTATTTTTGTTTTAACCACAAAGTGAATTAATTTAAGTAAATCTTAATTGTTTGTATTTCTTTCACTGCCAACACTAGAATTCCTTCATGTTGTAAGGCAGTCATCTGTTTGGGAGTTAAATCCTTGTCCTAAAAAATATTTTTAAGTGCTCATCAGTGTAACTTTCTTCCCGTAACCTTTTTCTGTTCCATGCTTTCATGTTTGTCTACTGCAGAAAATTCAGCTTGGATGCTTCAGACTGCCCTGTGTCAGTTGCTGATTAGTGGATGCACAGAGAGGAAACAGATTACCAGAATTTACAGTGGGTGTTAGAGTAAGGAATCAGGAAATCCTTTCAACTCTTGCTCCTTAAGTCTAAGACAAAACTATTGCTATTCTCCAGCACTGGTTTTTGGAGTAGTTGAAACAGAATTTCAAATAATGTTCTAAGACAGGCTCTTAATATTAGTTTTGTTTTTAAACTGAAATTTGCTTTCCTCCATTTCCCCTCATTCTAAAGACTGTACTTGTGAATTCCTTCTCATTCTCTACTATGTGTGTGTCCCTCAAACCAATTCCCTCCCTTTTCTGCTTTCCTCTCCTGCCTCTAGGTCCCACCCCAGTTTCTATTTCACCACCAGGCCTTCATGTCAAAGAGAAAGAGTTTGGCTTGTGTTGCTGCAGGAGTGTCCCAGTATGTGCCTCCCCAAAGAGCAGCTGGTATGTGGTGACTTAACACAGTGGGCCAACAGGAGGAGAGATTTGGTACAAACACCAACACTCCTTCCAGTCCTTTGAACTATTCACACCAAGGGCTGGCAAATCTTTAAAGTCCTGAAGAGAAGGGACAAGCATTGATGTTAAACTGTGTCAAAGCAAACCAATATTGTAATAGTTGAAATTTTTGCCAAATCTTTCGCTGTGTGACATAACTTGTTTTTACTGTCTTTTTTATGAGCTTGTCAATATTTTTACTCTATAACCCACTTTATGATCAGTGTGTAAACAGTGTATGTTTACAGCAGATTGGCAGAATTGCTGAAACTTGACTTTACACTGTGATCCAGCAGTTGTTACTCTAAAGGAAAAAAGTTACGTCCTGAAAGAAAAATAAAACAGAGGATTATGAACAACTTAAGCAGCATTTTTAAAGGAAGACAACTAGAAATGTGCAGTTACTTTCTAGCGGAATAGTAAGTGGAGCTGCTTTAGCTATCAAGTGCTTTTTCCCTATGTTTTAGTATGAATTTTGCATAGAAGTGTCCATTTTATGCAGAATGTTTAAAAATGTTCCCAAGTCCACATGTGGTTGGACGATACAGATGTTACTTAAGAGAACTTAGGAATGAACCAAAGATTGTAGAGTGGACCTGTTCTGTCTGGACTTTGGAGGACTTTGGAGAAGTTGTCCTATTTTGGGGGACTGTAGTAAGAAAAAGGTAGGAAGTTAGGCTTCAGAAATTGTGTGGCAGCCTAAACGAAGCCTTCCTTGGTGCATTTGTACTGTGCTGTGCAGGCCATGTGCTTCAGAGTCTCATTTAAAAACTGTTTGCAATGTTCTTTCATTATTTTTAATGCAGTTGAGACACAAGCTGTTGCTGAAAAATTACGTTTGCACTACTGAGAATATTCGTGCCAGTACCACTAAAGCTTGTATAAGCATGCAAACAAAACAGTCTACAACTATAATGACTGCTGTAGAAGGGAGGAAATGCGAGCAGTCAGCAATACAGCAGTACATAGAAATTGTTAAAAAAACCCAAAACAACAAGTCTTTAATATAAAATCTCAAAATGGAGATTATGTCTAGTTATAGTTTGCAGTTGTAACTAGTTATTTCAAAAGATGCAGTTCTGTACCCTTTCATGTGGACTTTTTTCTTTGTTACAGTTCAGAAAATTATTTATGTAAATTAAGTGAACTAATTCTTCCATAGCGCTTCAAAAATTGCTGGCACAAAGCTAATTTTCTTGGTTTTAATGTATGGGGTTTTTTTAAAGCTAGTTACATTAAATTGCACAGGGTGAGATACACTTGATCTTTTGATGAGTGCATCCCTTGCCTGTATCATATTTGATGGTAAATTGGTGTAGTGCTGATCGCTCTGTTTAAACTGAAACACAACTGCAGTCTTGTGCAAGGGACAAGACTGTCCCTTGCTTTGCCAGGTTTGTGCATTTCTTTATCAAACTGGAAACTGAGAATGTCAGTTAAAAATTCGGTGGGACTGAAGCACAATCCCAGGGACAGCAAGATGTCCCCAAGCACCAGTCAGTTCCTGCTGCTGTGTGAGGAGGCACTGACTGCTGCTCCTGCAGTCCGTGAGCTGTTTCCTCCCTCAGAGCCAGAGCTTTCCTGTTCTCAGCCTCACAGTAACCACCTTGTGCTGTAGTCACGGCGTATGTAGCTCAGTGCCTCAGAGAACTGATCTGAAGTGTGTTTGAAAGCAATATGTAAGTGTACCAGAGGGGGGAAAATAGCTCATGGTCTTCCCTTGTGAATGCAGAAAAAAGTAGTACTTGCAGAACACAGCTTTTCCTGCTCTACCCCAGAACTCATCCTCCTCCAGGGAATTTGTGAACCCTAAGACACAAGGTAAAATGAGGGCACGGATTACTGGACTAGCTTTGTGAGCGTGTGTTTAAGTGTACATACAGGCTTGAAATAACTTCTAAAGGCTCATGCATTCTCTTGTATTGACAATAGATACTGACATTTTACTGATACCGTACAGCCTATATATACATGGAATGCTGAAATTAGTATTGGCAGTAGCTTTACAGACTTTATCAAAAAGAGACTGTTATTTGATGCTGGAATTTCTGGGTACTGCCATCAACTCAGAGGCAGAAATTCGTACTGAGGAGGGTAGATGGAATTTAAGGTGGTGTAGACACTATTACCTGTAAAAAGATGTGTTGCTGTTTGCTAATTTCTTAACACAGACACCGTGTTTCAGTTGTTGCCCTGTTGGGTTGGTTGTTATTTAGAAAGAAAAAAAGGCAATGGTTACATTTTAACCCTTTGTTCTATCTGGTGGTTGGAATTTTAGCCTGAAACTTTGCACTTTGTACATGAAATCCCACACTACAGGCTTTTATTGCAGTGTTCTTTGTCAAATGCCCTGAAGAATTTGCAGTGGTCCCCTAACAATGTCTGATTTGTAATAGTGTCAGTCTAGCAAGTGGATTTTAGATTAATGTAAACACAAACAAAAGCAGTCCTTTAGCTGCCTTTTCTGGAACTGTTGATTTATTGAAACAAATAAAGTATTTTTGGACACACCTCTAGGGGCATAGTAGACTCATTGCTTTTCTGATAGACAAAAATGTCTATTCCTGCTTTTAGGACTTTGCTTCTAATAGAAAATCTAAAGATATACGTACTATACTTTATCAAAGCAGCAGCCATGAAAGGCTTTTTTTGGGGTTGTTTGTTTCATTTGGGGTTTTTTGTTTTTGTGGTTTTGGGGTGTTTTATGTGTTTTGGTTTTGTTGTTTTTTCTTTTTGTTTGTTGTGGGGGGTTTTGTTGTTGTGGTTGTTGTTGTTCAACTTGAACTGAAGGATACCAGTGACAAAATTAAACTTCACACTTTGAGAGTCAATGTAATGGAAATGTAAAGAATTGTTACATGTACTTCTTTTGCTGAAAATAGTAATTTTCCTACTGCAGTATTTATCTAAATTATTAAAATGCATATCCAGACGTCTGTGAACTCAGCATTTTGCGAAATTTGAATTTGGTACAGTTCTGTAGTCACCTAGCATAAAACTAGCCTTCCATTTTGATGGTGTATGTACTTTTAGTATAATTCTTCTTACCCTTGAAAAATTCATGTCATTAGCAACACTGTTCTAACAAAACTTTGCTGCACAAAACCCAAAAGTAATCTTCACCTGCCTTTTTTTTTTTTTTTTAAGATATGTGAAAATGTTTTCTAGTTTTAGTATGAAATTTCACAAAAGTAATAGCAGTAATAAAATAAAATAAAAGTGATGAGTTTAGATAGCAAAACTACATAAAGGTACATTTTGTTAAAAATTGAATTAGTGTCTTTCCTTAATCATAAAGTCATTGTTCAAATAAAACTAATAGGGTAGTTAACATGAGTATGTTCAGAAGAGAGATCTTGAACTGCTATATATGCATGTGATTAGTTTAAAATTTATATTTGTATTCATAGAAGTGCTAACACATTAAAAAGACTAAATAAACTGAATTAATGCAGCACCCTAACTTCGAATTTAAATTCTGCAACACGTCAAGCACTTAAGGAAACTTGCTATTTTTGGCAGAAGGTTAGACATTGCTACATATATCCCCATTATAAAAAGTAGTTTGTATGTGGCTTTAGCCATAGCTGCTAATGAAAAGAATGGTTGGAAGGATTGGAAAACTTACAAATGTTAATTTATGAACAGTGGTAGGAGGAACTTGCTCATAGCTGTGTTCTTTCAGATAAAATAATTGTTGATTATACTGGCAGTATTGTGCATGTAGCATTTATCAGAGTATTTTGTAATTATTCTCAGTCTTTCAGACATTTTGTAATTTATACTTCTTAACAGGGAAGATGATCCAGTTGTCAGCTGGAAGAATGAGTTCTTGATACAAAATGTACAGCTTGTGCACTAAAGTACTTCTCAGAAATAAATACTTTTTTGCATATCTGTTAGTGTACTCCATGTCTGCCACATGTACTTTTTGCAGCATTAGCATCTTCTGCATTTTGAGAAATACTCACTTCTAAGTCAAAGGGTGCAACCTGTGCATGCAAATTCAAAATTGGAAGGGACCCATAAGGATCATCAGCCCAAGAGGGGATCAAACCATGACCTTGTCGTTATTAGCACCGTGTTGTAACCAGCTGAGCTGATCTCAGGGTCAGTGTGCTTCTGAGAGTCCAATCTCCAGCCTTTTGAAGTGGCAGTACTGTTAGTACAGATTTACAGGGCATTGTGATTTGATGTCAGGACCTCTTCAGTTAAACCAAGATCTGTACGTTTTTACTGAAGGTGTGAAGTTTCGATTTTTATTCCACGTTGCACGGGATGACCGTGTTAACAGTAGATGCAGTTAAGAGTTTCTACTACAGAATGGCAATGACAGCCTATTCACTATCTCTATATTCTAACATATAAAAATGCAGCCACGCAATGAAGCTGACCTCATGTCTGAATTGCAGACTCTGCCTGTTGCACAAATACAAGTCTGTCTGTGTGTGTGTGAAGCAGAATAGTTTTCACCAGTTACAGAAGAACTACTAGTTCAATATGAATGTAAATGGAATGGTAGGACAGCTTACAGTCGGTTTAGAACTGAGTGGAAGAACAATCTTTGATCAAAAAGTCACCTGCAGCAGTATGGCAGCCTAGCTGAGCTTAGAGCAGAGTGAGCACTTAGAAGAAAGCAGGAAAGAGTTTTTCCCATGGCCTACAGTTAGGTTAGCTGGAGTGCTAGATACACAGCCTTACTGCAGACAGTTCTTTCCCATAAAGGATTAAAGACTCAGCCAGTGCCACAACTTCTCAAGATAGTATTTCTACCTTCCATTACGTTCTCCTGTGTAAAAGTAAGTAGAAAACTGTCACAAATAAAAGACACAGTCAACATGGATGTTTAAAACACAGATGTTTTAAACAGCTTTCTCAATTTTATTATATCCTATCTATATTATTATATAGATTTTTTTTTAAAGCCAAAATGTAAGATTTGAATTAAGGCTGCAGGCCCAGCAGTACTCAAGGAGTACAGTACTGATAGTTTACCTGTGGCTGTTACCTCTTGATTTCCTAAAAAGTGAATCTACTGCTTTGTTCCATAATAAAATCAGACTAGTTACAGTACAGTTGTGAGCTGTGGCACTTGTTTCTTGAGCTGAAGTTGAATATAGGCAGGTTTTGGCAAACAGCAGGTTTTGTAACTTGCTCCAGAGTTAGCTTCAGCTGTTGGGCACTGATAGGTTTTGCAGGCACATAGAACTTGGAAGGAGAGAATGGCAAGCTTCCTTTTCCTTTGTAGATTCTTAGATAGTGGTCACATGTGTTTCTGAAGAAAAAAGAAACTGTTTATAATTAGTATATAATTAGTAGCTACTAGTAATTGTATGCAGTGATTGATTGTAACTGAAAGTAATCAGAAATACTTATCCTGTAAGCTTTACCAAAGATAGTCCAGTTTTGCCCTTGTCGACTGTGCCAGTTGCTGGATTTCTACTGGTCTGCTCAGTAATGCTTGCTTCTTCCAGTACATGGTGCTTTTTTGTGACTTTTACCTATTTTTCCTTTACATAGAAAAGGAGTGAGACCAGATGCTACTCATTTGAGGGGGGCAATTACTGTTATGTTAACAGAGATGCAGTGTTGAATTTTGCTGGACCTGTGGTGCTGATGTTCAAGCCCTTCAGTACCTGACAGAACTGTGCATTTCTCTGTAATGGATTGGAGCTGAGGCAACCCACAGAAAAACAAAGTGCTATGTTGGCTTATGCAAAACAGTGCCAACAGCTACAAACAGCTGTGCTTTAGGACTGCTTAGTAGAGATTGGTTTAACAGATCAGAGAGCAGGTTTGAATCATTTACATATCTAGTTCTTGACGTCAAAGGCCATGATATACCAAAACAAAAAGAAGCTTAGTTTGTAGTGATGGCAGTGCAATAGTGTAAAACTTCACACATTATAAGCTTAACAAAGCCTATGCCACAATTTCACTTGTTTTAAACAGGAAGGAATTAAGATAATTCCAAAGAAGACGTCTCATATGGTCTTCTCACACCTCTGGCCTTCACTCCCTCTGAAGTCTTAGCCATCAGTGATGAGGGGTTTTTTGAGTGCTATTTATAACTAGTGAATTTTCCTTCTCTCAAAAATGCACTCCCAGAACAAGAAGGAAGATTTAGCATCAGAGATCAGGATGCACTGCCAGAACAAGGAGAAAGATTACAGACTAGTTATAGCACTCGTCCATTCAAGAGATACCAGAAAGGCCTAAGTTAATAAGGCACATGAAAGAATTTAACTATTGAAACAAAGGAAATTATTTGACCTAATATGACCAGGGAGCTTTGAAAAGATTTTTTTTTCTTTTTCAGAAGTATACAGTAAGTCTGTATTGGGACATGAAGATGTTCATCCTTAACAGTCCCATGGTGCCAGCTCTTCTGTTCACGAGCAATTTATTTTCAGGTACATGTTCTCTTCAAAGTTCCCCAGAGCTGAGCAGGAGCAAAGACTGCAACGTTAAAAGAATTTGCACAGATCTAGTAACTCCAGTCTCTAACGCTACTTAACAGCAAAGAGCTGCATAGTCAGTTAACTCAGATTATCTTAGGATATAAGGCATTTTAGAAAGCTGTTCTCTTCCATTCCCTAGGTAGGAGTTGTTTCAGATCCATGACAACAGTACTGTCTTACTTGTGTACCAGAGCCACACAGGTACCAGTTGTGATACTGTTGGGAGAATACCGTGTTGGACACTGGAGGCCCACATGTTCAAACTAAAGTTGCTGTTCTACTTCCAGAGTTGGGTCAAGGCGTGGAAAAAATGCAGTTTGATTTAAGGTCTCTGTTTCAGTCCCTCTGTGGGTTGTACCTTGGATCTCTAAGGTCTTGGCCTTCAAATAAGGCCAATACCTGTTATGGTTCTCACCTGCTACAATGTCCTCAAGCAGCCATCTGAGAGGGTGCTTTGTTGATCAAACCCGGTAGTTAAAGTTTACTAGTCAAATTATTTCTCAAAGCATGTTCTGATTTGTTAGCTATTCATTAAATCTTTATAGAATTATTTAGGTTGAAAAAGGTCAAGTCCAACTGTTAACCTAGTACTGAAGTCCACCACTAATCCACGTTCCTAGGCACCATGTTCTGCATGTCTCCTAAACACCCTCAGGAATGGTGACTCAACTTCAGTTAATAACTAATACAAGTAGTGGCACTAGGCATTAAATGAGAGGTACCTCTCAATTAATTGTAGATCCTTCCAGGTCAGCGATTCCCTTCTTATCAGCTGCAGTTGATCTCCCTATATTTTGTTGTCATCTTTAAGTGGCAGCTTAAGAAAAGAACCTGTGGTGAGCAGCTAGACCAGCCTCCTGCCTTACCTGGGACATCTTTAAACCTTCACTGATTCCACCACCTCTGGCCCTTCTGATCTAGTGTCATCATAGAATGCTTTATAGAAGTTTTGTAGAAAATTACTAACTAGAATTAGTCACTTAAGGCAAGCAAACGATGCATGTGCATCTCAGAATCATTAAAGTAACATGATTCCTGGTTCGATTTTTCCATGCTGAATTTGGGTAAATATATTTATATTTAGCTGATGTATTTTAAAAGTTACGCAGGATTCCCGCTTCACTCTACATGTACCAAAATGAAGAGTTGTTTTCTGGTACTTGAGTTTGATGTTTCTGTAGATGTTCAAAGTTAAAGGAGTACAAGCCCCATGGAAGCAGGCTGTAGACTTCACAAGCAGACCCACGTCATGTGCAGAACAGGGCATTTCTGGAAGCTGAGTAGGAAATGAGGCTGCAATCCACCTTGTTTCTTGCTGCTGTGGAGGCTGCCTAAAACACACTTAACTCACCAATTGCAGGGTACTGAGTGTGTGCAAATATGCAGTTAGAGATGCATTTGGAGCATTATCGAGCTCTGTAGATTTCAGCACCACTCCTGCTGTAGTCAGTACTTCTTAAAGGCTCCAGCTTCTGCCATCAAAAGGCTTTATTAAAACTTTCCATTCTTTCTGCTTGCTGAAAAAAAGCTTGATGGAGTAAAAGGAGCACTAGCTCAGAGAGAAGGGAAATAAATTTTTCATTAGTGAACTAAGCAAAAAAGTATTTAGAGACAATGTCACAAGCTAATTTTCATGTCTCTTTTTTAATATAGAATTTCCAAAATTAATTACTGCAAGATAAATGGAGAGAACTCCTTGTGTCTTCTAGTTGAAAGTGCAGTTTCTTGATTATTCCTACTTACTATGCTTTGGTTCACATTACAGAATAATGGGCCATGCTAATTGACATGGGCAGTCAGTGAGCATCACCCAGCCACGTTCTGCTGTCCTAAAAGAGTGCAGCAGCCCAGACCACAGCAGGACTGACCAAGACAATAACTGGGTCTGTGCTGGCTCTGAGGAGGTTCTTGGCCCGCCCTCGGGCAGGGCTGTGAGGGGCAAAGCAGGCTCTAATATTCCTGCATAATGCCAAGTGTTTGCTCAGTCTGGAGCAAGTGGGGGCTTATGGACGTGTGGCAGGAAGAAAATGGACAGCGTTACATCAAGCATCTTTCCCCGCTCCCTGCATTGCTTTTTTTAATGCTGCATATATATCCATTCCACTACTGCTGCAGTTGTCCTAGTTAGGGCATATCTTGTTCCTTCCTTAGATGCTTGGAGAGAATAAAAATTACATCAAGTAATGGCATTGATTCAGTTACTCACTCTCTTTATCTCCGAAATGCTTGATCCTGACGAAAAGCAGTTTCTCTCTGAGCATCATAGTCCAAGTCTGCTTGCTTTTCCTGCTGTTTTTTTGCCTGCTTTTCAGCCTGATGAAGAGACGGGAATAAAAAAACTTAGTATTTTGTTCTCAACATCACTATCATGCAAAGCTTAGAGAGGGTAAAAGCTTACAGGAGATCTACAATCCTGTTAGTTGATACTTGGCCAGTATCATCCTCCCTCCCCCTTCTCTCCCCTAGTGTACTCCCCACAAAAAGGGTACATTAAACAGATGAGTGAACGTCTGCATTAGCTGCTCCTCTTTGGTGACCTGCCCAGAAGATATGAGAGGACAGCAGTGCATGGTTGAAAAAATGGTATAATGGCACAGGCAGGACAGGATGTGGTCTGTCATTGTTGATCTCTTATTACCAGCTCTGCCAGCTAATAATCCTCTCTGACCAGCAGGGCCAAGTCAGCCTGGAAGAGGCTTCTGTTCTGCTGCTCTAAGGAGGCTCATAAACCTCTGAAACAGGTGCATCATTGTTGTCAAGTTCTGAGCAGCAGCTTCCTCACTGCACAAACAAGCCCCTTGTGGGCCATGCTAACTGCATGGGTACAGAGTCAGTCATCTCCAACATGAGCAGCTGCAGTGCATACAGGTAAAAACCAAACATGCATGTCACACCCACACCAAGCTTCCTCTCTCTCTCCCACCCAAGAGATCTAGTACTATGGGTTTAGAAGAGTGTTTCTTTCTGAAAAGGTTGACAGGGTACAGCTCTTCTATTTACCATTTGCTGGATCTGAAATTTCTGTACTTCCATGTTTGCATCACGTTGTCTTTGTTTCTTGGCTTTTTCCATTTCCTGGTAGATGCCATCTTCTGTTATCCACTGATTACGATCCTTCTCATCCTCTTCTTTTTCCTGTCTCTCCTTTTCCTCTTTCATCTTCATCTGTTGTTTACAAAACACACACAAAAAGTTATCCAAGGAGTGTCCTGCTAAGCTGAAAGCCGTATCTCTCAGCAGTAGCAGCCCTGTATCAGCACTCCAAGAAGTGCTGTCATTGTGGCTGGCCGGTCTCCAAGCCCAGGGTTTTCAGCAGCCCTGGCAGATGTGCACCCAATATGGAAGTGGAAAAGGGAGAGGGGACCCCAGGAAAGTTATCAGTGGACTTGATGAAGGCTGCTGATGCATGGCACCAGAGCCAGCTGTGATCTGGGCCAGGCTCCTCGGCTGGAGTAAGCAGCAGTAAGATCAGCCCAGGTTTCTTACCACAGTGGCTCTGTGTTCAGCAATAGATTCAATGGCAGCCTTTTGTCTTGCTTCTTTCTCTTTGTTTTTCACTTGGTATTCAGCTTCTACCTCTGCAGCTCCTCTAGCAAGACGATCATCTTCGATCTTAAATGCCTCGTTCATCTGTGCAGATAGTTTTTCAAAAGCTTTGTCCTTATCCTTCTGCATCAGCCTGTGGGAGAACACGAGCTGCTGTAACACACCAGGATACCTGAGGCACTGCTCCTAACACCACCAGCAATCCCACCTCCACCCCCAACAGCACCAATTCCTGCTGAAACCGGTAGGCATTTTTTCTGCACTTTCTACTTCAAATTTTAATTACAGAAAAATTGCTTGCATTGAACTTCTGATTTTGTGATATAACAACTGAGAGTAATGTTCTTCACATAAATTGCAAGTTTGAATCTTAACACTGAAACCCATATCCCTAGACCCACCTGTTAGTCTCTGCATCTTTTTCTCTTGCCAGAACAGCCATCATTTCTTTACCTTTAATATAAGCCTTAATCCGATCATCATCTTTGTCTTCTTTTTGTTTCTCTTCAGCTTTAATTACTTTCTGTTCAGCTACATATTCCTGTTTAAATGGAAAACTACTTTAATTTTCATGTAGAATAAGATTTTGGAAACATGAACTGAAAAAAATTGTAACAAAGATTTCAGGCCTCTCTATAATGACGAGTTCTTTGTATCAGTGAAGAAGCTATAGAAGATAGAAACACAGAGATGGAAGAAAATTCTCATTACCTACTTTTGACAAATTACAACAAAAGTAAAATTAGTGTGTGGTTGCAGCCTCAACCACAGTATCTTTATATTCTTTCCTCTACTTCCCCAGCAGTTCCAACTGTATTATTTCCACCCCATTCACACAGTGCAGATTCTGAAGGGCTCAAAGAGTACAAGTCCATAGAACCATCCAAATGTAAAGCATAGGGCATTTTGTAATGGCAGTTGTATAGCTTGGCAGTATGTATAGCTTTTATTGCATACACAAAGTTTGGGGAAACGGGATAAAAGTTATATATTTGGTGTGAGGAGTATGAGGGGATAAAAAGCAAGTAGGGTTTTAGCAAGAATTCTCTCCTCTTGCACTCTCTTATGGCAGTGAATCATCACAGTACCTCCACTTTAGTCTCCCTGCTCAAGCAGGCACAGGCAGGGAGGGAAACAGTAGGCATGGTAAGTAGGTCATCACCAATCATAAATGGAAAGACAAGTTTAAAAGATACTGTCATAGTCAGGCTATTCCCTCTTCTTAACAAGCAGAAGTGGGCTTAAAACAGAGCAATTACATCCATTTCTCAAGTCAAGGATGATCTCCTTGCTGTCTCTAGCAGACTTTTTTCATTGTAGACCAGTCAAAGCTCAGGTGCCACATAAAATCTTTCAGGAGGCCTTTCTCAAAAGCACAGAGTAAAGACATGGCCTCCAACTGGCAGGGGAGGCATTTGATCCCACGCTGCTGAAGGTGCCAGCACAGCCCCTGTTGCCTGCAGGCCGCTTGATTCGTGGGCTGAGTGCAACCATCACAGCCAAGGTGAAACAAGCATTTTGGACTGTCTGCTTTCCTGTTACTTACGTGATGCTGCCTCTGGCGTTCAACCTTTTCCTCCTGATCCTTTTCTCTTCCTCTCTGAATTTCCAGTTGGTACAATTGTGTTGATCTCTGTATTTGTTCCCCTTCTCTTTTGTTTTCTAGCTTGGCCAGATCTGCTTGATCCTTGTGCTCCTTTATTCTAAATTGGAAACGGGAAGTGAATAAACGAGCTACAGGCTGTGTGAAGTAATGATGAACAGATACAGATTCTGCACATCTACAGGTACTTTAATATTAAAAAAATGGTACTTTGAAGTGAAAGTAGAATGTCAGAGATCAAAACTAGAATCACAGTTTTTATAAGCTAGCTCTAAATTCTTTGGCCAAAGCTCAGTCCTAATCTGAGGGTGCTGGTCTATAGTAGCAAAAGCAAACATGACCAGCACATAGACTCAAATATTATATTGAATTTGATTAGCCTGTTTAATTGTTAGCCCACTCTCTGCACAAGGTGGGCCGTTGCCATCTAGCTGTGTTCCAAGCAGTGTCACAGCACTGTGCAAGACATGGCCATGATGCCTATGCTAGCTAGATGTGTGAAGGCTTCTGGGCTGGGGGAAGCAGCAATAACAAAGGATTTTGCCGCTTGCTTACAGTGCCAGAATTTAGAGTCTTGTTTAATTTATAAGAATAGACATAGCCCCTGACATCAAGAGACATTTCTGAAGCTGGAGAACAGTTACGGAGGAACCAGAGGGTGAGGAGAGGTGATGAATTTCAGTCTGACCACGGGGCGAGGGTGATGCGAAAGCATTGTTTGAAGGCAGTGAGTCACGCAGCCCCGAGCACGGCATCGGTGGGCGCGGCCGGGCAGCTCTGCCGACCCGGGTTAGCGCCAGGCAGCCCCCGGTCCCGCCGCGCCGGGCTGGCCGCGGGAAGGTTTCTAACCCAAACCCGCCCCACTCCCCGGGCCCCGCCGCCGGACTCACTGCGCCAGCTGCTCCTGGGCCACGGCCCGGCGGCTCAAGTAGCGGCCGCGCTCCTGCTCTGCCTGCCCGCGGGCGACGTCCGGCCCATCGAGGTCCATCGTCGGCCCTTCCTCACCGCCCCTCCGAGAAACTGCCGAGGGAGAACGAGGGATCCTCACCAGTGTCCCGGGGAGTCTGGGCTCCTTCTCCCGCCCCGCACAAAGGCTGCGACCGCCGCCCTCCCCGCGTTCCAGGCGGGCGGGAGCCTCAGGCGCCGGAGCAGCGTGGGGCGGTGCGTGAGGGGAGCGGGAGCGGGAGCGGGAGCTGGAGCTGGAGCTGGAGCTGGAGCTGGAGCTGGAGCGGCACCGCGCCCCGCCCCGCCCAGCCCCGCCCCGGGACCTGTCGGCGAGGGCGGGAGGGAGGAAGGAAGCAAGGAGGAGCTGCTCGTCGGACTTTTCTCCGCAGCCGGTTCCTGAGTTACTCGTTTGCCCTCGGTAAGAGGCTGAAACGCTCCCCTCACCCCCCGTCTCTGTCCCTCTGCTCTGGCCGCGCGGGCCCCGCTCCCCGCAGGGCTGCGGCGATGGGGCCCGGCCGGGCTCTGGGCTCTGCCGCGCCTCGCACCACCTTCACCCCGCCAGGCCTGCCTGCAGCGCGGGTGGGAGCCCTGGGCGGGCCTGGGAGCTGGGTGAGCAGGTCGGTCCTCCCTCTCCTTCCAAAGTTCCTCCCTTGCTCTGCCTGGAAGAGACTCCTCAAGGAGGTGACTGCTGCACCCGGGGAGTAGGACACTCACCTTAGGCCGGGCATTTTTACACTCCAGGGGGAGGTAAAACCACTTCTGCGTGGTCCTCAAGCCTGCAGGAAGGACCTCACCTCCCGGGTGGCCCCACATCTTTCCCAAAGTCCCGTGCTTTCTGCAGGGCCTGTTGCTTTCTGAAGCCAGACTCTGAAACTCGAGGACACGTAACAGACACATTTTCCAAACTAAAATATTGGCAAGCGTCCTCTGTATAAAAGTCTTCTAATTTGGGTTTAGTTTTTTTTTTTAGGATTTGTATAATTTTCTAGTCTGGCCAACAGACTCTCTGCTGTGGGGCTGGAGCACAAGGTTGTGTGCAACACAGCAAAGCTTCAAGTTTCTTGGACTTTGTTTCCAGTAGACACGGGGATAGGGGGATACCCTGTTTAAAGCCTAGGGTACTTGTGGAGGAAGTCATTACGGGAAACCCTAACTGTCCAAGGCAAAAAAATGATGTTAACATTTCAGCAAAGAAACGAAGCTTAAGGAGGGAGATGTGTCAGTGGCTTGGGTGTTAGAGAGAAATCTGTTGAGGAATCTGAAAAACAAATTTACATTGGATCTATTTACCATAGATTGAATCATTGTTAGGCTTTTTGAAAGACCAGCCCAACTATGTTGTCTCCTGTTGACGTGCTCTTTTTGTAGTCACTATTTACAGCTATATTGGGATCTATTTTCCTCCTATATGACCTTTTAAGGGCTGTGAACAAAGCATATTAATATTTTCATGCCATAAAACCAATTTATAGCATGACATTTGTTTTATAGAGGTAGTTGCAAAATCCTACAAAACCTGCATACCATAGCTATTCTAACTTTCACATATGTTCTCTTTTTTCTTCCCCTGTAGTTGTGTTGGTTTGGTCTTTTCTGTTATGTGGAATACTTCACTGGAAGTAGGTTAGAGAAAAATGTGACCTTTTACACTAGGAATTCATATCACAGACCTGAAAAACCTGGGACAGTGAATTTTTAGAACAATGAATATTAAAAATATAGCAGTAATAGTGAGCTTTTGACTGGAATGTGTTACAGTGACAGTCAATTATATAGCATGCATTCTTGTCTCAAGTTTGTGAACTAACGTTCATGAAATACAAGCCGGGGATTTTTGAGAATATAGACAGTTATATGGCAGGTTTTTTTCCCCAGATGGACTTAGAGGTTCATAGTTGAATTTGATACAAATCATTTACAGTTTAACTCTGCCCATACAGTACAAAAAGGGGTTTTTTTAACTTGAAAACAGCTTCTGCCTTTTCTTGCTGGATAGTTCAAATGTTATTTCATGTTTTCAACTTCTCGAGGGGTATTACACCTACAACAAGGTAACTGGGTCCCAGCAACATCATATGCTTGGAAAGCAGTATTTATTTCTTCTCTTCTCAGAAAAATGGCCCCTGTCCCAGTCCTCTTCCATCTTTGCATGCTTTCAGAAGAGGGTAAAGATGATGTGTAGTCTTGGACTCTGATTCAATCACTTGCTTTGCATAGCTCTGAAATTCACGCTCTTTACCAAGTGCAATAGCTTCTTTCTCAGCTTCGTAGTCCAATTCTGCTTGTTTTTCCTGCTGTCGTTTCGCCTGCTTTTCAGCCTGATGAAGAAAAGGGAATAACAAAGATTAGTATTTTGTTTTCAATATCACTATCTTGTAAAGCTTAGGGAGGGTAAAAGCTTATAGGAGATCTGTGGCACTGTTAGTTGATACTTGGCACTTGTCATCCCTCCCCACTTCTCTCCCCTGGTGTATCCCCCCAAAAGGGTACATTAAATAGCTGGGTGAACATCAGCTCTTTGGTGACCTGCCCAGAAGACACAGGAGAGTAGCAGTAGAACATCATGGTGCAGAACAGGATGTGATCTGTCATTGCAAACCACCCTTGACTTGCACCAATGCTCTGAGGAGGCTGCTCCCCAACACCAGCATATGCAGAGCACACATGATTTAAAGAAAAACAACACCCAACAAACAAAAAAGTCCAAAAAACCCAGCAAGCTTCATTTCTTCCTCTCAGCATGAACTAGTGCTGTTTGTTTAGATGAGTGTTTCTTTCTGAAAAGATTGACAGGGTACAGCTCTTCTGTTTACCATTTGCTGGATCTGAAATTTCTTTACTTCCACGTTTGTGCCATGTCGTCCTTCTTTCTTGGCTTTTTCCATTTCCTGGTAGACACGGGCATTTTCCACTAACACATCACGCTCTTTTTCAGCCTCTTCTTTTTCCTGTCTCTCCTTTTCCTCTTTCATCTTCATCTGTTGTTTACAGAACACACACAAAAAGTTATCCAAGGAGTGTCCTGCTAAGCTGAAAGCCGTATCTCTCAGCAGTAGCAGCCCTGTATCAGCACTCCAAGAAGCGCTGTCATTGTGGCTGGCCAGTCTCCAAGCCCAGGGTTTTCAGCAGCCCTGGCAGATGTGCACCCAACATGGAAGTGGAAAAGGGAGAGGGGACCCCAGGAAAGTTATCAGTGGACTTGATGAAGGCTGCTGATGCGTGGCACCAGAGCCAGCTGTGATCTGGGCCAGGCTCCTCGGCTGGAGTAAGCAGCAGTAAGATCAGCCCAGGTTTCTTACCACAGTGGCTCTGTGTTCAGCAATAGATTCAATGGCAGCCTTTTGTCTTGCTTCTTTCTCTTTGCGTTTATTTTCTTCTGCAGCCTCTATTTTTGCAACATCTCTAGCAAGTCGATCGTCTTCCATCTTTAATCCCTCACTCAGTTGTTTAGCTAATTGATTAACGATTCTGTCCTGATGTTCCTGTATTTTTCTGCAGAAGAACATGAGCTACCATAACTCACCAGGGTAACATACCTGGGTCTACCTGAACCTACCAAACTCAGCAATCCTGCTTCTAGTCTTCTCTTGCCACAGAGGTTGGTCCACCCACCCAACTCATTGATCAACTTGTGTTCCTCCTGTTTGTTCTTTTTTATATTATCTTATTTAGCAAATAAACATTCCCTGTATTCATGGAACACCGGCTTTCTGTTGCAATAATGGGCTCAGTGAGGAATCCACTTAGCGCCTTACCATCAAAAGAGAAATTTTGGGAGTATTGGACAAAAGCAGGAAGAGAATGAAACTCTTAGATTGACTCAGTGGTATCATCATGTTGTACGTTCAGTGTTAAATTGATAAACTATCTCCCTGTAATAAGAACCCAGTGTAATTGATTAATTACAGTCAAATCATTTTTCTTGATCTGACTCAGAGAAATTTAGCTTATACTCAAAAATATTTTCGTCAAGGATCTTAATTGTCTTTAATTGTTGAGGAGGTTGGAGGCTTGGCAGGCCATAGGAAAAGACTGTTCCCAACACACTGGTGTAAAGCTTTGTATTTCCCTAAGCCTTTGTACTTTGGAGGGTGGAGAGATTGCTCCCTAGCACACTTAGTACTAAGGAACCTATGAAAGAATTTCCTTTTTTCTCCTGAATTCCTTAGTCTCTCTACCAATAGACTGTTGATTGTGTTACGTCTTTGGTCTGAAAGCTCTGACTACAGTATAATTTTTAGTTTATTTACAGTTTATCCTCTAGCTTTGTACTCACCTACGCATTTCAGCTTCTTTCTTTTTTCTCATCCGGTCAATAGCTTGCTTTGCTTTAAAATGAGCATTGATCCGATCATCTTCTTCCATTTGTTTTTGTTCCTCTATTGCTTTGATTATTTTCTGGTCAGCTATGTATTCCTGTATGGGCAAAACAGTCCTGATGTAACAGATAAAGTCTGGAATATCTGGGCCTAGGGTAGCAACTTAACAAGGATCACTCCCTGTTCTCTCTTCTCATGTTTTTTTCAAAGGGAGAAGAGGGGAAAGGCTTTTCAGAACTTCCACTTATGCCCTATTCAAACATGCGTGAAGAGGAGATGGCAGATGTGAGGCAGCAGAAGGGGAACTGAGCATCAAACAGCTGCTTCTCCAGCATATTGCACAGACACTTTGCTGTGCAGTACAGACAGCATTATCCCATGTTCTCATTCACAGACATGGGAAAGTGGGACAGTGGGAAGCATGAGACTGTCCAAAGCCCACCAGCAGCCACACAGACCATACTGCTCCTGGCCCACCTCTTCCAAAACTCTCCCAGTCTAAGAGCTTAATCCAAAACATAGCTGAAAAGGAGTTTTCTATACTTTTATGTAAAAAAACAACTGTCTTTTGCATCCTGTCCAGAACTGTTCTAAGGCACTTCTAGTTTGTACTTAGCAAGATGCTGTTAAAGATGAAATGAGAAGGCAGCAGGTTTTCACTAAATTTCTAAATGTCTCCAATCATAAGCAGAAAGTCTAATTAAAAAGATATGTTCAGTCTCAGGCTATTCCCTCTTTCTAACAACAAAAAATGGGCTTAAAACAGCAGGGATGTGAAACTTAAATCCAGTTCTCAAGTCAAGAAGAATATTCTTCATATCTACAGCCAAATCCTTAATCATAGACAAGTCAAAACATCAGGTGCCAACGTTCCTTCAGACGAGGGAAAAGAAAAGCCTCCAAGAGGCCTTTCTCAAAAGCAAAGAGAAAACTGGCAGGGGAGGTATTTCATCCCCTGCTTCTGAAGCTGTTGGCAAACTGTTGCCAGGAGGCCCATTTCTTTGTGGGCTGAGTGCAGCCATCACAGCCGAGGTGAAACAAGCATTTTGAAGTGTCTGCTTTCCTGTTACTTACATGATACAGCCTCCGGCGTTCAGCTCTTTGCTCCTGTTCCTTTTCCTTTCTTCTCTGAATTTCCAGTTGGTGCAGCTGATTCAATCTCTCTATTTCTTCTGCTTCTCTTTTGACTTCTAGCCTGGCCAGATCTGCCTGATGCTCGTGCTCCTTTATTCTGAATTGGAAAAAGGTGAAAAAAAACTCGTAGAATGTATTTATTCTAAGAGTTTAAGTAAATAATAAAGTAGGGTTGCTTTTAATTATTACTTACTGTTCCAGCTGATATTTGCGTAGTACCTGCTCTTTCATATAATGCTGCTGTTCCTTTTCTTGCTCTCTGAGAACGTATTCTTTGAATTGACGTTCCTCTTCTTCACGTTCCTTCTTTTTGTTAACAACTGACTTCAACTTTTGAAATTCAACTTGAGCATCTCTTTCTTTTAGGACCTCAGTAAGTAGAAGTGCACTCTGCAAGAGAACATTTAAAGTGATTTGTGTGTTCAGAAGTCCTTAAAGACATTCAGTACAATTTGAATTTAAAAACTGTAAGTTGTCAACAAACGTGGAACTGTTTCATTCTGTCGTTCTGATAGGATAGGTAGGTTTTTGCATGATCAATAATCTCCTTTCGTTTTGCTGCTCGGAACTTTGCTTCTTCCAAATCAATTAACCTTCTTTCTTCCTCTTCCTTTTCTTCACGTAATTTTTTGGCTTTAAGTTTCTCTTGTGCTAGGCTCTGTAGTGCAGACAAAATCAGAAATCACATTTAAATTTTGGGTAATGTTTGGGGGTTTTTTTGTTTAATTTTGGATTTTAGCTTTAATTTTAAAAATACAAATGTTTATGTTAGGTATTAAATGTATTTAAATAGAGTTTTGTTAATATACATATTCAAAAGTAAATGTTAAACAGAGTACAGCTAGAAATTAGTGTTTTGATATATATATATATGAAAATGACTACCCTTGTTTACAAATGTATCTTGTACTTACTACAGTGGCATTGGGTTGGTCTTTTACAGCAGCTTTGGAGCCTAAGTGCATTTCTTCCTGTTCTTTCTTCTCATCGAGGTTGTCTGCTTCTTCTTTGCTGCTGTCCTGAATCCTTTTCCATTCTGCTTTTGGCAATATAATTACCTGACGAAGATCTGCATCATTTGAAAGGAAATACTCATCTGGAACATTATTTTCTTCCAAATGATGTGGTGCTGTGCAGAGGGAAGAAAAAATACTGAGGTTACTTGATATCAGAAAATCCAATATTCAGATGTGTATCAGGATTTGAATTTTCACATAATAGCCATACTAAGTTATGCTTAGTATTAGTTACTCTCTTCATCCCCATATCCCAAAGCTAAGACAGGATACCTCTGTCTATAGTCTGACTATGGCCAGTGCATGTACTTGGATTGTGGCACTGACTGACTGAACTGTCTGTATGTCCCTTTGCCTGTCTGTGTGTATGTACAGGTTTGGCTTGTAGCAACTCACATTTTCCAGGCAGTACTTGGGCATGATTCTGAGAACAGCAGGGACTAGAGACCATTCCCAAAAGGAAAGGGAGAATATTGGTAAAGCCATTCCCCTGGCTGGATGAGGCAGCAGTTTGGGCACAGGCTGTCTACCCTTGTCCTGCACACTCATCATATTTACTGAAATAGATCAGTTGTAGAACGTTTTCTTGATTTGTTGGCAAGATTAGCATTTCTCCATTGCACTAGGCTTACATATATGAATGTATGTTTTCTAGATGATCATTAGATCAGCTAGACACTCTTTCAAGTGTCACCACCATTTTTGGAGGCAGTGGCACTCTGCACGGAGTGGTGTCCAGTAGAAATTCTATGTTTGCCACAGACTGACACGCAGTGTCCGAGGTGTGAGGAGGCTTTCTCTTATACTGACACTGATGTCAAAGGCTTTTTCCCAGATGCTGTGTTGCTAATCTGTTTGTCTCACGATAGGGACCAGATGTGGTCCTCTCCTCCCGTCCCGGGTGAAGGCAGCCTTGCCAAAAGTAAAGGTGCACTGAGGTGGCTGCGCCCTGCAAGCAGGGAACAGCCAAGCACCTCGTTCTTCCCCAGCTGCTGCCGTGGGAGCTCACGGGACCTGCGCTGGGGTCAGGCAGTTCTTGGGGCAGAACTGCCCGTCCTGCCGTGTGCAGCGGGGGGAGCTTTGGGGACAGTCATGATGCGCACCCCCCCAGCCCCCCGGAGCCGTGCGCTGCCCCCTCGCCGGTGCCGGTGCCCGCGGGGGAGCCGCACTCACGGCCGCTCGCCCGCCGCCATCGCCGCCGCCGCCCCGCCGCCATCGCCGCGGGCCGCGCCGCCATCTTCCGGCACGCGCCGCCGTTGCCGGGCGACCCGGCCCGCGCGGTGACGTCGGGGGGCGGTGCCGGCCCCGGGCCTGCAGCGCTGCCCCCTCCCCGCACGGCTCTGCCCCCTCCCCGCACGGAGCTACCCCTTCCCCGCACGGCTCTGCCCCCTTCCCCGCACGGCTCTGCCCCTCCCCGCACGGCTCTGCCCCTCCCCGCACGGCTCTACCCCTCCCCGCACGGCTCTGCCCCTCCCGCACGGAGCTACCCTTTCCCCGCACGGCTCTGCCCCCTCCCCGCACGGAGCTACCCCCTCCCCGCACGGCTCTGCCCCCTCCCCGCGCGGCTCTGCCCCCTTCCCCGCACGGCTCTGCCCCCTCCCCGCGCGGCTCTGCCCCCTTCCCCGCACGGCTCTGCCCCCTTCCCCGCACGGCTCTGTCCACCTCGCCCAGCCCCTCGGGCGCCCTCTGTGCCCCGGCCGGCGAGGCTGCTCTGCTTTAGCTCCGGGAGGGGGCGGCCCGGGTCCTGCACGGGGCACGGGCTGCGCGGCGGGCCCGGGGACCTGCCCGTGAGGGGCGGCAGATTCAGCTTCACGAAGGGCTGTGTTTCTTTTCGTGGGCTGCTTTGATTTGGTGCGTCCTCGTTGAAGGCACTGGTTCCAGATCCTGAGTAGACGCTTCCTTTTGAAATCCCTCTTGAGGCGTTTTGCCAGGAGAATCCCGGTGTGTTTGCGTTGGCAAATGCTGATGGAGAAATTTAGAACCTGTGGTCGAACTGGTGGTGCGTGAGTACAGGAAAATTGACTCTGTTAGCAAGTATTAGTAATTGCAGCACGAGTTCAGATCCTGTCACAGCAGCTATTTTAAACAGAAGTTGGACACTGAACTTTGACCTTTACAGACTGCATTTTTAGCTTCAGCACAACTTCCCATAGCTGTAGTGGCCATAAATAGTTTACTTTGTTTAGATATTTTCCTGCAGAATTTTTCTCATCTGAGCACAAGATCGGAGTAGGAATACAGTACTTGTGTTTATATAAATAATTTTCTTTTTTGTTTGTTTTGGAAACTTGTTTTCTCACAGCTATGAAATTTCTGTTGGTTTTTGATTTTGACCATACAATCATAGATGAAAATAGTGATACCTGGATTGTGAAATGTGCTCCAGAGAGAAAACTTCCTAATGGATTAAGAAACTCCTACCAACCAGGACGTTGGACAGAATATATGGGCAGAGTCTTTGCCTACTTGGGAGACAATGGTGTCAAAGAAGATGAGATGAAAAGAACTATGACAACAATTCCTTTCACTACGGGAATGGTAGATCTCCTGGGGTTTATTGGCGAGAACAAAGAGTTGTTTGATTGCATAATTGTTTCAGATTCTAATACAGTATTTATTGACTGGATTTTGAAAGCTGCTGACTTCCATGAGGTTTTTGATGAAGTATTTACAAACCCCGCAGCATTCAGCAGTACTGGCTATCTTACTGTACAGAACTTCCATGCTCACCATTGTGCAAAGTGCCCAAAAAACCTTTGCAAAAGGAAAGTTTTAAAAGAATTTCTAGATAAACAGTTGGAGCGAGGAGTTAGTTATACACAAATTGTGTATATAGGTGATGGTGGAAATGACTTATGTCCAGTAATGTTTTTGAAGAAGAATGATATTGCTATGCCCAGGCAGGGGTATACCTTGGAGAAAAAGCTTTCTCAACTGGCTCAAGATCTCAGTCCTGTACAGTGTTCTGTTCTGGTTTGGTCATCTGCTACTGACATTATGTCTTACCTGAAACTCCTTATAAAGGAATAATTCAAATGATAAAAGTAAACTGATATATTAACTTCCTGGGAGAGAAAAACTACATGTATATAGAAGCACAAAATTGGAAATTTGGACTCATATCTGAATTGACTTTTTTTAAACACAATATAAAACTGTTTATGTTCAATCTTGGCAATATTAGGAAAGTGGAGTAAAAAAGGCCTTCTAACATAGTACACATTCCAACCTAAATGGAGGAGGGGGATTTCGAGAGGACTTGTCATTATTCTTAGTCTACTCCCTCCTCCCCAAGCCTTTACCTACTACATAATTGACTTTTGCTGTCCCACACACTTGGGGAAGGAGTAGGATTAGTGCAAAAAAGAATGAATTTCTTTCCTTACAAAACATTAGGTGACAGGAACATGGTTCTGGAACTGTTGGCTTTTATACTTCTTTAATCTGATTGTAAATTATTTGGTATGCTTGTGATCTTGTTTCATCTGAAGATTCATCTATATTTTCAATCTACTTTTACCGAACAAAATGACTTTTTAATAGTTTGTATTATCTTGTATTGTAAAGACAATAAAAGTTGCTGTCACTGACATACACAATTTGTGTCATGTGTCCTGCTGGTCTGCGTGTCCTCAGGCACTTGTTCTTGTCAGGGCCTGGAGAGAGTGAGCACAGGTGTAGGTGTCAGCCTTTGGCTAACACCTTCATTTATTTTGTCAGCAGACCCTTTCTCTTCTGGCAGGCAGTAAGGATGTTGCTGGTTTTTTAAAGAAAAGTCTCTCTCCCATTCTGATACTGCCCCGACTGTGGCTGCTGCCACTCTGTGGAGAGCTAACATGGGTTTGACAATCCATGCTGGCAGCTCCGAGTCAGCCTTTCCCTTGCCTGGTTTCTACTGCAATGCCTAGGCCCACAGAATGGTGTGTATATATACATGTTTACACTGATTTTACTTATTCACTCTCATCCATATCTATAGTACAGTCCTCTTTTACAGGCTGGAAGGGAACATCTATGTCCATTTTAACTTTTAAACAGACTTGTTCTGTCTTCAAATAGTTTAAGGAATCATTTGTGAACGTTCAGTCTTTCTCTTCACCACTGACAGTGGGATGAGTCTCAAGAGTTTGGCTATGCTTATAAAGATATTAAAAATAAATCTCATTAAAATTAAATAATGCATTTCTATGCCAAATGTTTTTCTTCTTGTAGTACCACAAAAGGTCCAAAAGGATGATGTCGTCTGCTATTAAACTGAAGTCAATTTTAGCTTAAGTGCTTTAATAGCTTATAAATTAGTCTAACTTTCACAGCACCTCAGTTGCAGATGGCTGAGGTGTAGCTCAGCAGCTTGCAGTTGCCATATTTGTCTTCGTTTTCTGTGCAGCATTGTTCTCATTTTCTTACAGACATTTGATGTTGTCACTACCTTCTTTTTCATTAATTGAAGATTTTTCGGAGTGGTCTTGCCTGTTTTCAGGCTGATAGTGTATATAAGAAAAGATTTGTGTTGCAGAGTTCCTTCCTTGCTTCACCTATTTTAATGAATTGTAGAAGGTTGATTTGAACAATCTATTGTCTAAGATGTCCAGAGTAATATACTTGAGTTCTCAGGAGCTTTGCTTTATTTATGGATATTTGATAGGTATCTGAGGTGTTCATATTCAAGATCTTGCCATATTGTCTTGCACAGGGGCATGAAGAGCACGTCTGAAGAACTGTTGTGTCTCAAGTTTTGGTGGGTTTAAATTGTCTGATTTACAGGTCATACAAAAGAATGGTAATGGCTGTTGCATAGGACAACTTTGTATGTTACTTTGGGGTTTAAGTTGTTGCTATTGTTTAACCCCAGCTGGCAACTAAGTATCACACAGCCGCTTACTCACTTCGTTCCCCCCCTCACTGGGGAGAAGAATTGGGGAAAAAATTAAACCTCGTGGTTTAATAATTGAAACAAAATACAATGCAGTAGTACTAAATGATTATGATAATTGTAATGAAAAGGAGAGAGAAAGGAAAGAAGTCCAGGAGAAACAAGTGATGCCCATTACAGTTGCTCACCACTTGCTGACCAATGCCCAGCCCACCCCCTAACACTGATCGGCCCCTCCCAGCCAACTTCCCCCAGTTTGTGTACTGAGACTGCCGTCCTATGCTATGGAATATCCCTTTGGCCACTTCAGGTCAGCTGTCCTGGCCATGTTCCCTGCAGTTCCTTGTGCAGCTCCCCACTGACAGAGCATGGGAAACTAAATTTAAAGTCCTTGATTTAGGGTAAGCACCACTTAGCAACATCCAAAACATCAGTGTGCTGTCAACACGATTCCCATAGTAAATCCAAAATACAGCCCTGAACCAGCTACTAAGAAGAAAATTAACTCTATCCCGGCTGAAACCAGGACAGTTGTGTGTCTGTCTAATTCTAGATGTACTGCTGAATGTTCCATGTCCTGTGCTGGTCTCTTTTGTGATTTTAGAACTTAGTTGTGGGATAGCTTGCTTTCAGCTTGTCCACAGATCTCAGATACTGCTTACTTAAAAAAAACCCAAAACAAAACAAAACAAAAAAAGTAGTATGTCAATAATTACTCAGCTTTTTTTTTTGCCAGTTACATTAATTATTGTTCTTTTGACCTTAAGGAACCTACCTCACAGTTTGCTTTGAGAGTGAGATATTGGGTGAGAAATTATTGTTCATGCTCAAAAAGGGTTTTTTTGTGGTTTTGATCAAAGTACTGAAGCAGGAGTTGAGAACAGATTAAGCAAAGTAGACTACTTGAAATATTAGCAATTATGACCTAATCTCTTCAAGCAGAGGGTAGACCTAATTTGCTAGACAAAGTGCATGTTGGAGACAGGAGAAATTTTTGAATTCCAGTAGGCAGACCATTAGTCAGGTCTTGTTTGGGATTTTTTTTTCCCACTCTTAATAAATGAGAAGAGAGGACTTTTCTGAAGCACGGCAATTACCAAATTTTTCCACATTTGGAGGGAAAATGAGTATTTCCAAAGGGCGAAGGTGGTTTGAGCTGGTAGTCCAGACAAAAGAGAAAGGGAGAAGCTCCTTGAAGGGGATATATGTTCAGTACGAGGTGTTTGCTGACCTCCAGACTTGCTGGCAGTTTAAATCTATATACTGTCTGGGAGGGAGATGGCTTAGATAAAATGTTATTTAAAGAAATGCATAATGGAAGCCATATGGGTATGGGAAACTCTACGGTGATAGATCTGCCACCATACACCAGCTGCTATGGAGAGTACTTAGCCTCAGTATTGTAGGATGGCCAAGACTACAAGGAAGAAGTTCCTGCTTGCCCTTAGGAAGCTGATGAAATGGAAAATGCAAAACCACAGCAAAACAAATCTCTTGACATGGGGATGTATAAACAGACTCAGGGCTTACAAGGGAATGCTCCAGAGAAAGAAATGGAGTAATGTAGCTGAGGAACAGTCTCATGTCAGAGACAGCAGGGCTATTGCTAATTCCTGCAAAACTTAATTCTCTGGGCTAGCAATGCATCAAGAGAGTTTGAAGAAACAGAAGGCAGAGATGTGTGAAGGCGTACTTTTTGGTTTTATGGGGTTTTTTTGTTTGTTTGGATGAGTTTATTTTTGTATCATGTTAGTATGTAAAGGTCAAGGGCAAGTTTGAGTCTTGTTGCATGGTTAGTACGGGAAGAAGGATGGCAGAGGGGTATGTCCATGTACATGTTCCTGTTTGGATTCCTTTAGTTCATGCTTCTCGTGGGCATTGTGGAGGAAGTAACACCGGTGTAGAGCAGAGTAACACTCTGTGTAGAGCAGGAGCTCTCCTAATTTCTCCTTTTGAGTATTGCTATCACAATAATAAATATCCACCTCCTTTTAGTATGAGAAACCATTGCCTGTTCCCTTCAATCCAGCAGAGCCTGGCTGCTGGATCCAAAGGATCCCAACTCTTCTGCAGATGAGGGAGAACCACAGCTGCTTGAACCCAGAGGATGCTGTGTTTCAAAGAAGGGTGTCCATTGCAGAAAATGTTTTGCTAGCAGAGAAGAGAAAAACTTCTTAAGTTGTGAAGCACATTTTCAGAAGTTGTAAAAGCCAATACTGCCTTCTTCCTGAGTGATTGCTTCTAGTTGGAGTTTATCGGCAAAATTTGTGACTGTCCTTTGCACCCTGCAAGGTTCGGGTGTATGGGGAGAGCTCTGGCCGCCTCCTTTCGACTCCTGCCGAGGCAGTGGGAGAGCCCCTGGCTCTTGCTGCCCTTCCCAGTGTCGCTCTTGGGAGCGAGGGGCGCCTCCGCCAGAGGCGGCTTCAGGTCGCTGTCAGCGGCAGCCGAGGCCCCTCGCTTTGTTGTGTGGCTGAGTGACACCGAGCTGGTGACACTCCCCAGGCATCTGCTCCTGTCCCTAATACGGCCGGGCCGTCTGTCACCGCCGCGGACAGCCTTTAACCCCTGCCCCGGGGTGGGAGCTCCGGGGCGGCGGCGGCAGCAGCGGTTCGGGCCGGACCTTCCCGAGGCGAGCGGGCGGGAGCGCCCGGGCGGGGCGCCGGGGCCGCGACCTCGCGGAGGGGTGCGGAGGGGTGCGGAGGGTGGGTGGGGGCGGCCGGGGCACCAAAATAGGAGCTGGTGCTGCTGCTGCTGCGGCCGCGCCGCTCCCGCCGGCAGCTGCTCTTCCAAAGGCGGTCCCGGGGCCACCGCGGGCTGCGAGCGCCCCTGGCCGCGGCCGCGCTCCGCACGGGGGTAAGCGCCGGGCCGGGCGGGCCGGGGCGGCTGGGCTGTGCTGAGCAACGCGGACAAAGCGGCGGGAGCTGCGGGGTACGGCGATGGCCACGACCGCGCAGGAGGACTACGCCTACCTGTATAAGGACTCCGCGCATCCCGCCGGCTTCCTGGAGGCGTTCCGGGCGTTCTACCTGGACGGGCTATTCACCGACATCACCCTGCAGTGCGCTTCGGGGGTCATCTTCCACTGCCACAGAGCCGCCCTGGCAGCCTGCAGCAGTTATTTCAAAGCCATGTTCACAGCCGATATGAAAGAGAAGTCCAAAAACCAGATCAGCCTTCCCGGGCTCAGCCATGGGGTACTGGAAGCCCTTGTGAATTATGCATACACATCACAGATCCAGATAACAAAGAGAAATGTCCAAAGCCTACTCCAAGCTGCAGACCTGCTCCAGTTTGTGTCCGTAAAGAAAGCCTGTGAGCAGTTTCTGGTGAGGCATTTAGATACTGACAACTGCATAGGTATGCACTCCTTTGCCGAATATCATGATTGCTCAGAACTAGAGAAGGAGTCCAGGAGGATATTGTTATGGCAGTTTGAAGAAGTGTGGAAGCAGGAAGAGTTTCTGGACATTGGCAAGGAGAAGCTCTCTTATATTCTTTCCAGAGAGAATCTCAATGTTCGGAAAGAAGAGGCTGCCATTGAAGCTGTCGTTAACTGGGTTGCTCACAATGTGGAAGAAAGAATTGAAGACGTCTATGAACTGCTGAACTGCATCAAAGCAGACTTAGATAACATGTATTTGAGGTCAGCTTTAAGTCTACAAAAAAAATGCCGACTCAATGGCCGTAAGATAAGGTCACTCATATACAAGGCCCTCAGCCTCAAGCCCAAAAGTCTTTCCAGAAGACCTACAGCAGTCATGTACGTGATTGGAGGATATTATTGGCACCCCTTATCAGAAGTGCATGTTTGGGATCCTTTAACCAACGCATGGGTCCAGGGAACAGAGATGCCAGATCACACCAGAGAGAGCTATGGGGTCACTAGCTTGGGAGCAGACATATACGTGACAGGAGGTTACAGAACAGAGAGCATTGAAGCCCTTGACACCGTGTGGATATATAACAGTGAGAGGGATGAGTGGACAGAAGGCTGCCCCATGCTCGATGCAAGGTATTACCACTGTGCAGTTTCCTTGAGTGGCTGTGTCTACGCGTTGGGGGGATATCGAAAGGGAGCTCCTGTGCAAGAAGCTGAGTTCTATGATCCTTTAATACAGAAATGGCTTCCCATTGCAAACATGATCAAAGGTAGGTAAACTTTTATGTGGTGTCTGCCTCCAATGTCAACCCTTTTGTATTTGTCACTTTTAAGTGCCATGGGCACATTTAGGGCCTGATCCAAGTTCTAGAGAAGTCAACAGGAATCTCCTTTTAGTGTTGGTGGGCTTTGGTTCAGTTCTTCACCAGCCAAAAGACTACAAACATCCAAACACTATGCTGAACTGTGCTATGGAACACTAGGGTAGGAAAGCAAGTGGTAGTCTTGTTTTATTTTGCCTTCTTTCAGAGTAGAATTTCTGTCAAAATACAAAGAAATCAGAAAACTACCTGGGATTAGAGTCAATTCAGTAGATGGTCAAAGAGCAAGCTCTAATTAGGGGTGGTATTATTTCAGTAAAAGGCCAGATTACCAAGATTTTCTGAGCAATCATTTATAAAGGTGTCATCATTTAAAACTTCTTGCATCAGTTTCCTTCTTTTTCTGTGTATCATCTGTTTAGGATCCTTAGTTTAATCGTTAGTGTGAGGATAACGAAAAGCACTAATACTTGAGTGATCTATTAAAAAGATATGAATCATAGCCAAACTAAAGCGTATAATTTTGTTATGAAATTTATAAGCACTTATAAATTTCATAGTAAATTTTTATAAATCAATGCAAATATTTACAATTAATTATAATAATTTAGTGTAAGTTGATGCAACATAGTATTTTACTACATACATAGAATTTTTGGAGGTGTCTATAACAGGAAAAAAACATGCTTCTATAACTTTTTCCATTGTTTGTATATTTTCCTCAAATATTGCTGCTATTCTCTTTTATTTCCTTCAAAAATAGAAATGCTATGCTAATATTATGAGCAGTTGCATATTCTATGCAGTTGTTTTGTCCAGTTTTCTGTGTCGAAAATCTTATGTGCTCAACTCCCCCCTTGTTTGATTTCATTTTGTTGTCCTAGAGACGGATTTAACATGGCTCCATTCTATTTGTGTCCTTGTTTATACAATACCATAATTAGTAATACCATGAGAACAACTAAAAGTATTAGAAAAGACATTGAACAATCTCAACTCCCATTGTTTTTGTCTTTGCCATATAAGTGATTTTTTAACATCTCTTTAACTTGGTGAAATATTGAATCTAATTCCCTCCTCCAAAACCAGTGTGACAGTGTGACTTTAATTACTGCCTAAAAATGCTTTGAACTCTCATATGCCTGTATTATATGCAATATGTATTGGTTACGGCAGTTTTATTTAGTTGTTCTTGACTTGCACTGATAAAGTGTCTTGACTAGTCTGTTTTACTCACATTCAGTCTGAACTTGCTTACTGTGTACAGGGGTTGGAAATGCCACTGCCTGTGTCCTGCACGAAGTCATCTACGTAACTGGAGGTCACTATGGGTACAGGGGAAGCTGTACCTACGATAAAATCCAGAGATACCATTCAGGTAGCAATGAGTGGAGTATAGTCACCACAAGTCCACATCCAGGTAAATAATAATTTCTGTAAAAAATATAGAGCTTAATTTGATGACTTGTACCTGGGAGTCCTTAAGCCCAGTTAAGAGTTTCTGGCATATTCCTAATAAAAAAAGAGAAATACCTGTAGGGCAGCAAGGACCATTTCCAGACTCTGAGAGGGAAAGGGAAGACCTTCTTCAAGCATCTGTCATATAGAAATTGCTATATAAATACTGAATTAAGGAATGTCCACATTCTATTAAATAATATAACTTTCTATATAAAATCTATCTATTTATAGACATTTGGCAAAAATAATTTATGTTAATTTTAGAAGGGTTTTCTCTGTGTTCTATGCCTGGTAACAGTAAGTTTTTTAAGCAATTCTCACTAAGTACTGCTTCTCAAGTCTTTACCTTCTGTAATGCCTTCAGCTTTCTTTTACCAAGTGTAGCAGAAACTTGAGGTGTCTCCTAAGCTCAGTGAAGAAACTCAGCCGCCCTCAGTGGTGCCCAGTGTTTGTAATGCAGTTGCACTTTAAGTGAAGGTTACCATGCTGAGTTGTGCTGTATTCCTTTCTTTCCAAAGAGTATGGATTGTGTTCAATTACATTACAAAACAAGATCTATTTTGTGGGTGGACAGACCACGATCACGGACTGCTATGACCCAGAGCAAAACGAGTGGAAGCAGATGGCTCACATGATGGAGAGAAGGATGGAGTGTGGCACAGTGGTCATGAACGGATGCATCTACGTAACAGGAGGATATTCCTATTCGAAAGGAACGTATCTGCAGAGTATTGAGAAATATGACCCTGAACTGAATACATGGGAAGCAGTAGGAAATCTTCCCAGCGCTATGCGGTCACATGGCTGTGTCTGTGTGTATAATGTGTAAACATTTAATTATCTTCTTGCTGTTACAGCAAACAGCAGATGCAGCATTCATAAAGTACTGATTACCTCATGACTGAGTTGTCCAATACAATCTCTTAGCACACATTGTTGAAAACCAGGTATAATTTTTCTCATTTTAAACAACTCAGAAATATAGACGTGGTAACAAGATTTCCATATATTTTTCAGTCCAATCATTTTTTTTCATTAAAGTTCTCAAATGACTCTCTTACAATACTTTATGCAGCTACATAGAAACTACTGTGAAAATCAGATTTGTTTTTGTTAATCACTGTGGGAAACTATGATCTGGTGCTAAGATGACTAAAGCCAAACCAAATACTTTACATTTCTAAGGGCTATTGGGCTTCAGAGGAAATCTTTGCATTCTTAAGGTAGCTACAGAAATGGATCGTTGCCCCAAGATAAGTGTATGGTACATACAGAGCAATATCATTTGGATAACTAGGTTATCACATTCAGAAATGGGCTTTTATAGGATGCCTCCAATTCTACCTTCCAGTGCCAGAGCAAAGAAGAGCTGGGACTAGGAATGAGGGAAGAAATGTCAGGCAGTACCCTGGGAGCATAAGCCAAAAGTACTGCAGTGCTCTGCAGTACAAGGGCATTTGAGAAAAGTAGCCTCTTTGCCATTCTTACACTCACTTTGACATTGCCCATGAGAAATGAAAAATGACTCTGCAAGGCTTTGCAATGGGCTCTTTGGCTGATGCACAGATAGTCATGGGTTTTTTTTTTTGGTTGGTTGGTTGGTTGGTTTTTTTCCTGAAAAAAGCCTTAATATGGTAACTCGTTTTTAATATCCAATTCAAGATAGGTGTCTGTGTGGAATGGAAGGATGAAATGAGAGAGACTGGAAAGTTGTTCACATCCCCTTGCAATACAAAGTTCTCTATTTTGTTTAATACCATTTGATCTTTGCTAAAAGTGCCAAATTGTGACTTGAGCAAAGGTGACAACTGAAGAAACTTGTCAAAATATGTTATGCATGGAGAGATTGAATGCTAAGTGGTCTACAGGATTAGTTTATTTATTATTTCTCTCAAAATGTAATACGAGATCTTCAAATTCTGTGTAGAAAGGAGATTTTTGTAAAGTGCTTTATAGACAAATGGATCAAATTCTGAGTGGCCCTGATAGCAGTGATTCAAATAAAAAAATGCCTTGGGGAGCAGAGACTTGTTTAGCACTGATCAGTTCTCCAATCCAGCTTATAAAATGGCTGCAAAAAGAGCTGTTAGACATTGGTGAGAGAGGCAGGACAACACAGGGATGCTGAAAGGTGTAGTGGGAACTTCCCACACCAGCACTGTCACCTAAAATGGAATTTTGGTTTTATTGGATTTATCAGATACAATGAAAGGAGCTTTCCAAGCAGGTAAGCCCTGAGTTTATAGTATTTCCTTTTCTTGATCATAAGCATTTTCGACATTTTTTTGTTGTTCTTTCCCATTTTTATGCTACTTCTGACTTGCATTTGAATGCTGGTAGCAGGCAGCACTCAACTCTGAGCTTTGATGTGAAGTTCTGTGTGTATATATAGTTCTTGTTTTGACGTCTTTGTATGTCACCTGACTGTGTCAGAAGCTCATGTGTGTGTGGGTTCAGTGTTTTGATTCATTACACATCCCACTGGGAGCTATTTAAGGATCCAATGTAATTTGTGTAAAGACTCTAAACTGTAAAGAGGTGTGAGGAATTGAACTCTAATGCTATTTGAAATGTGTTAGCCAGGCAGGTGGGCAAAAGAAATAACATGAATTTGTTTCTCCTGGAAATCTCCACAGCTGAGAAATTGTTCAAAGAGGTGGAGCAGTAAAGGACATCGCAAAAGCATGAAGGTGATCTTTGTATTGAACGAGACCACAGTGAACTCAATGTGTGTATGCAATTTTTCAGTGCAAATTATGTACCTGTGAAGCTTCATGTTTGTTGAAAAAGGGGAGCATAGAAAGCTGCTTATGGCTGGCCCTGAGGGTCACTTTGGCCTATATCCTGTCACCCACAGGCATGGGTCGAGGAAATGATCTAAGAACAAGGTGAGGACTAACAAAACAAAATCCCTCAGTGTCCACTTGGCCACTGCTTCTAAACTAAGTGCTTAGTGTTTGTGAAAGACAGTGCTGTTCCAGGGCAGGAGCACAGGCATTGGAAGCTGGATCTGCTTTGCCCCCTGGGCACCCTGCAGGGGAGCAATTTGCTGCTTTTTGGCCTCAGTGCTAAGTGGGAAAAAACCTTTAGTTGTCCCATGCCAGGAGAGCGTGTGCTGGTCTGGCACCAACAAAAATCAATGAGATTACTGCCTAGGATGTCTGGTAAATCCTAATATTTCAGAGGTTTTGACTGCATTAGAATAAATGGAGATCAGAAATTCAGACTCGTGGTTAAATTTCAAGTGGTGCTATTTTTCACAATAACCTACAGTGCTCTTTTGAATTAGCTTATGTCTGTAGAATATCCAAATGTGTGCTGCCAGCAGGTCTTGGCTACAGCCAGGAATATGAAATCAGCAAGAGAAAAAGGGATTCTGCCTTCTGGTCAGCGACCTGCAGGAGGTGCGAGGCTCAGAACGGATCTTTTAGCCATCTGTGTGGTACGTTTTTAATAATAGTTGAATGTAAACACTGGATTATTGTCCTATCAGACCTGTATTACGGTAGACAGTTTTATTGTTTTACTTGTAAACTAGAAAATTAACTAACACAGAAATCAAATAACTTCTAAAGCCAATACTGTTTTTTAAAATTTTGACTTGTGCAGTCCCCGTGTTTGTAGCGCCATAGATGTCCACAATATATCTTCAGTACTTCAGTGAATGTTTGCAGTATTTAATAAATGTAAAAATACCACTGGACAAATACAAGCTTTTAAGTTACTTTTTCCCTTCAGTGCGCAGAACTAGGACCCTGGCGCGCGCGGAGGGGTGGCCGTGGCGGGCGCTGAGGGCTGTCCGCGCAGCCCTGGGCATCCCCTGGGCATTCCCTGGGCATTCCCCCTGGGCATTCCCTGGGCATCCCCTGGGCATTCCCTGGGCATTCCCTGGGCATTCCCTGGACATCCCCTTGGCATTCCCTGGGCATCCTCTGGACGTTCCCGGCCCTGCCCACCCCGCTCCCCTCGCGCTCGGGCGCTCGCGGCGGGGCCGGAGCAGCGCCGACCCCGCCCCGGAAGTGACGGCGCGCGCGGGGCGGGCGGGCCGCGGGGGCTGCTGGGCCGCGGCAGCGATCGCGGCCTGTGGAGCGGCGCAGCGGGACCGGGACCGGGATCGGGACCGGGAGCGGAGCCGGAGCGGGCCGGACGTGCAGGTTCGTGCGGGGCCCCGGCCCCGCCGGGCTCGGCCCCGCTGAGGAGCTACGGGGCTGGCGGCGGGCCCGGCGGCCGGGCCGGGCGGGAGGGAGGCAGGCAGGGCGGGTTGCCGGCCTGGGGAGCACGTGCCGCCCGTGCCCGGCGGAGTCGCGAGTGGGCCCGGCCGTGCCGGCGGGGCGGGAGGCCCCGGGCCCTCCCCGCGGGCAGCGCGTCCCGCGGGGCTGCGGCACTGCGGGTGAGGCGGCCCCGCTCCCGCCGCTGCCGGGCCCGGGCGTCTGCAGGCGGCGTGCGGCGCTGCGGGCGTGTGAAAGCGCCATCGAACAAACGGATGGTATCCTGGCACGGGTTAGGGGGCCACGTTTCAATTCCTTAATTACTTCTTATAAGAAAATTCTTCTTAAAAACCCCCCTGCAAGTCAAAGTATCGTCTGTGAAAATGTGTGGTAGCAGTTAACCCTTACTGTGAATAAAAAACTATATTTTGAGGTAAGAATCCTGTCAGAAGGCTCCAACTTCTGACACAGGGGTTCCTGAACAAGGCAGAGTACGAATAACAGCTCCATGTTATTTTTTTGGGAAAACTTTCCTATTTAGAAAAGCCTTTCCCTCTGTTACAGTAATGGTAGAACCAGCCTGCAACTTAGCTTTGTCCAGACCTTGACACTAAATGGCTGGTAAGATGAAAATCCACTTGAGAGTTCTTTCAGGATGCTCTAGCTAATACAGTGTGGGATCTAACTTGTTCTTCTTAAAGGGCTTGACTGTCATTTTCCATTTGTAATTTAAATCTAATGACTGCTTGCACTACTTGTTTTCATTTTGTGTGGTACTGATGCAGACTGTTGGCACACAGAAGGAACAAGTGTGGTTTGCTAAGAAAGCTCTTACAATAAAACGTTGTAGAATTTTGCATGCAGTTCATGCTGTGATTGCTGTTCAGTGCAGCTTTTTATGAGTCTTAACTGCTGCACAGCACCTGAAAACTATTGATCTGGAGGTCATCTTGTGCCAAATGACTGAGCTAAAGAGTCTGAAGCGAGCATATGCAGACAAGACTAGAATTTCTCTTAAATTAGGCTGCTTCTGCTTTTGTTCTAAATAGGTTAGAGCTCAATCACTGTCTGAACTGAATTTTACGCATGGCAAGCTTGAATCTTAATTTTGTCCACAGTTTGTTGTTACTCACAGCTGCAGGGATGCTTTACAGAAAAACTTCTCCAGGTGTTAGACTTAATCTAAAGGACCTGTGCCAGGTCTTGTGTTGTTTTACACTTTATGGTATTGACTTTAAAAATACTGCTAAGGAAGTAGGCTTAGTTTTGTTCTCTTTTTAGCAGTGGAACTGAGCCTTAAGTGGAAATTGAATTGCTGCTTCTGGGTATTTTGGTACCTGGGCTGAGGCAGGTTGGGATAGTGGTCAATTAGTTGATATCTCAGAAAAAGCTGTGACTGCTCCATAGGCTGCCATTAAATTGCCCCAAATTAGGTGTAATGTAAAAAAGAACACCAGTTTCTTTATAAGTTGGGTGTGGGGGACAACAGCAAGGGGTTGTGTTAAGACAGTACCAACACCTGAATGTGGTGGTGAACTGTCAGCCTCCTGTAGTCAGGGTGGCTCGTGTGAGACATCTCTGACGGAACTGCAGTTGTCAGCTTGGGCACTCTGGCCTGGGTTCTGTAAAGTGCTTTACAGACAAATGGACCACACTCTGAACACAGCTGCCAACTAATGCTGAAATCATGCTTTAAAGAGCGCTAGAGTGTTAGGTACAGGTGGAAGCACAGTAGTAGAGACTGGGATGCATATTTTAAGGCTGTAAGTGCCAAAGAACTACAAGTAAGTCCAAGGATGCAATGCAGTTTTGAGATCAGGAAGATGAGGAAACGGGAATACTGCAGATTGCAGTAGGATGAACAATGACTGGGGAATTAAACTACTGGAATAAGAAGATGAGGCTGCCAGGTGGGTGTTCAGATGAAGAACATAATTTTCCATGACAAATGTGTCTTCTCATTTTATATCCTTATCTTAAGAACAACTAGACAGACATTTTTGGATCCCAGTTAATTTTCTGGTCAGTAGCTGCTTTCTTAGTGACTGCATCTGATGTACTGGGATTGTACATTTGCTGCCAGTTAAATGAATAAGTTGCTTCCAAGGTAAAACACCTGTTATCAAAGATACTTGATTCAGTACTCAAACAGAACTGCACTGAAGACAGATTTGTGAAGGAGAGAAGTAGACATTTTTAGCATGTATTAATAAATGCAGATATTTTTCCTTTCTCCAGTAAATTCCATGAGCTTTCAAAGATTAAACAAGAGACAAACTTCAGAAATGTTTGTCATTCTACCTATGTAGGAATTAAACAATTTTTGTTATTAATGTTTTGCCTAGTGGCGAGAGGTTGGATTTGACTTAAAGAACAAATGTTGTTGGCTCTCAGCTTTGTTGCTGCTCTTAGTCACAAACTGAGGATCTGTGCCTAGAAAAAGGTAAATAACAAATAAGACTGCAAAGTGCCAGCATTTTTAAATTTATCTTGAATACAGAATGCCAAATACTGCCTTAACAGCCCAAGTATTTTACTTGTGGGGTTTTTTCCCCATTTGTTTCATACTTTTCCTTTGGAGTTTGCAGTGATGTTTAAAGTTGCTTCACAGGCATAAGTGTATGGCTCAAGAACTTGGCTGTTATTGTGTTTAGATGAGGCTGCAGTGAAATGCAATGCTCTAGGAATATAAGTCTGCAGAAAGTACTACTGAGTAAGTGCTTCTGCTCTGTATTCTCTTCAACACAGCTAGTGAAAATGGCTGAAAATGGAAATGGTGAAAACATGTCTATCTTGGAAAGCAAAATCTGTCAGCAAATTGAGGTAAGTTCAGTTTATAGTTTGGGATCTGGACTGAGGTGTGGTTTTGGAGGCATTCATTGGCAGGGACTTGGCTAATGGGAATTTAACTTAATGGGGAGTTAGACTTGAATCTTCAGCTCGTTAAAAAATGTCTGTCACAGGTCTATGACAGATATTTAATACTTTACTAATACTTTAATACTATTACAACTACCTTACTATTACAACTAAGGTAGTTGTAATAGTAGTTTAAGTTGGAAGTTACACTTGTCTACAGTTGCTTCTAAGAGCACAATTTAAAAACAAACATTTGCTAGCATTTTAGTTACTGTAGCAATTGAATGTATCATTAAACAGTTTATTACCCTGTTGCTGGGGTTATTCTATCTATGCAAATAGCAGAAGGTTGAATTTTAATTCTATATACCTTAATTTTTTGGGGGAAAATCCTTCTATTTGAGAATCTGTGCTGCTCAAAATACTCACACATTGCATAACTTGCTATTGTGATTTACTGCTTTGTAATTTAATGCTAAAAATTACAACTAAACTTTCGTGCCTGCTTTGGATTAACTATTTATCTCTCTCTAGAGGCTTGAAGGGTTACCCTACAACAAAAAAAAAAAATGAGCCCATCATTTAAAACAAAACTGTTTTCCTGAAGGATAAAAGTATAGCTACACGTGAATGCCTAATACTCTATGGAACCATTATATAAAACAAACAAAACAAAGAGATTGAGAAACAATAGTTGACAAAACTAGACTTTTGGTAACGTGAATTTGAGATATACTAGAGGGAGAGGTATTGTTGTAAAACTTGCCCTGACTTTTTAAGGCACCATGACATTGGTGGAAACATTCCAACTTATCCTATGGCTTCAGGTATTTGATACTAGTTAGATGACTGCTAGTTAGCAGAAGAATGTGATTAGCCTGTCTGCCTTGAACTGCCCATGTTGGACAAGATCAAAATAAGGACACAGTAACTAAATAAAATTAAAAATAAAGATTAAATTTAAAATAACAATTTTTTTTATCTTTTGGTCTTTTGTTGAATGAGACCTAAAAATTCCAGTTTATGTATATGATTTTCCAGTGTGCAAATACCATATTCTTGCTTATACATTCCTGAAATAAGGAGTAAAACCTGAATCTGTTGGTGACAAATTTGACTTTTGACTCTGCAGAGCTTGATCTGGGTGATAGATGCTTATGATGTTAACAGAATAAGCTTTGCTCCTTTCCTAAACAAAACTGCAGTCTGTCTTTGCCTCGTTAGTCTCACTGGATGAAGCACTGGCTTGCTGTGGCATTTGTTTGTTTGTTTCTGGCGGGGGTTGTGTGTTTGTTTCTTTTTACAGCTTACATGTTGCACCTCACTTTTGGCAAAGTATCACATTAAAGCATGAAGTAATAATTTCAGAATTTCTAATTATTCAGAGTAATTACTTTTGATATGTGTCAATCTACTGCAGTAAGCTGTCAGATGAAAATGAGCTTTTAAGGCCAAAAATTTCAGGACAAATCTCTCTTCCCTCCTCCCCTCCCTTCTTTTTTGCAGTATTATTTTGGCAATCACAATCTACCAAGAGACAAGTTCCTAAAAGAACAGATCAAACTAGATGATGGCTGGGTACCTTTAGACGTAATGATCAAATTCAACAGGTAAAACAAAGTACAACTAATGTGGGTAGAAAAGTTACTTTTAGCTACTTATCTCTATTTGTAGCCAAGTGTTCCCGGTGTGCATGCACAATTCCCGTTGCTGTTTTAACATCTGGCTTTGCCTGTATATTTGTAATAACTTGTGTCTGCTTACTCAATAGGTTAAGTCGCCTTTCAAAAGATTTTAGTGTTATTGTAGAAGCACTAAGAAAATCCAAGACTGGTTTAATGGAAATAAATGAAGACAAAACTAAAATCAGAAGATCTCCAAATAAACCCCTTCCTGAATTAAATGACCAGTATAAGGCTGCAATTAAAAACAGATCTGTATATGTTGTAAGTAAATTTCTTCCTTTACTCTATGCTGTTCTGCATGACTTAGACTGAAAGCCGTCTGAGTAAAGCTTGAATTAACTCATACCAAATAGGTTGTAATTTCTGAGTCAGTTTGGTGAATATAATTGAAGCTCATTGCTATCTTGCAGAAAGGCTTTCCACTAGATGCTACTCTTGATGATATCAAAGAATGGCTTGAAGATAAAGGTCCAGTTGAAAACATTCAAATGAGGAGAACATTGCAGAGAACATTTAAGGTAACTCTTGCAATGAACATTTAAACCTGGGGCAGGGATCCTCCCCGGACAGCATTCTGTTCAATTACTCTAACATTCAATGTTTCTTGCCATTTAACAGGGCTCAATATTTGCAGTTTTTGATAGTGTTGAATCTGCTAAGAAGTTCACAGAGATACCAAATCAAAAGTACAAAGACACAGAGCTGATAGTACTTTTCAAGTAAGTCCTCTTAACTGATACATGAACTAATAATGGTAAAGGGTGGATTTAGACAAGAGCCTGGCTTGACCTGAGAAGTGTAGGTTTCTAAACCGTTGTACAGGTATTGATAGCTGTACCTTTTGGAGAGTAGCACCTCAACGTGGAAAAGTAATTTCAATGGCTTCTTGTCTACTGATGTATTACAAAATAATTATAACAGAATATTTTAAATTATATTAACTTAGCTTATATTCAATTGAAGGGAGGAGTATTGTATAAAGAAGAATGAAGAAAGGAAACAAAACAAAGTAGAAGCAAAAGCAAGAGCTAAGCAGTAAGTCATTATCAACTGAAGTGCCTGATTTTGCTTGCTTGACTACACTTGAACTGACTCAAAACTAATTAAACTTTTCTGCAGGGAAAAAGAAGAGAAACAGAAACAAGCAGCAGATGCTGAAATGGTATGGGTTTCTTTTCTTAAATCTCTATACTTGGAAACTATGCAATGCTTGCTTTTGTGTGTATTTTCAATCCACGCACAACATGGTCCTGCCCCTACATTTTGTAAAACTAATATGGGATATTCAGTTTGAAATTCTATAATATAGAGCACTTTCTAGAAAGTCACTTCAGCTTTTCCAACTAACCTACAGTAAGACTGTTTTTTATGATGTTTAATCTTTTTCAATAGATTTATTTTTTTTTGAGGGCTCATGTCCTGAATTTAAATTATTAGCCTTGTTTACCTCTTCAGATATGATCCTGAAAGCACCACTGAGATGATTGTTCTCTTGTGGTATTTAAAGGATCCATTAAGAATTTAATTAGTATTATATTGTTTCTATCTGAGGTATCAGCCTTCAGCAAACTGTTTGGTAGAATTTAAAGAGTGTAACTCTCTTATGGAAAAGAAGTCCTAAGTTCCACATAAGTGTATCATAGTAAGCAAAGAAAATTGAAAAAAGGAGGGGAGACACACTGTGCAAGACTTGGACATCAGTATAACTAAATTACATATCAAAAAAGCTAGAGTTACTGTAATTTCAATTGCTTATTTATCATCATATTTAATAGTCTTAGGATTGAGGAGGAAAACACAAATATTCAAGCTTGACTATTCAGTGAAAATGTGGGATGTGTTTTATTTCATTTAGAAGTCTCTGGAAGAAAAGATAGGATGTCTTTTGAAGTTTTCTGGTGATCTGGATGACCAAACGTGCAGAGAAGACCTCCATGCTGTATTTTCTGGTCATGGAGAAATCAAGTGGATACACTTCGTCAGAGGTGCAAAGGAGGTCAGTAGACTCTTAGACAAGGGCTTAAGATCTTTGTCTTGAACTCGAAAATCAATGATTAAATGTTTGTTCTCCTATGTAATCAAGTAAACTATTGTCTTGTGAAATTTCAGAATATTTAGAGAATTATTTCCTTAAATTCTTCCAAAAGAACAGATAAAGGTTCCAGCCTTGTTAGTTGATAAGGTGAAAAGTGAGAATGTTTGTTACAACGGCTTAAGGGCTTTGATCAGTCTAGACATGTTTTACATTGTGCAAGAGTAATGAATTTGCTGAGGTACTTAACTGGGTGTATATTGTTCATCATTCTAGCTGAATGTTTTTGCAGTAAGATTCAAATGCAGACGCCACTCTTCTTTTTAAGGGAATTATCCTGTTTAAAAATACTGCCAAAGATGCTCTGGAAAAAGCCAAAACAGCACATAATGGAAACTTACAGCTTCGGAACAAGGATGTTGCATGGGAAGTGCTAGAAGGAGATGCTGAGAAAGAAGCTCTGAAAAAAATACTGGAAGATCAGCAAGAATTATTGAAACAGAAAACAAAAGGTCCTCCCTTCTTTTATTCATTTAAGCCTTTATAATGTCCTACAATTGGCACTCCAAATAGTGAATATATACTACACACTGACCTAACTGTAAAGTGTTCCTTTGAGCTTGCCAGTTTAAAGACAAATGATACAAAGTTCCTGATCTTGTATCTCTCCACAGGGCGCAAAATTAAAGGAAAAGGGAGAGGAGGAAAAATACCTCAGGGTGCACAAAAAGGAAAAATACAGTTTCAGGGCAAGAAAATTAAGTTTGATAATGAAGAAGATGGTGGTGAAGATGATACTAAAACAGGTATGTCATTCTGTTTAGCCATCAGCGTGCTTGTAGCAAGTGTGGGTAGAGCCCTTCTCAAATCTTCGTTCGCGAAGCCTAGCCATGGTGATGATGTCATTCTGTGCACTTGATGCAGGTTCTTTAGTACACAGAGCTACTTTCTGGAGAAGTATTCATGTTTCTTACAAGTGTTTCAGATTTGTCTCTGCATTGTAGTATTTCTGCCCTCTTGTCAGTATCAGTGAAGTAACTTTAAGAGTCTTGTGCTTGATTCCTTCCAAGACTGTCCAAAAAGCATACTTAGATAATTATTAGATAGGTAAGGCTGTACTGCAGGCTTTCCAGAGCATTCTGCATTGAAAGATGGTGGTTATCGGCTACTTTACACAGCTGTACAGACTCAGTCTCTTGAGGGGTGGGGTTTTTTTTCCCTTGAGGATATGTGAAGACTGATAGTGCAACCTGTCAGTATTTAGCTTGGAGAAGATCAAGAGCTAAGCTTCTGTTCATTGTATATGGCACCTGCTTAACTAAAATCCAGTGAAACCTCCTGGTAGATTGTATTCCTTTATTTTCTAACCTGCCTTCCTGCTACGGAGTTATATAGGGATTAAGCTCTTCAAAGGTGGTATTTTAGAACATCTAAAACCTTAGTCACAGTAATAAGTAAGCCCTCTAGTACAGCAGCAGCTGTAGAGAACTAGGACTCATCTTTGAACTTACATGGTAGGGTTTGTTTGGTTTTTTTCAGATTTCAGGTAATGCTTTCCTTTACCCTAAATGACCACATATTCAATCTTGCAGAACCAGCAAGTCCCAAGAAGAGACCACTAGAGGAAACAGAAAAAGAAGAACCTGCACCAAAACAACTGAAAACAGAAAATGGAGATGACAATCAGTAATACTAAATTAAATAAAATTTTAAAAAATTAGCGGTTTTAATGTTCCATTTTCAATAGGTTTTAAAGACATGCCTCAGTTCAGGAATTTCTTGGCAGAAAATCTAATGAAATCCACTTCAACGTCAACCTACAAGTAGAGAAAAGCTTCATTTTGTTGGGTTACAGCTTTCTTTTGTTCAAGAAGCATGCTTACTCCTAACATACAACCCTGGAAAACTTTTATATTTATAGTTTTGTTTATACTGTCAGATCCTCTGATTTTTTTCTGGCATCTCATTCAAATGTAAAAGGTTTTGGACTTTGTAATGTTGTGGTTATGTTGAACAGCAGCTGGCAATAAATTCACAACTTAAAACTGCTTACTACTGAAGTCTGGTTAATGTAGTATAACACTGTAACTGTCAAGTAGCAAAGATACAGGACAGACTTAACTATTTTAAGTTCAAGTCACCAAGTGCATAGGTACAGCTGAATAAAGCTTCTAGTCTTTGCACAGAACACTGAAACAACGCTACAGCTGTAACGGTTCTGGCCTTCAGCATTTAGTTCAGTCTAATTACCAGCTGCAGATAGGATCAAGCAAATGGCTATTAGGAGCTGAGTCAAGGAGGCTGCCCTTAGCTTATCACCTGTAGTTGCAGGGTTGGCTTTAATCTTTCTGTATAGCTTTGACTGGCATAATGATTCCTTTCATTGTTCAGCTACAAAATGTAGTAACAGCAATGGAACCTGATGCTTGAGAGTGCTGTGAGCATTCCTCATCCAGTACATATGGTCCTAAAACTTGAATTTTCGTAAGGAGAATTTATTTACAGCGGCATTTTCTCGGTTATGTTTTTATACTTACTGATTTCTTCTTATGGAACTTGTATGATGCTGGTAGGTCAAATCTAAGTTCTGTGAACAGGACAAAGAATACTTGTTAGACTAGGATGATTATTGGTCACTTAAACCCTACATCCATGTACTTCTGTTTCTAATGCCCACCTCTGTTGTGGCCTGTCGTGATAACTTTGGATCTCTGGACTAGATGATGACTGAACATTTAAACTGTCCACATCAGACAGTTAAGTGGATGGCTGAAATGCAGTTGTGCTTCAAGCACTTTTGCAACTTCATGGCTTAAATTCCATGACTGCATAAGGCCTCCAGCTAGGGGTATTTAAGAATAAGGAAGATACCTGCACAACTGCCAGAAATATTTAGGTGACTAAGGACAGGATGCGTTTAGTGTGAGAACTGACCTGTGCTTTGCTTTTGTTTTTTTGCAACCGTCTCCTTTTGAAGCAGGAAGGGAGGCAACTTCCCCTTGAAGATAAAATCTAGTCCAGGAAGAAACCTATTTCTGCACAGAGTATGTATTCCTCAGAGCTTTAAGTGCCTGCTTGTATTCTAGGCAGGTAGCAAGATATGAAAAACAAAAAGTCTTTTTAAAAAAGACCTGTGTCATCTCAGTGTTAAATCACAAGTAAATTCACCTCAAGCTGTTATGATTGGCTAGTAGTGTTATAGGTATTAACCCCAAACAAAAGGTTGGGGTTTTTTCCATTAATAACAAATTAATATTACCTGCTATGACTTCCATCTTCACTTCCCATTCATCTGCTTTCTTTTGAATGTGCTAGAATATTAAATAGATACAGGTAAATTTAAAAGCTCACTTCTACACTGTCTTATAAACATCTACACCCCTGTACTTCTTTAAGAATTAGTTTCCTGTGCTTTTGATTTTCAAGATAAAGCATTAGATCACATTCTTATCTAGATGTATATGAGATTGCAGTTATTTGACATTTACTGCAAACATACCCCATAAAGGTGTGAACCGGTGAATCTACAGACATCATCATTAAATGCCAGCTATCTTGTTGCTTGGTTAATGCTTGCTGTAGTAAAATGAAGGACTTACCTGCCGTGTTGAAGTTTTGTGAAGGGAATATACAGCTGTTTTTGCCATTTGTAGAGCAGTTTTCAGAAAAATCATATCAATTCCTAAAAGAATGATGGAATTATTAGCATTGTTAAATGGAAACTTAAAGATCTGCTTCATTTTTTCTGGAATAATATGTATTTGAGAAACAGCATTGAATACATTAGGGTATGGAAAGAATTTCTAAATCTTGCCCAATTGCTTCTGGTAAAAGAAAAATGCTAGGGATATGAAATAACTAGTATTGTTTATTTCAAATCTAGTGACTCTTAGCTGCAATGTTGAAGCTGTTAATCTGTACTTAGGAAGCTGATTCCAGATCAACAACATGCTAGGTAACTAGAATAGCTAACTAATAAAAAGGGAGATGTTTCATTAAAAGCATTTCCCTTGCTAGTTTGTTCACAATAATTTCTAACTGATTCTAAGAATTACTAACCTTTATTATGCTTGGTACCAAAAGGAGGGTTCATAATAACTGTGTCAAAAGCATCTGACATGCTACCAGACAAAGAACAGATATCACACTGAACCATGTCGACATTTGTGAGCTCAAAGTCTTCAATATTGCTATTAAATATTTCCAGTGCATCTGCATCTATGTCAAATCCCACACAGAATCTATTAAAAAAAAAAAAGTATCACATATTAGTCTCCTACAAACTACAGCTTTGAAAGGGATCCAGGTACACAACTTGTTTTATCTAGGAAATGTAACAAGCATACACTATAAATTCAGTGCTGATAAAAATTCAAGTAGTTCTGTTGCCATTTCTCAAATATAATTCTGATTTTGTTAAGGAAGTTTCATGAGTTCATTTAATGCTTCAAGGGAAAGAAAATATTATGACTTTAAAATTCATGACAGCTGTCCATCACTTTCACAGTAGGAATGGTTATTGACAGTCAGAACTTATTAAATAGCCTGATTATGCACCAGATTATATACTTTATGTGAGTCTAGTTCAGCATTGCTGTTTTAATCTTACTTTCTACTGTTCTATGCCAGAAAAAAACATAAGCAGAACATAGCATTAAATACTTACCCTGCTCCCAACATTGCACTTCCAATGCTGAGCATGCCACAACCACATCCTAAATCTGCAATTGTTTTGTTTTCAATATCATCAAAAGTATTGTGAATTGTATAAAGCATACATGCTGGGGAAAAAAAACAACACAGGTGAATAATACCAAATATGCACCTAATTAATCAAGAAAAGCTTCACCTGCCTTCAGAAAACTCTTAACTAAAGGTTTCTTGTAATGCAAAATTAACCTGATATTCTCACTGCCTGTAATTCTCTTTCCTTTATATGTGAAGAGTCAAAAACATTCTGATGAGTTGTACAACTCTCAGTTTTTGTTGGAGAGATTACATATAGAGCTTTGAGTGTTGTTTGTGGAAAAAGTATGCCTCTAAATTTGTTTGAAGAAAAATGATAGGACATAAAATATTTTAAAAAATCACAATTAAGGTATGAAGGAGTATCTCTATATACACTTTTATTGGTTTTGTGTGTCATGAAGTAAGTCCAAGCCAGCTTTTGCAGTTAGACATTAAGATGCTTCTATCACATTATTTTTTAAATCAGTTTATTTGATTTTTGGATTGTACATTACCAGTACACTTCTAAATAATTATATTCCTGTTGGAAACAATTTCTTAACTACTTTTAGTGTAAAGTCTTCAAAGGAGATAATGCAGTAGAAAAAACCTTTTTTAATTAAAAGTGCTGATGAAGAACTAGCAAAAGAGACAACAGTGCTGTGGGTCACCTCTACCTGCGATATGAGGTCTTGTTGGATACTGTTCAAGGAGTAGTTTTGGACTGTCAAAAGTATCAACTTCTTGAAGACAGCTTTCCAGTTCTTTAAGCTTTAATTTCTTCATGTTTATGGTTTAACTAGAGAAAATAGTGCATAATCAGTTACAATAATATAAAAAAGTACATATTATCTTAAACTATTTTATATTTATTATCCCCCAGGATTCCTCAGCATCTCCCGGGTGTTTCCAGGCAGCTGTTTCCCGGGATGCAGCCGGCGGCGCACCGATGACGGGCAATGAGCGCCAGATCACGGCAGCGCCGCTCCCCACTGGCCCCCGGCGTTCCGCAGCTACCGCCCGCCGCCCAGCCCAATGCGAGGCAGGGGTCGAGCCCCAGCGACCGCCACCAACCCCCGGTTCGCCCGGCCCACAGGGCCGTTCCCGCGGCCGCTGCCCCTCACCGCAGCCCCGCTCACAGCCCCGCTCTCCGCAGCCCCGCCGGGCCGGGCCCGCCGCGACACTTCCGCCGGCCCGCCCCCGGCCCGCCCCTTCCCGGGCTGACGGGCATCTGCGGGGATGAAACGCAGCGGGACTTCTCCCTCGGTTCAGTTAACAAGTGGGAGCTGTGGTGTCGTGTATTGTAAGCACGGGACGTTTTATTGCAAGCTCACGTGTCAGCGCTGCTCGGTGCCTGCCATGGCCCGGTCTGCTGGTGTGTCCCCCGGCGGCCCCGCTGCCGAGCGCCCTTTAGGGACAGAGCAAGGAACAGGAGTTCTGCCCGGCCGGTGGGAAGGGCGGTCGTTGAGGAGAGTAACAGATTTACCTACTTTTCCCGCATTTTCCTTCCTACGATCCTGGTGGGAGAAGCTGCACACACCACGTGCCCCACACTGCCTGCCCTTAAGGAACCGCAACACATCACAAGCTGCCGGCAGGGAGCAGCGGCAAAGCCAGAAGATAGGCAGCTGCCTTGGGGCCCGTTGCTGTCGCCTAGAAGGTTACTCTCCTTTAGGGACAGATTTTTCTTCTTAAGTTTTCCATTGCACAGTTGAAAATCTGTTTACCGAGATTTGAAACCGCCGATGGGTTTGTGAGGCACGGTCATTCGCGCTCTCTCCCGGTGGGAGTGCGCAGGCAGCCGCACGCCGGTCCCCGGGTGCCGGTCTGCGGATAGCCCGGGGTACAGGGCTGCTGCCAGAGCCCGGCGCTGCTCTGCGCTCCCCGCGGGGCCGCCTGATGGCAGCGAGCGCGGAACCCCGGCCCGAAGCCTGAGAGGTGCCTCCTGCAGCCCCCGCAGCGCCCCGGCCCGCGAAGCCGCCACCGCTCAGGCCGGCGGGACCCTGCTGCCCAGACACGGCGGCGCCGCCTCACGGCACCCGCTCCGCGGGAGGCGCGGCTCGGTAACAAACGGGTTCCGCTGCCGTCGGGGCCACCGGCCGGCCGAGCTGCGCCCTCCGCGCTCTGCGGGGCTGTCGAGACCCCCGGCCGGACACCCTGTCGGGAGCCGGCGGGCACCCACGGGCCGTGCGTGGGCGGCGCGGGGCGCGCACCTGCGCGCTGGGAGGGCGGCGGGAGGGCAGGGGCGGGGGAAGAGGAGGGTGGTGTCAGGGGAGGGGAGAGGCGGTGTCGGGGGGAGGGCGCGGGCGGCGGGCAGGGCGCCGGTGCCGCGGCTATCGCGAGAGGGCGGCGCCGCGGGGCGGGGAGCGGAGCGAAGGCGGCGGGGGGAGCGCGGAGCCGGAGCCCGGCGCGGCCGTAACGGCCCCTCGGTGTCCCGTCATGGCGGGGGCCGGCGCCGGCAGCCGGGACAAGCGGGCGACGGCGGCGCGGCTGAAGGCGGCGCTGGGCGGCGAGGGCGGCGCGGCGGCGGCGGCGGAGCTGCGGGCGGTGCTGGAGCGGGTGCTGGCCCCGGCGGCGGGCCCGGGCGGCGGCGAGGCGGCGGGTGAGGCGCTGGAGTGGTGCCGCTGCCTGCTGTCGGGCGGGGAGCCCTGGGACAGCTTCGTACAAGCCGTGCGGGCCTACGACCCGGCCACGCTGTGCGGCCTGGTGTGGACCGCCAACTTCGTGGCCTACCGGTGCCGGACGTGCGGCATCTCGCCCTGCATGAGCCTGTGCGCCGAGTGCTTCCACCAGGGCGAGCACGCCGGGCACGACTACAACATGTTCCGGAGCCAGGCGGGGGGCGCCTGCGACTGCGGCGACAGCAACGTCATGCGGGAGGCCGGGTGAGCGCCGGGCGGCCGCGGCGGGGCGGGCGGGCACCTGCCGGCGGGGGCGGCCCCACGGGCGGCGGAGCCGTGCCCGGAGACGCCCGGCGGGAGGGCGCGAAGGGGGGCACCTGCTGCGTCCTGGGCTGCCTCTCTCTCTCCTGGCTGCAGGTCGGACCGCGGCGGGCAGAGCCGGGGGGCAGCCCCGCCTTCCCTCCCGCCGGCCCTGGCCGCGGTCCGGCGAGGTGGCCTTGTTGATGTGTGTGCGCCGTTTATTGGGACGCTCAGGCGAATCTCGTTGCCCTTGCACCGAGTGCCTGCTTCCAGGAAAGTTGATAAGGCGGAGTGCATAGGAGGCAGTACCTGTCAGCTTCCAGCTAGCAACCTTGGCCTAGCACGGCCAGCCGTGAAGCGTGTCAAAATACTTTGGGACGTCATGTGAGCAGATAAGCCAAAGTGAACAGATTGAGTAACAGGGAGCCAGTTTTGTCTGATTTCCCAGTCTACAGTTCATCTTGCCACCTTAGCTTTAAATGGAGAAATTCGGTAATGCTTGGTTGAGTACAACAAAGGCAGGATTTTGTGGAAGTCAAAGGTCTTTCGTATTCTCTAAGCACGCAGACCTACTGGAGGCAAGACTGAAGTGCCTGGTCAGAAGAAGAGGAATGTGGTACCTCATTAAACTGTCCTTTGTTTGCTTTGTACTCAATGGTAAAAGGAAAGATCAACCAACTAGTTACTGTGTGAAGGTAATACCTAGCCAGTTAACTTCAAATTTCACAACTGAGTGTCTTTTTGGAGCTCCTTGTGTTCATGTTCATTCACTACAGAGTGAAACACTTCACCATATGACCCTTTGGAGTGCTTGACTGAGGCCTCTCTTCTGACTAGCTTTCTAGAATAGTCTGTCTCGACTGTCTTAGCTGGAGTGAGATGGCATGCTGTTGAATCCTGAGTTGTGGTATACCTGGCACTAAACTTCAGGAACATTAAAACATTCTCCTTGGTTTTTTTTGAATTTACAGTATATAATTCTGTGTCACTCAGTCAGCATCTTAAGATTCCTTCTATTTTTGCATTTATTCTTAGAAGTTTCATTAATTCTTTTTTTTGTTCCTTGAATATTTTTGTCTTGGCTCCAATTCTTTGTGTCTGTAGTCACCATTCTCCTGCTCTAGGCCTTGAGATGGCTTCATTCTTTGTTTCTTATGTTTTTTCCCTTTTTTTTCTTCATAGTGTCTACCTTCATCATTTATTCATTCTTCCTTGTTGGTGGAATCTTTTCTTATTGATAGACTTCCTCCAGTGGAAGAATTTTTTTTCCTCCTTTTGTTTTCATTAATCTTTGGTGGTTTCAAGTGGCTACTGCTGAAATTATTCTTTCTTTATTGATTCTTTTTCAACTTCTGGTGATTCTGTTTTCCTCAGTATCACTGAAAAGACAGTTCCCCTTGATCTTGAGAAGTAGGAAAAAAAATTAATGTCACTTCTTCACTGTTCATTGTGGAATAGACTTAGGGCTCCACTTAGTGGCAGGATTTTAATAGAGTACAAACAAATTGAACTACTTTAGGGTGAATATTAAGAATAACTTCTGATACTGCTTTCATCCTGGAGTTCATAGCTTTCAGAGTTGACCTTTCTTATTTTAAAATTTTCTTCTTGAAGAAAGATAGTTTAATAACGAAGAAATAAAAAATGCTTACACTTGCAGTGTAAACAGATGCAAACCCTGAAGAAGTATGAATATTCTCCTTGTTTCTATTTACCCTACTTATTACCTTTGGTGGTAGAATTTGGGAGTAAATTGTCTGTGTGTGAGGTAGGTCTCTTCAGGAGTTTTGATCATTAGAAATAAAGAATTACATAATATTTGTTCAGAAACAACAGTTGGCATTGAACAGTAGATTTTCCAGTCCTCATGGATCATATAAGGAGGACAATACAGGACAGCATATGGGGTGTCTGCATTTAACATAAGGTCACTTCTGCTTATGATAATAAGAATTGATGTTATTGCAATTAAGTCAACTAGAAACTTTGTTTGCTGTGCAAGACAAAGTAAATTAAACTTAAACCAATGTAAAAACATTGTGTGCAAACACACTTGGAGTTTTACGTATTGACTTGAATTGCTGTAATGTGGCATGTTTAGATAAAGTGATTTAACTTTGTGTATACAAATCAACTGCACAATTACAAAGGTAATGCTTTACCTCTTAAAGTTAGGAGGCCTTCATGATAGACTTAGGAAAACTGCAGTGTGTCTAGCCCGATATAACCTTGGCCACTGCAGCCTAGGCTTCTATTAATAGCAAGGGAATCAAATGTGGAGCCTACTTATGAACTTTATCTACCATCTGTCTGCTCAGATAAAATTTTGTGTAGATACTGCATATGAATATTATAGTAACATGTTTTGTTTCTCTTGGTTCTTAGTATCTGGTTTCCATGTTCAGAGTTCATTTATTTGGTGCATCTCAAAAAACACTTCTGAGGAAGTCTTAGTTAACTGCTCTGCTATAGAGGACATCTCTCCAGTTTAGAATCTGAAATATCATTTTCCTTAGTGCGGCCACTGTACATTGAGAGATGTGCTACTAATTAAATATTTAATTGGCTTTTTAGAGATAACTGTTAGTTTTTTGTTTCTGATGGTTTTATAAAAAGAAGCTGGAATATAGTGTAATAGATGGATGTTGACTTGCTTTAGGTACCTTGTGTGATACTCATTTGACTTAGAAAAATCAGATTGTCACACTTTTGAACCTTTGGATTTTCATGCAGATTTCAGTGTTTTTGATGATTAAGTTAATTGTAGTTGGTCTGATCTCCTAGGATGTAATGTAGACATTAGAAAAATATCCAAGTTTGTAAATGTGACTGCTTCTTAAAGTATTAAATGCTCTAGCTATGGCAAAGTTGAGTAGATTTTAAGATCCATTGATATGTCAGTAGGTGAAAATAGTTTGTAGTTGTCTCCCATATGGTATCCAGCTATTTGCAAATGAAATTTAGCAGCTCCTTCAGAGATAATTAATAATGTTCTGAAGACATATAGTAGACATATGTTCATAGTTCAAGTGAGTTCATATGTTGGAGAAAGAAAACCCCATGTGGTTGGACAGGGGAAAATTCAGACTGCAGTGGTTTTGGTTGGTAGATGGTCTCGTGTTATAATGAAACGTGATAGATCATGAAATAAACTTGAGGAAAGCCCTATGCTATATGGTTATAATAAGGGTATAACTAGTCAGTGATCTGTCACTGATGAGTACCATCCTGTTTCTGTGGCTGTCTTGTTCTGATTCCCCTTTAAATCTGGAGGCAATAACTTGATAAACTAGAGAGCCTCTACACTTGGGCTATTGCATTCCCCCGTGTCCTGTTTCAGAGTATGCCTCGCTGTGTGTTGACTTATTTGTTAAATTAATCATGTGGGAAGCAGATGTTTTAGTGCTGCATTACAGTGCAACAAGAATAATATCTCCATCAAGGGTTGCATATCCTGAAGGCCAAAAAGCCAGGTTAAGAATTTCATTAACCAGGCTTTTGCATTGATGTTTGCTGTGTATTTCATGGTAGTTATGGCAACCGATGGCTCCATCGACATAGTGTTGCCTTCTCTTATGACTTATAGCAACGGGGCTAAGGCATTACCAATTTCCACTTGCAACAGTGGGCTGTTTCTTTATCAAGTGAAAAGTCCTATCATTATAAGAAAGGTTAATTGTTATAGATCGATGGTATGTGTCATGTGGTCAAAAGCATTTTCGTGTAGTCAGCTCTAAACTTTCTGCAGTCCTGTCTCTAATGGTCCTTACTTATCTTTCAGTTTAGCTCTGTATCTTAAGAGTATGAATGAATCACTGTAGGTTTCTTGGAGATCTGTTAGAGCTACACACTAGATCAGACTGCTTTCTCAGTTTTTTTTCTTCA